AGGCTGGCCGGCGCCTCTCCGGGGAATTTCGCGTCCTTTGAATTAGCCTGACTGTCTCCGTGCAGCTCGGAGTTTCAGCCTCAAGCGCCTCGATGTTTTGGGGTGGTTTGACCCCCACGTTGCCTCATGGGGCTCATTAGCGTACCGTTATAAGGCGACGGGAGGTTCTGGCAGAAGCGGTGGGCCGCTTTCATCCCTGGCCAAGATGCCTCCCCCCCTCCACGCATCCCCTCCTTGCAAAGAGCCTGCTGCGTAAACGGGCACAACGCGGCAGCTGCAGCCGTCATCAGCAGGCAGCGGGCAGAACTGCAGTGCTCTGGTGCCCTCTGGGGCCTACAGATGGTAGGGCAGCCGATGACTTTTATTTCAGGTGTATCATCATAATCACAAATACTGCCACCGTTTTCTCCAAAGATCTCATGACAGAAGTTACGATAAAGGCATGGGCAGTGCAGAGGTAGTAAAGAGGGAAGCATGTGTTCCCCTTTCGCTGTCATGCTAGATAGAAACTGCAGGGATTCAGGATCTAGACACATCAAAGAAATGTTTTCGTTAAACGTGTTTTAAACTTTGTATGAGAAATCAGGTTAGCAAAAACGAAACTCCATAGCGCCATCTTGTGTCACAGTGTTAGAATGAATTTTAATGTTTTAATGTTGTACAGTGGTACCTCGGGTTAAGTACTTAATTCATTCCAGAGGTCTGTTCTTAACCTGAAACTGTTCTTAACCTGAAGCACCACTTTAGCCTATGGGGCCTCCTGCTGCCACCGCGCCGCCAGAGCACAATTTCTGTTCTCATCCTGAAGCAAAGTTCTTAACCCGAAGTAATATTTCTGGGTTAGCAGAGTCTGTAACCTGAAGTGTATGTAACCCGAGGTACCGCTGCATTTTAATCTTGTTTTTAAGTTGTATTCATTCAACTTGTTTTTATTATTGGTTGTTAGCCGCCCTGAGCCCGGCCTTGGCTGGGGAGGGCGGAGTATAAATAAAATTTATTTTTATTATTATCAACAACACATGTAAAGCGCTTTTTCTTTGCCAATGTAGCTGAACTTTTGGAACTCACTGCCACAAGGCGGGGTGGTGGCTAGCGGCTTAGATGGCTATCAAAGTGGATTGGACGAATGCGATGAGGAGGAGGCTACCAAAGGCAACCAGTCAGGATGTCTATATGGAACCTCTGGCATCAGAGGCAGTATACCACTGAATACCACCTGCTAGAGAACAGAAGCTGCAGAAGACTTCTGTTCTGCTGGTGGGCTTCCTGGAGGCATCCAACTGCCCCCTGTTCTCAACACATGTAACAAGAAAAGGGAGGTGGCCCACAACTTGAAGCTCTTCCCTGCATGGCAGAAGGCTTGTGGCCCTTTGCTCTGGGGTTGGAGGGGCTGCGGCAGCAGCATCTCTGTACCTCACCCTCCAAGTGTTGTTGTTTAGTCATTTAGTCATGTCCAACTCTTCGTGACCCCCTGGACCAGAGCACGCCAGGCACTCCTGTCTTCCACTGCCTCCCACAGTTCGGTCAAACTCATGCTGGTAGCTTCGAGAACACTGTCCAACCATCTCGTCCTCTGCCGTCCCCTTCTCCTTGTGCCCTCCATCTTTCCCAACATCAGGGTCTTTTCCAGGGAGTCTTCTCTTCTCATGAGGTGGCCAAAATATTGGAGCCTCAGCTTCAGGATCTGTCCTTCCAGTGAGCACTCAGGGCTGATTTCCTTCAGAATGGAGAGGTTTCATCTCCTTGCAGTCCATGGCACTCTCAAGAGTCTCCTCCAGCTCCATAATTCAAAAGCATCAATTTTTTTTGGCAATCAGCCTTCTTTATGGTCCAGCTCTCACTTCCATACATCACTACTGGGAAAACCATAGCTTGAACTGGACGGACCTTTGTCAGCAAGGTGATGTCTCTGCTTTTTAAGATGCTGTCTAGGTTTGTCCCTCCAAGGGGCACAATTCCCTTCAGGCCCAGCCAACAAGGGCGGGTCTCTCTCAAGTGACTCGCAAGGCCAGGAGGCCACCCTAGTTCTGTCCCAGCAGAAGAGCTCTGCAGCCACAAATCTCACACCCTGCACTTGCCATAAATCAGTGGTTCCCAAACTACCCTCATGGACCGCTTGAAAACTGCTCAGGGTCTTAGCACCACTGTGCAAGATGCGGTGTGCTTTTTAATTGTTGCTTTTAATTTTATTTCTTATTGTTTGAATACTTTAGAATACCGGTTGTAATACAGGGAAAATACAATATAAGGAGCACGCTGCTTGCAAGATATGTTCAGAGAAAGATCTGATGGCCCGTGAGTTGCGCTGCCTGTTGCACAGAGCGAAGAATCATAGAATTGCAAGCTAGGAGGAATCCCAAGGCCCATCTAGTCCACCCCGTGAGATGTAGGAACCCTTCCCAGAGAACAGAGCGCAGATGTTGAATAAAACAGGAAAAAAGCAGCCACTGAAATGCCATTCGAAACGAGAGACGGATAAGAGGAGATATGGTACAAAAAGTGAATAAGGAGTGGGCTATCTTTAAGGAATACATAAAAAATTATGTGGAAAACCAGGAAGAATGGAAAAAATGTAATGATTATTTAATTAAGTATGTTAAGTTAAATTAGTTGGAAATAACTTGCAGATAATAGGCTTAGGATTTTATATGTTAAGTGATGAATCAATTTGTGTAATTTCAAAAGGTAAAGATTGAAAGATGTTAAAGCTAAAGGTAAATTTTATAAGAACTGTGATTTGGAAAACCGTTAAATGGATATGCATGGAAATTCAACCAAGGGGAAGCGAGGAAGTCACTTAACAATGTTAATGAGTATAATTTCTAAAAAGATTATGATTTGTGTTTGTTTGTCTTGTTTGTTTATAAATTTGTGAAAATTACGGTAATATTTTTTTTTAAAAAAATCATGTGGAAAAAGTAGAATTTCTGACAGATACTGAGTGAATCCAGAAAATGATTAGATTGAAAGGAGAGTAAAGTTAAGATAGAAGAAGAGATTAAAGAAATAATGAAATGTGTTTAAGCTAGTTGGAAAAATAAAGTTGCGTAACAAAAACGGCTGGAAGTCAAGTCACTTGGTGGGTGTCCGTGTGGGGTAGGTGTGTAGGTACGTTGATATGTACAGTATAGGTAGGTATTATATAATGTAGGTATGTTTTATGTTATGAAAATTAGGTAGTGTGTTGTGTACATGTATTGTGTAAATGTATATGTGTTTTATATGTTAATAATAATAATAATAAAGGCAGAAATCCTGCCTGGTCCTTATGTATATAATATAAAAAGTTAGAAATTACTTGAAAGAAACAAATAGGCCTAGGATTAAACTAAGTCATAATTAAATAAATGGGATTTAGAATGTTAAGAAAAGTGAATGTTAGAATGTTAAGAAAAGTGAATAAGATGGACTATAATAGTTTAATAATGATATTGGAAAGCTGTCACTTTCAATTACAGTGTTACCTCAGGTTAAGTACTTACCGTAATTCGTTCTGGAGGTCCGTACTTAACCTGAAACTGTTCTTAACCTGAAGCACCACTTTAGCTAATGGGGCCTCCTGCTGCTGCCACGCCGCCGGAGCACGATTTCTGTTCTCATCCTGAAGCAAAGTTCTTAACCTGAAGCACTATTTCTGGGTTAGCGGAGTCTGTAACCTGAAGCGTATGTAACCCGAGGTACCACTGTACAAGGAAACTCAGAAGGGAGGGATTTGAGGAAGTCAGCCGGGATGTTGGATTTGTGAAGAGTTAAGTTTGTTGTTATTGTTTATCTGTTTATTGTTCCCTTTTTTCTGTTTTCGTGTATCATTTTGCTTTGTGGTTTGTGTTATCATTGTGTAAAATCTAATTTAAAAATATTAATTTTTAAAAAAATATATAATAATAATAATAATAATAATGGAAACGAGGTGGTACATGACCCCAGTCAAGCTTGCAAAAATCTATCATTTGCCCGATAATAAATGCTGGAAATGTAAAGAAACTGAAGGTACATTCTTTTACCTTTGGTGGACGTGCCCAAAGATTAAGGCTTTCTGGGAAATGATTTATAATGAATTGAAAAAGGTATTTAAATATACCTTCCTGAAGAAACCAGAGGCCTTCCTTCTGGGCATTGTCGGCCAAATGGTGCCAAAGAAGGACAGAACTTTCTTTATGTATGCTACAACAGCAGCAAGAATACTCATTGCAAAGTATTGGAAGACACAAGATCTACCCACTCTGGAAGAATGGCAGATGAAGGTGATTGACTACATGGAATTGGTAGAAATGACTGGCAGAATCCGAGACCAGGGAGAAGAGTCGGTGAAAGAAGACTGGAAGAAATTTAAAGACTATTTACAGAAATATTGTAAAATTAATGAATCTTAGAAGGATGTTGGATAGAAACTAAGTGGTTTCCAGCTGTAATGCTTTAAGAGATATGAAAAAAAGGTTCACAAATGGGTAGAAGTTTAATGGTAAGGATTTGCTGAACTAACAAACTGAACTGGAATACAAAAAAGGGAGGCACGAGGAGGTCTGGGGAAATAAGTGTAAGGAGGATATGCTATGGAAAATTAATGTGTTTTTAACTATTTTTATTTTGTATGTTTCTTTTTATTTTTCATGGGAAACAAGGATATGAAAGTAAGTTATGGAAAGATGGATCTATTTTTCTTTTTCTTTTTAAGGGTTTTTTTTACTCTTTTTTCTGTATTTTGTATTTTCTTGTATTTTTCCATTTTGCACTTGTGTAATTCTTGTATTCTTTGAAATTTTAATAAATATCATTTAAAAATAATAATAATAATAATAATAATAATAATAATAAAGGAAAGGAGAGACGGAGGGGTGGCAGGCGATGGATTCCAAGGGACCAAGCGGTGCCGCTGCGCGCAAACCCCGCTCGCCCCTCTCCTCGCCCGGGACGCTCTCCGTTCCCTGCCCCGCTCAGCCGCCAGGGGCCAAGCCCCGCCCCGCCTCCAGGGCCCCGCCCCTTCCGCCTGCGCCTGCGCACAGCCCCGCCCCGCGACCAAGATGGCGGCGCCCGCAGGAGGCGGCCTGGCCGCGCTGGTGAGCGGGCGGAAGAGGGGAAGGGGCGGCCGGGTTGCCATGGCGGCGACGTCTCGCCCCCCCGCCGCCGCTTCCTCACCGGCTCTCTCTCTCTCTTTCTCTCTCTCTCCCCCCTTGCAGGGCGCCCATGAAGCCGCCGCCGCAGCCGCCGCCCTCTCGCTGCCGGCCGAGGCCTACGGGAACGACGTGAGCCAGGGGCCGGGTGGGGAGCGGGGGGCGGGCCGGACCCTGGCGGGGACACAGGGAGCAGCCTGGGACCTCCCCCTCCTCTCTCTTTCTCTCTTTGCAGCCCACCGTGGAGATGATCTGGGCCATGAAGGCCCACCAGCACGCCGAGGTCTACTTCAACGTGAGTCCTATGGGCGGAGGGGGGGCAAGAGGGGGGGCTCCCCGCCGGGGGGACCCTCTGCCTTGCTAGGCCACAGGAGGAGGAGGAGGAGGGGAGCCGGCCCTGCCTTTGGAGGGGACAACGAACCCGACACTGCATCGCCCCTAAATCCGGTCGTATTAATTCGTCTTACAGTGGTACCTCTGGTTACCTACTTAATTCATTCATTCTGGGGGTCCGTTCTTAACCTGAAACTGTTCTTAACCTGAAGCACCACTTTAGCTAATGGGGCCTCCTGCTGCTGCCGCGCCGCTGGAGCACGATTTCTGTTCTCATCCTGAAGCAAAGTTCTTAACCCGAGGTACTATTTCTGGGTTAGCGGAGTCTGAATGATGGAGGGCACAAGGAGAAGGGGACGGCAGAGGACGAGGTGGTTGGACAGTATTCTTGAAGCTACCAGCACGAGTTTGACCAAACTGCAGGAGGCGGTGGAAGACAGGAGTGCCTGGCGTGCTCTGGTCCAGGGGGTCACGAAGAGTCGGACACAACTAAACGACTAAACAACAACAAAGAGTCTGTAACCTGAAGCGTATGTAACCCAAGGTACCACTGTATTTGTTTACAACCCTTTGCCGTAAGGTCCCAGGGTGGATTCAAACACAATACAGTGGTACCTCGGGTTACAGACGCTTCAGGTTACAGACTCCGCTAACCCAGAAATATTACCTCGAGTTAAGAACTTTGCTTCAGGATGAGAACAGAAATCGCACAGCGGCAGCCGGAGGCCCCATTCGCTAGAGTGGTACCTCAAGTTAAGAACAGTTTCAGGTTAAGAACAGACCTCCGGAACGAATTAAGTACTTAACCCAAGGTACCACTGTTTAAAAGCAACTTCCAAGTATAAATACAAGGTGACTTCAAAGAAACATAAGCTTCCAGTGTCAAAAGACAAGGCAAAAAGGTGCATCCTCCAAGCCCTGGAGGATGACATGGAGGCTCCCAGGTGGAGGAATGGAAGGAACAGGAGAGTGGCAAAAATGTCCCATTTGCTTTCCTAGAGCAGGTTTTAGGCATTTGTGGGCGGGGCGCAGCTGTGCTTCTGCCTACACAGTGCCTGTGTGTGCTCAAGCACACTTATTTATTGCATTTATAACCACCCTTTTTTCTCCAAGAAACTCAAAGTGGTGCTCATGGTTCTTTCCCCCCTCTTTGTTTAAGCCCCACGTAGGTTAGATTGAGAGGCAGCGATGGCCCACCCCCAAGCTTTCCCAGTGAGCTTCATGACAAGCAGGGATTTGAACCCTGGTCTCCCAGGTCCCAGTCCTGCGGCAAAGCACACTTTGCTTGGCTCCCTTAATTCAGTGTACACACTTGAGGGCATCCCCACATCCAGGTAATTGATGTTTGTATGACAGCGGTGCTCTCCAGGTAGTTCAGTAGCAGGTGTTTCTGCTGGCTTTTCAACTAGCATTGGGTAATATCCTCAGCAGTGACTGGTTCATTGTATAAATTGAGGGCTAGTTTTTGGCTGGCTTTGGGAGCCCAGCCACTAATTCTGATCACCAGTTTCTCTCCCACTGGGTTAGAAAGAATCCAATTGCAAAATATCTCCTTTCTTTCCTGAGGGCTTAATTGATGCTCAGCAAAGGAGCTCAGAGTCCCATGGCTGAGGAACTGTTATGTAAGCTTCTTTTGGTCATAGAAAGATGTGGAGCATGTAGGTGGGGGCATCCACCGCATTGTGGCCAAGAGCTCCCGTTTCCACAGGAATGGGAGTATTATAATTTTTTTCTGATTTAGCCTTTGTGCTCTGGACACCTTGGGCATACAGCTGCCAGCCGCCCCCAACCTTAGAGGGCATTGGGAACAATACAGGACAACCATTTCCTAGCCCCACAGCTTCAACATTTGATGACTTTGGTGTCAATTACAGTTGGCAGGATTGGCCACATAATTGTCAAAGCCCCTTGGAGTCTGAGGTCTTGTCACCAAGTCTTTTCCTCCCATGCTTTGTAGGTGCTTTGAGTGTGATCCCTACATCACAAAACTGATGTGCAGAAGGCTTGCTTCAGTCACTTAATGGCCTGGATGAAAGAGTGGTGGTAGCAATCCTGTTTTCTGTTCTTCCCACTTAACCTTGCCTACTTTCCCCATGCGTAGCTCATTTCTTCAGTTGATCCCAAATTCCTGAAACTTACCAAAGCTGACGACCAGATCTACACTGAATTCAGGAAGGACTTTAACCATCTTAAGATTGATGTGCTCGACCCGGAGGATCTTAAATCCGAACCTGCTAAAGAGGTTTGTGCTGGGCGTGAGGCTTGTTGCTCTTGAGACTCTTGCGGGGCAGGAACTAACCCAATGCTCTTCCTCCACAGAAATGGCGTCCATTCTGCTTGCAGTTTGACGGAGTAGTTGAGGACTTTAATTATGGCACACTTCTACGTCTGGATTGCAGTAAAGGTTACACAGAAGAGAACACAGTATTTGGTAAGGTAACTTTTTTCTGCTTTCAGTTGTGCTTCCTCTGGCCAGGTCATAGAGCCATATAGCTGTGGAATTGGAAGGGATCCCATGAGTCATTTGGTCCAGCCCCCTGCATGAGGCTGATGCCTAGAATGGCTTTGCTGGTCAGTCCAAGAGCATCCTTGATGAAGGAAAAAAGGGCCCCTTCCAACAAGCCCTCCCACTGCACACGCACCCCCCCTCCCAGTCCTTTGTTCTGCATGTGTTTGCAGGGAAGTGTGGTGTCTTAGTTGGAAACTGAAGTGAGATCCCCAAGTGCCATGCCCATCCTAAATAAAGTTCTCTTCGCAGCAACCAGGATCCAATTCTTCGCCATTGAAATAGCCCGTAACCGAGAAGGCTGCAACAGTGTGGTCTACAACAGTGCCAAGAAAGCCAGCTCAGCCACAGAAGAGGTTAGCTCCGGGTGAGACGTTCTGCTCTCAGAAAGGGCAACACGTTCAAAATGGACAAGGGATCATGGCTTTGCACCAGCATCAACTCTAGCCGAGCTGCAGACTGTTCCTGTTTCAAGGCAGAGGTGTAAGAGCCACAGCTGCTGCTGCTGGAATGTTGTTTAAGGTGCCAAAATGATCTAAATAATGGATTAACTGTGACGCATTTGTGGGCTCAGCCAAAGCAACAGACTCTGATAATGTCAAGAGTCCAAATACTATGGAAACGAACTCAACATTAAAAGCTAAAATGAAAAACAGCAGCAGGTGAGTCCTAATTGGTCCCTAGTTTTTGTACCCTCTCTCACTGATTCGCAGAATACAACAAACTTAAAAGCTGTGGGATGATCACAGGTAATCAACACAAACGACCATGTTAAATATGGTTACCAAGCTACAAGTCACACACTCAAAGCTGCTCTGTATCCTGAGAGGGATATTCACCCACACTATGTAGGATACTGTCATGTTTCCCAAAAAGCTAATTGGCACCAATGATCTCAGAAAAATCTTGTAGGGTGTTGGTATGCTGTTATATGTCTCTGTCCAGAACAGGGGTTGGCAACCTGTGGCCCATAGGCCACAAGCGGCCCACAGAGGTCGTTTAAACGGTCCTCGAGCTGCCCCCGAACTGAGCTGCCCGCTCAGTGAGTCCCTGCACGCTGCACTAAACTGGGGGAGCAGGGACTCACTTCCACAGCAACGGAAATCGTGTCTGCGCAGACGCGATCTGGCCCACGGAGTGATCTCTGCGGGAGTGAACCAGCCCAGGCGAGGTAAACCTTGCCGACCCCTGGTCTAGAATGAGTCTGCCTGTCATGTACCTAGGGCACCCACCCTTGCATGTGCCTGAGCCAAAAGAAAAGAAAAAGGCTTCCTCAATATGGGTATTGACAGTTGAGGCTTAAAAGCAGCATGTAAATAAACTTGAATAGCAGCTTTTGTACTGTGTATCTGCTCTAGCCCTGAATGTGAAGGGTTGGCTGTGGAGATAAAAGATGGGTTCAGGGGAGAGCTACAAATCAGGTTTACTACATATTCCCCTAGGAGCTCCTCTAACTTATCAGAGTATCGAAATATGCAGCATAAAAAAGGAGTTTGGAGAAGCAGTCCAGTGTTGTCGTCCCCTGCGACAAGCCTGTACCGCACAATTGCATCTTATGTTGGGGTTTGGTTCCAAGGGTTCTGTGTATACCGTATTTTTCGCTCTATAACACGCACCCGACCATAACACGCACATAGTTTTTAGAGGAGGAAAATCTATAGGCATGCCACCCGTAGGCATTCCCTCCATAACACACACAGACATTTCCCCTTACTTTTTAGGGGGGGAAAAGTGAGTGTTATGGTGCAAAAAATACGGCATGTAGAGAAATGTGTGCACTCAAGCCCTTTGAAGCCACCTCTGCACAAGCATCCCAGGGCTTCCAGAACTGATGCACACATTAGAGAGCTTTGCTTCCCAAGAAATCCAGAGAGCTCAAAAGCTTTTTTGCACTGTTAAGCGCTATGCCTCGCTTGCACCTGAAGTTACAGGATTTCAATCAGTGGCCTTCAACTGCATATCATTGAAATTGCACAGATTGAATGCATGCAAGATGCGACCTTACTGTGTTGGCAAATGCTGCGCGTGAGATCCTCTTAACCTGGCTACTTTTGGAGATGGTTATGGTACCGTCACCTCTCCTCCCGTCCCCCCTCTTGCCCCTCCGCTATATTTTTCCAGCAGGGATGAGGAAGCAAGCAGGTGCTAAGAGGGTTGCCTACTGCTCTTGTTCCCAGGCACCCGCCTGTTGGCTCATGGTCATCGCACACTACCGTCATTTAACATCACACAAGAGTAAACACTCTGGCCTGGTTCCACACAGCTCAGTAGAAACCACTGAAGTTTATTTGCAGCCACAATGCTTACACTGTATGCAGCAAACACCCTTACAAGTCATCCAGCAATCTGCTCACGCAAAAAGGACCCAACACACAGTCGCCAGAGGAGAAAGAACAAAAAAAGAATAAAAACCGAGGAGGTGCTATCTGGGAAGAGAAACCAGGGCAGGTTAGGGCTGGGCTTGGGTGGGCACAGAACTAGCAGCAAGAAGAGTGGGGAAGTACAAGGCAAACAGGTCATTTCCCCCCATTATTTCCTCTAAGTAAATTTAAATATCGAAAAACATTGATGTTGGTGCAGCATTTTTTTGGGGGGGGGGAATGGACTTTTCTCAAGGGGATGTCATGCTGGGCCTGCCTTGGTAGCAAGCCTGTGCCCACTCCCCACAGTCCCTACTGTAGACAGGCGGCAGAGATGGCCTCAGGAAGCCCCTGGCCAGGCTCTACAAGGCAAGGCAGTTTACCGAGGCTGCCTTTTGGGGAGGAGAGAAACTAGCTCGGGCCCTGAAGCAGATTCTCTATGCATTTTCCAGCAGCTGAGAAACAAGGAGGTTCACACACGGAGGGGAAAAGCCTGGTGCAATGTTCTGGGGAGGGGAGGCGAGGCATGGACAGAGCAGCTCAGGCTTCCTTGGGCTGGCCAGCTGGGACCAGGCGGGAAGAGAGCTGTGTCAGTTTGATGGGGCAGAAGGGATGGACACTCATGGAACAGCATGGAGCATGGCTTTGAGTTCCTAACAAGAAGGGGTGGGGAGGGGAGAAGGAAGATTGGGGTAGGATGGTGCAAGTTAAAGGATGTATAAGAAAAATATACATTTGGAATTTTACACTTCTTGTGCCTCTCTCTCTACACTGGTTACTAAATATAACTCTGCACTTTCACACCCCCTTGCCCAGGAACACGGCAGGCGGCCAGGAGACACAGCTTCCTTACTCACATACAACCCTCACTTCAGCATTGGTGCACTAAACTCTGTAAAAATTTCAGTCACACTTTTTTTTTTTTTTTTAAACTTGAGTCAATATAAACCTTGTTCAAAATGTTATGAAAAAATGTACATGTTTATACAAGGCAGGCTGCGGCAGGACGCTGGGGTTCTTCTCCAACATTCACCCAGGGAAATACGCTGGTCTCCCCCTTGCTCCGCCCCCAAGGAAACGAGCCCCCTCTGCCCTGGTGAACTTTTTTTTTTTAACACCCCTTCCTCCTGCAGCCTAGCCCCAGGGACCAGCAGGGATCAGAAATGCCCTTTTGTCTTTCCATCGGAAAAGTTAACCTCCCCGGCCCGGGCCAGAGAGAGGTTCCTCGCGAGATGTCAGCTCATCATGTCGTTGCTGTTTACCCCATAGGCGGAGTTCTTCATAGAGTCATTTACCTCCCGCCGGAATGCAGACAGGTTCTGTGTAAACCTGCCAAAGAGGCAAGCCAAAGCTGGGTTAGAAAGCGGGCAAAACCCACCATCACAAGATGTTAGTCAACCTATTAAATACAGGCAGCACTCATTTTAGGCATGTCCAATGGGCATGCGATCGCGAACGTGTGGGCCTTTTTGGGCTTGGAAGAAGGCAGAATGGGGTGAGGCGTACTTAAACGCGCTCTGCTGACACGCATGGGGACCGGGAAAGGAACCCCTGCACGAGATGGTCACCATCTCTACTGACAACTGAACTCTCAGAATCACTTGGAAGGCTGCTCAGTGAAGTATAAGGATAGTTCTCAATTTTGCTGCAGGGATGGGAATTGGTAACTTCATTTAAGGCACTTTAAGAAAAGCAAATGAAAATAAAGTGTATAGCCCTTTCTTGAGGCATGGCAAGTCGGCGTTTGGTAAAGGCTTGCAGGGATCATCATTTGTGTCCTGGTTTCTTGCGAGGTTCTTTAGACCCTGACTCTCTTCCCATTAAGTTCTACCCCTCTCTGATCTTTCCCTTAAATTTGCTTTAACATCCCCATTCTCTGAAAATCTCTGTTTTGAACAATAATTCTGTAATAATCAGCTGGAAAGTTAGGCTGATAGCAGCTGTGTGCGCACATTCCCTGAAGCTGGGCTAATTGGTACCCACAAAATATTCTTGGAATGGGTTTCCACAGCCACCCTAGGCAGGCTGTCCTATCCCTGAACTGCTCTTCAAGTTGGGAAGACATTTCCTAATGGTTGGGGTGGAATGGCCGAAGCCAAGTCCGCTCCCTTACTTTTGGTCAAGAACCGTTCCCCCACCTTTCTGACATCCGAAAGCTGTTGACATTTCCTACTTTCCACTCCCACCTCCCTAAAATAATCTATTTAGGACAGTTAAGCACTCTCACTTTCAGCCTGCAGAACACGCTTTGCAAACTATTATATTCTTCTGCTCAGGGCCTTGCTAATTAGGGAATGCCAGCACTTAACGAGAAGGGCACGTGGGGCAGAGGGGAATACTGCTTTAAATACTTGCAAGTACAGGGTACTCGCTTCTGCCCTCAAGTAAGAGTTACTGTGAACATTCCCTATTCCTAATATCCGCCCCGTGTCTGAGCCACTAGTGTTGCCCAGAAAATTCCAAGCAGCTCTTAAGGAGCTCATGACCTCATATGTTTTCCAGTGGAGCAACGTTACAGAGAGAAGCTCCAGAGGCAAAGAGTCTCCCCTGATGCCTGCGATGGCTCCTGGAGGGCCCTGAGTTGCTGGCAGCCTCAGGGGAGATTTCCATCCCCAGCTGTTATGCAGTCTGCTCTCTGCAGCAGAGGAGAGATACTGACCTATCGCGATTCTTGGTGAGCAAATTACGCTCTATGCCTTCCATGAGATTTTCAAAGCAGAGGTGCATAGCTTGCTGCTTCTCTGGAGGCTGGCTGTTCACTATACTGTTCCGTAGGTCTGAGAAATACTGGAAGGGGGAGAAAAGAGGGGATGCTGGTTAAGTTATCCAAGGGGCTGTGCTGACAGGAGTCAGCATCTCCTGAGCACTCCTTTTAAGGAGTCCCAGCCGTTGAACAACTCTTTAAGAAGTGCCTTACCTTTTCATTGAGCAGTATCAAACCAAGAAGAGGCCGAGACATGGACCACTGATTCCTGCAGTCCTCAAAGATGATGATATTCAACACCGTTGATAGCATCTAGAAGGAATGAGCAAAATCAGGCAAGCTGTTACCCTCTTCAGAGATCGCAGGGACTTTTTTGAAATAGACGTATGACTGAATGGAACCATTTAAAGGGTGCATTTCTGCTTGTAGGCAGTCAGTCAAGGAAACTTAACTCTGGGTGATGGTAATGTGCATCCCTAAGCACACCAGAAGACTCATCCAGTCTGTTCAGTGTGACCTGGATGAGGATCACAGGTAATGATGGGCATCAGCTAAGTCACTACCCTTGCTGGGCTGGGGCGCAGGCTCTCTCTTGCCCCGTCCAGTAGCCTTAACTGAGCCTTGGCAGGTGCACACAAGAATAGCCACACAATAATTCTCAAGCTTGCACTGAAAGGAAGGAGTAGGGAGGCCGCAAATTAGCATCTTGTTGCAGGTGCTTCCCGACTGGCCTCTCGCTCAGGAGAGCTGAGACGCATCATCAGCTCTGATGTGACAGGCTGGCAGCTCCATCAGGTCTCCTCTCCTGTCAACTGCTGGGACAGCCATTCTCCATCAGATGGCCTCAGTGGGAGACACAGGAAACCGGGCTTGTTCCATCTGCTTTGCTAGATGCCCAGCTCCACCAGGCACCTCCTGCTCCTGAACTTTTTTAAAAATAAGATTGTAAATCTGTAGGTAGGGACTGTCTTGTTTGGATTGTATGCAAGCCCCTCTGGGAGTCATTTTGCCTAAAGAATGGGATTTGTTGTTGTTGTTTAGTCGTGTCCGCCTCTTCGTGACCCCATGGGCCAGAGCACGCCAGGCACTCCTGACTTCCACTGCCTCCCGCAGTTTGGTCAAACTCATGCTGGTAGCTTCGAGAACACTATCCTACCATCTCGTCCTCTGTCATCCCCTTGTCCTTGTCCCTCCATCTTTCCCAACATCTTTCTCCCTTTTCCAGGGAGTCTTCTCTTCTCATGAGGTGGCCAAAGTTTTGGAGCCTCAGCTTCAGGATCTGTCCTTCCAGTGAGCACTCAAGGCTGATTTCCTTCAGAATGGATAGGTTTGATCTTCTTGCAGCAGTCCATGGGACTCTCAAGAGTCTCCTCCAGCACCAGAATTCAAAAGCATCCATTCTTCGGCGAAAGAATGGAAATGCACTAAATAAATCAATGTTGGGCCTCAGTGATTCAGCTCCATGAGTGTCACAGGATTAGCCAAGGAGGCCACTGGCTGCCACCACTACCTGCACCCCCCTTACCTGCTGGATCATTTCTGGGTGCTGCTGCATGATGTGCAGGAACCGGTCGCTCTCCTGCGTCAGGGGGGCAGCCCTCTTCTTGGTGCTGCGGGAGAGCTGCTTGAAGAGATAGGTGACAATGTGGTCCAGGCAGGAGCAGCAGCCAGTGCAAACCATGGTGTCTACAAAGACAGGAAAGAAGGGGCAGAATGGGGTGACTCCCAATACCTCAAGGACCACCTCTCCCCATATGAAACGACCCTGACTGTGATCGTCACCTGAGGCCCTTCTTCGTGTGCCTCCTCCACAGGAAGTCCAGAGGGTGGCAACACGAGAACGGGTCTTTTCAACAGTGGCTCCCCGTTACTGGAACACTCTCCTCAAGGAGGCTCGCCTGGCGCCATCATTCTGTACCTCTAATTATCTGTCTAGGTGCCTATGGCTGCAGGCTTGTGATGCGTCTCAACTGCCCAGTCTCCTCCTCCTGACCCCTGTTTCACCACCACTGGCAGCTGCCTCACAGGGAGGCACCCCACCCCACCCCACAGGTCACTGGCCCCTTGGATCTTCCTGCCCACCTGCTTCCTCTGCCCAAACATCCCCCGACTCCTCAGGCTCCTGCCCATCCCTGACACATCCAAGGAGACACACAGAGAACATGGATACACTCACCTAGTGCTGTGAGACCTTCCGAAATGGAAGAAAGAATATACATGATTACGTGCGGCTCCAGGCTAGCTATAAAATTCATGTGGTCCTGGGTGAGTACTTCCAGTAATGAATAATAGGACTGGCTGAGTTTAGGGTAGTCCTGCAAACAAAGGAAGGAAGGGAGAATGTGGGTATGAGAGATGTGAAGAGTCATATCCTGGCGCGTCCCAAAACTGATACAGGGAGCAACAGCCCAGTGCTTATACAACCCCACTGCAACCCTGCTGTCAGAAGCAGTGTGTTTCAAAGCCTCTCTCCCATAACAGGGGAAATACAACTTCTTGATTGTTGAGCTTGTGCAAGGCACTAGCCCATGTACTGTGAACCCTCAACACCAGAATTTCAAGGTGTTTGCAAAGAAAGGTGGTAAGTAAGAGGAGGAATTTGTGGTTTTATTCTCCACAGAACACTTTCTCGTTCTTCAGCATCTACTGACCAACTTCCCATTTGGATCCCATGACGCCATGTTAACCCCATGGTTTTGTCTAGCAAGGGGCATTAGCCTTCCTGCCCAAATCACCTGTTAGTAGCAACATGCAGGATTCAGTGCAGACCTTGTAGCACAGGTTGTCAAAAACGACATGGGGGGGAAATACATAAAGGCATGAAAAAGGTGGAATCTTAACTTACGCTCCGAGAAGGAAAACATTGATAGCAGGTTGCCCATCTGTGGCGCAGAGTAACTGCAAACCAACTGTGACATTTGTGTACAGGCAGCGCAGTAAAACAAGGGGCTGTATGCGAAACAGCGCTGAGCCAGGATCCCATCAGTGCAAGGATTATCACTAGTGTGACAGAACCTCTTCCCCTGTATGCCTGCATATCTGTTCCAGGGGCTCCTCCAACTCTCAAGTGGGTTTGAGGATTGTGCGGGGAGAAGTATTGCTGTGCTGGTGATAATCCTTGCACTTATGGGATGAGTTCGTGGAACCTTGCCCAAGGTGCCCCGAAGTGGGGAAAGGTTTGAGGGCCTCATGCAAGGCGGACAAGCTCACCAGAAGGTCGCTGTGGGGGATGGAGAGCAGGAGTTTGATGAAGGTTTGCAAGGCGTTATCAAGTGCGTCGTCCCCATACAGACGGAAGACACCGAAATTGACGTAGCTGCCACTCAGGGCAGCTTTTAACATGGAGAAGCAGATGGAAATCCCTTTGAGCTTCAACGAATACACTTGATCCTTCGGAACCTCCCCCAAGGTTAGGATGCGATTTCCTGCAAAAGCATTTTATAAAAGGCTAGTTATCTCAACTCTGCTCAGTACATTTCCCCTTTAACCTCAGCCCAAAGTATATTATTCTCAGGAGGTCAACAGAGAAGTGGAAGTCAAAAAGCCACACTGAATGTGCAGGAGACTATTACTTCACTCTCAACATGTCGCCTTCACAAGGGGGTGAGGCCAATACCAATCTTTATATTGATACAGAAAGGTGTTTTTTTAAATGTACTCCTGTTTTTAAACGTTATTTTATAACACAGAATAGTTTGCCCTCTGTTGCTGCTCGCTATGACCTTCGGTTCTACTCTAAAATAATCCAAAAATTCATGTGAATAACCTAGCACAGAATGTAATTAGAGAAGAAAAGGTGAGACTGTCAGCCGTGACCTGGGAAAAGTGCCAGAGGGCAAGGAAGTTCTGGGGGGAAAGCCATGGTCTGGTTGTTTGTCTTTTGGCAAGGTCTATTCTCTCTCCTGCTCCAGGACTTCAGACAGAAGATCTGCTCCTTTAGAGGAGGTCTGTGACTGGAGATGTTGCAGGCTGCCACTTCCCCCCACCCGTTTAAGGCCAGTCACAGAGTGGGGCATCCCTTGGCCATCCACTGCAACCTAGTGCAGCCCATCAAGTGACGCCCGTTCCCTCGAAAGAGACCCACCATAGGTAGTTATCATTTTACTCGTCTCCCGGAAGAGCAGGATGCCATTGGGTGAGGAGACATCAAACTGCAGCCTCTGGGATCTGGAAGGAAGCAACAAAGTTGTGAGTTGGCTGAAGTATGGGGAGAAAAAGCACTGGAGCTCATATAATGGCCAATGATAGGCCCATCCTCCATGACTTTAGCTATCGTTTTAAAAAGCCACCGAAAATAAAAAGCCGTTACGGTCTCTTGTGGAATTCCACAGACAAGTATGTGCTGCTCAAAGGACTACTTCTGATTTCTCCAGATCTTCAGAGGCCCCTGCTAACAGAGGCAACCAGAGGGCAGGGGGTCTCCTATGCTGTTTCCAGGGAGAACTGACCTGGTTCCCGTGGTTACACTTAAGCTTCTGGTGAGTTTTATGTTGTGAACTGCCCTGTGATCTTTGGGTGAAGGGTGGTATCCGAATAAATAAATAAAATAAACAAATGTTTAAATGTTCTCCTGTGACTGTTTCTGGCACTGCTCTTTGTTACTGTCAAGTCTGCTTATTCAGATTTATTTCATAAAATTTATACACGGTTTGTAAAAAAAAAAAGCAAGCAGTTTACGTAAAAGGTAAAACAATATTATTATTAGTAGTAGTAGTAGTAGTAAGAAGAAATGACAACAGTAATTTAATATTTTCAAAAAGTTCAAACAACAATAAACCAAAAACAGATTACAACTCACACCAGCTTTCTAAACATTTGTGAAGACTTGTCTATACAAAAATGTTTTTTTTTTTTAAGCCAGCACCAAAAAAGAGTATAATGAAGGCGTCTGCCTGGTGTCAAAAGGCAGGGGTTTCCAAAGTGTAGGTGCCAACACACTAAAATATTGAGTCCTTACAAATACGGAATAGGTATTACATGGCGCCTGTAGTGGTGCCAGTTCCGCCAATTGAAGCAGCCCAGTGGGCGTATATGGAGCAAGGTGATCTCGTAGGTAAGTTGATGGTGGTACCCTGGAAATTATTAACTGAAGGGCAGTGTTTATTACTTGTTTAACAGCACTTTGACACAAAAATAACAACCCGTTTAACTCTCTTGCCAATATTAGATTGTTAAAACCACTCCCCGACCCCTCTCTTCCCCTTATCCCAGCAAGGCCCCTGCAGATATAAGAATGGCCCCCTGGCATCCCTAGGCAAGTCAGCCCTGGCAGTTCCAACCCTCTTCCCCTCACCTACCTGTTGTGCACCAGCTCGGCCATCAACTTGAGCACAGGTGTGGTGCAGGCTGGGTCGTGGTACCAGAGCTCAACTGCCCGTTGCAGGATTGGCATGTAGGATGGGTAGCTGTGAGGCAGAAGTTAAGGAGGCAACACTGCTTCCAGGATGACTTTAAATATTCAGGTTCTTAAAACTCAGAGTGTTATTTAGCTAAAGGTAGGAGGGCATGGGCACTCACAAAAGACATCTGATGTTGCCAGATTAGGGTGCAGATAATAAGCCTGAAAAGTGGATGAGTACTTTACGGGAGGGTGGCGCTGTGGGTTAAACCACAGAGCCTAGGGCTTGTCGATCAGAAGGTCGGCAGTTTGAATCCCTGCAATGGGGTGAGCTCCTGTTGCTCAGTCCCTGCTCCTGCCAACCTAGCAGTTCGAAAGCACGCAGTGCAAGTAGATAAATAGGTACCACTCTGGCAGGAAGGTAAATGGCATTTTCTGTGCGCTGCTCTGGTTCGCCAGAAGCAGCTTAGTCATGCTGGCCACATGACCCGGAAGCTGTACGGTGGCTCCCTCGGCCAGTAAAGCGAGATGAGCGCCGCAACCCCAGAGTCGGCCACGACTGGACCTAATGGTCATGGGTCCCTTTACCTTTATCTTACTGGATCCCTTTGGCTGAGATCCTGGTGGGATCCCACTGCCACCACTATGTCTGCACCTTATTTGTGGGTTCTCTTCCCTGGCCACAGTCATGCAGCCTCTCCAGATGTCAAGACAAGAGGAATTCTACAGGTGGCATTCTGTGGCCCGCAAGCCCTGCTTCTTGATCAGGGAAACAGCTGAGAGCCTATCACCTGAGCTGCAGTGTCATCAGAAGGGTTGAAGGCAACACAAGGCAGTTTTCAACAGTGGCACGAAGAAGTAAAGGGACATACATAAAGATTAAGGATACATCCACTCGAAGAGCATCATAAAGCTGGTCTTGGCGTTGAAGGCAAAGGCAATCCCCCTTAAATCTCTCACCAGGCCAACCAACGTCCTCTGTGTGAAGGGAGAGGTGGGGGTTAAGAGGTGGGGGAGGAAGCAAGAATCCACCCAAAAGCAACTGTAGAAATGGATACAGTATGATCACACCTTGTGCGGGGATTACGCTCTGAGGATGGTTTGTACATGCAAAACCATGTGCACTAAACCCACTCCTTGGAACCACCCCTGCACAAGGATCATTGCCACACAGCCAGTGTGGTGTAGTGGTTAAGAGCGGTAGTCTCGTAATCTGGGGAACCGGGTTCGCGTCTCCGCTCCTCCACATGCAGCTGCTGGGTGACCTTGGGCCGGTCACACTTCTCTGAAGTCTCTCAGCCCCACTCACCTCACAGAGTGTTTGTTGTGGGGGAGGAAGGGAAAAGAGAATGTTAGCCGCTTTGAGACTCCTTAAAGGGAGTGAAAGGCAGGATATCAAATCCAAACTCCTCCTCTTCTTCTTCTTCTTCTTCTTCCTTCCAGACCAAGGCCAAACAGGCCTTGCTCTCAAAGCAAGGTAGAAAGCTTTTAAACATCCACCTTGCTTACCAGGCAAGGGCTCTGGGATGCTCTTGCAGGTCATCCGAGTTCCCCTGAGAGCATCCCAGAGCCCACGCGCTGAGCAGGACTTGCCCATTAAGCAAGTTCCTTCCGTGGCAGGAAAACTCACTGCAAAAAGAGCTTTTAAACTCTCTGTCTTGTGTGCATTTAAACTGTGCAATTTCAACCAGCCCATTTTCAACCACGCAAGGTTGAAACTGTGAGTCAATTGCACGTAAGATGAGATCGTGCTGTAATCCCTGAGCAACAGCATCGGAACACAGTTCAGCTCAGTGCTCATCTATCCCCCCTTAGTGGGAAGACACGGAGCACATTGCGTGCATCTCACTGGTGGTAAGTTCCCTTGAGAGTCGCCAGACACCAACATCTACAGGCCCATTATCTCATTTGATACCACTCAAAGAACAGTGGGACGTACCGTATTTTTCGCTCTACAGGAGGCACTTTTTCACCTCCAAAAATTAAGGGGAAATGTGTGTGCATCCTGTGGAGCGAATGCGGGCTCCTTGGCTTCAGCGATAGCAACGCAAAGCCTCCGAAGCGCAGAGGGAGCGCTCCCCCCGCGCTCCTTGCCTTCGCGTTGCTTTCGCTGAAGCCTGGAGAGCGAGAGGGGTCGGTGCGCACTGAAGCCTTCGGAGCGCAGCCTGAGTTCCTGCTGCGCTCCGCAGGCTTCAGGTTTCTTTCGCTGAAGAGCTGCGCAGCGCCCCTTCAGCCAAGCGGGAGGAGAAATGGAAGGGGCTCCGTTTCTCCTGCCGCTTCGCTGAAGGGGCGCTGAGCAGAGAGGGGGAGAATTTTTTTTTCCTTGTTCTCCCTCTCTAAAACAAGGTGCGTCCTATAGAGCGAAAAATACGGTACTATGAATGTTCCTTGTGGTGGACGGAGGGTATCCGGAGGGAATTATTCCTGCCCTCTCGCTCACTCTCAAGGCAGGGCTTGTGCCCAAAAGGCAAGCAAACTAAAGCATCCATCAGGAGGAGGCTTGGCACAACGCCACTGAGATCAACCAAAAAGTCTGAATAATTGGCATTAAACTAAACCCCTCAAGATTAGGGAAGGAAGGAGAGAGATGCAACAGCCTCTAAGAAGAACAAGTCAGGGATACAATAGCAGAGATTATCCAAATTATAGAAGCCCTAAGAGCCACAACTGGCTTATGCCAGGGGCAGTAAGACAGCCAGGAACTAATATAGCCCCAACTCTCCTGGAGCAAAGAGTACAGGCCGCTGTGGAGTAGGGCTAGGCAGCCAGCTCATCTCCTCCACGATGCAACCTCTTCCTTCTTACCAAGACTTCCCAAGGTCTCTGGTGAGGAGACGGGAAAGATGAGGCACCTATTTCTTTGACACGCTTTGTTGGGAACCTCAAATGAACGGTGTACTTTGCCATTCACCAGGCGACTTTGGCAATGCCAAAAGGCTTCTGAATCACTTTGCACACAGAAGGATTCAGACTCTGGTGTCCAAGTCTTGGTGACTTAGCCAGGCAGCTTTGATGGTGTTGTATCACAGCAAGTGAACCCTGGTCTCTGTGTTCGTCCCAGGAGAAGGATAAGCTTTGTGAAGACAATGCAGGCAACAGTCTGAAAGTGGGCTCAGAGCTGGCGATATAGATTCCCAAGAAGTCTAGAGTGCCTCCGATGCATTGGAACATGCAGGTATGCTTTACTATCAGAGAGGGAAAAATACCGGGCGCATACATCAAGAAGTGAACAAGACACATATCTCGGTTAGTTACTCTATTTGTTTTTAGTATTTAAAATGCCATTTGTTTTGTTATTTGTTTTCCATTACTGAACTGGAGCAAGTGCATTTGACTTCGTTAATCTCACATTTTTGTTTCCGTTTCTTTCGGTAGCAAACCTAGCTAGTCTTTTGCTGTCTAATTGCAGAGCTTTCTATCCAAATGACATAAAACTGAGAAGCATCCTACAACTCTTTAATGGTATCAGACTTGCCAAATTTCAAATGGAGAGGACAAACGGCCCGTTTTATAGGCAACTTTAAAAGGTGCCGACAGTGTCTGACTGCTCTCTTTTCCCGCTCCCTGCAACCAGTACAAGCTGTTCCAGACAGTTTCCATTTTTTATCCCCAAAGAAGCAAATGGCTTTTCCCCCATTTAAAACTCATTCTTTTGAATTACCATTTGTTTTTATACTTAAAGCAAATGAGGTTCGTTCACTTTGGTTTTTTAAAATTCATTTTAAAAAGCAAACATACACCCCTTACTGTACACCCCAAACATTTCTGAGAATCTGGAATTGTTTTGTACTGTGGATATCAAGCAGATATTGCATTGCCAGGGAGGCTGGGGTGTATTTTTCTGAAGACCCGGACACTGGTGACATTAACTGGTGCCTTTCTTTTGCTGGAGTCAATGTACGGCCAAAACTGTTGCTAGGATGACACCCTTCTCCCGTGTTTCCTCTTCTCGCAGGAGGGAAGGTGTGAATTGTCAAGGGCACAGTTGGCTGGGGTTGCGACTCTGGTTTGTTCTAGGAGCGATGGTGTCATCTGACATCAACGCTGCGCCCCGATTCTGCAATCCTCTAGCCCCCAGATGGGCGGGGTACAAATAAAATAAGAGTAAGAATAATGTCTCAATTAGCATGTCATTGAGGGCTTCTTCCCCGAATAGTTTGAGACTCTGATCAGGAACCACAGAAAGGTTTGTTTTAGAGGTTGTTTCCATGATTCAGTGTTTAGGCCATAAATTCATTCTAAACACACCACCATCTTGTCGCAGGATGAGAAGAAAAGAAAAAAAAAGATGCATACAGGCTAGCATCTGCTGCCTGTGACAGTTTTAAGAGTCCTGTGAAATGATCAGGGCCAAATAAGAGAAAAAGCCCCCCTCTGTTGCCAACTGGGGTATAAATGGGTGGGAAATAAATATCCATAATGAGAGTCCGTTTGCTGAGTGGTTGTCTGCCCACTTCCCGCTGGATGAAATTAAGGACTGGTCATTGCTCTTTTCAGGCCAGGATTGCACGAGGAGCCTGATGGCTTTACAGTCCAGGTGGAAGGTAGCATCCTGAAAGCCCAATGAGGTCTGCATGCAGCGAGAAAAAAATCAAACCAGGCAGCCACCTAACTAAGCACTGCAGAAGGAGGAAGGGGAGGAAAAGAAATTACTGGTAGCCAAAAGAGAACGAGGAAGTTCAGAGAGGCAGAAGGGCTCTGACAAATGCCTAGCCCAGGAGTAGGCAACCTAAGGCCCAGGGGCCAGATCCGGCCCAATTGCATTCTCAATCCGGCCTGCGGACGGTCCAGGGATCAAAGTGTTTTTACATGAGTAGAATGTGTCCTTTTATTTAAAATGCATCTTATTTGCGGGGTATAGGAATTCGTTCATTCCCCACCCCCCCAATATAGTCCAGCCCCACACGTGGTCTAAGGCAGTGTTCCCCAACCTTGGGCCTCCAGCTGTTTTTGGACTACAATTCCCATCATCCTTGACCACTGGTCTTGCTAGCGAGGGATGATGGGAGTTGTAGTCCAAAAACAGCTGGAGGCCCAAGGTTGGGGAACACTGGTCTAAGGGACAGTGGACCGGCCCACGGCTGAAAAAGGTGGCTGACCTCTGGTCTAGCCTCAACAGCAGGCAGGAGCAGGAATTTGAGGTGTGTGTGTGTTGAGGGAGACCCTCCTCCTAATGGCCTGATGCACTATGTGTGATTTGTAAAAGACCTGCCTTGAGCCCAAGTCAAAGGATGCCGTCCTCCATTGACAGGTAATCCCTGCTTCAGATTCTGAAGGAGGCTGGCCATCACTAGAGACTGTATGTGGAAGAGCCCTCTTGGTTGCACACACAAGTTGAGAGAGAGCCTCCAAGCCAGGTTTTGCCAACCAGGCGCCCACTACAAGTTTTGGACTACAGTTTGCATCAGTCCCAGTGAGCAGGGCCATTGGCTGATAGGTTAAGCTGAAGTCCAGAATGTTTTGCCAAGCAGGCGACAGAAGCTCTCCGTGGCTTGGAGGCTTGTGCGAGGAGGTGGCTGAAGATTGGGGGAGCGAGAGCTGGACCTTCCTTACCTTTGCCTCCTGCTCATTGAAGGTGTTGGTGCTGAACATCTGCGCCACCGTCTCGAAGGCAGCTGTGAGGGGCAGCATAAACTGCTCATACTGATCCTCGTCCTCCCCTGGAAGAGAGGCATGAAGGACTGTTATCTTCTACAGCCCTGTGCACTGCAACACACGCCACAAATCTGGGGTCACCGTCTGCAGAACTAATTCTCCTCAATTGGCCCATCTAGTGAACTTTGGGGTGCTAACGTGTACAAGATAAAGATCTAGATTTGTCTGGCAGGGCAAGAAGCCCAGAATAAAATTTAAGATATTAACTGATGCAAAGGAAAGAGGTGGATTTGCCCTGCCAGACTTTAAACTTTATTATGAATCAGCAGCTTTTTGCTGGTTGAAAGAATGGCTACTTCTTGAAAATACAGACATTTTGGATTTAGAAGGTTTTAAAAACGTATTTGGATGGCATGCATATTTATGGTATGATAAGGTCAAAGCACATAAAGCATTTAAAAATCATATTGTCAGGAAAGCACTGTTTAATGTTTGGATAAGGTACAAGGATTTATTGGAAAATAAAACCCCAAGGTGGTTGTCACCGATGGAAGCGAAAGCTCAGAAAAGGCTCAATATGGAGGCCAAATGGCCGAAATATTGGGAAATTTTGGAACAAGAAGGAGACAAATTGAAATTGCAGAGTTTTGAGAAACTAAAAAACAAAGTGAGAGATTGGCTTCATTATTATCAGATAATGGAGGCATATAATTTGGATAAGAAAATTGGCTTCCAGGTGGAAAAATCAAAACTAGAAACAGAACTGTTAGAACCCAAAACTAAGAATTTGTCAAGAATGTATAACTTGCTGTTGAAATGGAATACTCAGGATGAAACAGTGAAATCTGCTATGATTAAATGGGCACAAGATGTTGGACATAATATTATGTTTGCTGATTGGGAACAGTTATGGACCACAGGTATGAAGTTTACGGCATGTAATGCCCTAAGAGAGAATATTATGAAAATGATATACAGGTGGTACATGACCCCAGTCAAGCTTGCAAAAATCTATCATTTGCCTGACAATAAATGCTGGAAATGTAAAGAAACGGAAGGTACATTCTTTCACTTTTGGTGGATGTGCCCAAGGATTAAGGCTTTCTGGGAAATGATATATAATGAACTGAAAAAGGTATTTAAATATACCCTCTTGAAGAAACCAGAGGCCTTTCTTCTGGGCATTGTCGGCCAATTGGTGCCAAAGAAGGACAGAACATTTTTTATTTATGCTACAACAGCAGCAAGAATACTCATTGCAAAGTATTGGAAGACACAAGATCTACCCACTTTGGAAGAATGGCAGATGAAGGTGATGGACTATATGGAATTGGCAGAAATGACTGGCAGAATCCGAGACCAGGGAGAAGAGTCGGTGGAAGAAGATTGGAAGAAATTTAAAGACTATTTACAGAAATATTGTAAAATTAATGAATGATAGAATGATGTTGGATAGTAATTAAGCGGTTTCCAGCTGTAATGTTCTAAGAGAATATGAAAAAAAGGGTTATAAATGGGTTAAAATCTAATGGTAAGGATTTGCTGAACCAATAAATTGAAGTGGAATACAAAAAAGGGAGGTACGAGGAGGTCCGGGAAACAAGCTAAAGGAAAATAAGTAATAGAAAATATGTGTGTTTTTAACTGTTTTTATTTTTTATTTTTATTTTTCATTTTCACTGTAATATTTCAAAAAACCTTAATAAATATCTTATATATATAAAAAAATCAACATTCAGATTCCTCCCCAACCCTGCCTAGCAGATTTGTTTGCTTTACAGGAAGTTAGCTTATTAACTGCCCCCACCAATAATTAAATTAGTTAAGACTAGAAGAGTCCAGCGGCCTGTTTCTGGGCCCGTAAGAACAGAGTGCAATACCTAGGTCCACCATGAGGAGGCGCCCAAGTGCAGTGTAGAAAGTTGTCCGACATCTCATATCACTCAGGTTGGACTGATTGTTAATACCCAAGAACGAAAAGTGCTCACTCTGTTGAAGAACAAAAATTAGGTTATTGAGGAGCAGCTGGTCAGGGGGTGAAGGGGCAGGTTTTGTGCCTGGCTTGTGCCCACACTGGCCAGTCAAGAGCACGCTGTCTTCCTCGTCCTGCTTTCGGCAGTTGGGGCAGCTTGACTAGAATTTGGCCATCAATCCCAGCTGTCAAGTGCGTGTAACTCCACTAGATTACTTACAATGCACAGGATTTTTCACTTACTCAAGTGTCATGATTTAGGCGTGGTTTTGAAATTCAATTTGAATTGTCAACAGAAGTGCGAATAACAGGAAATTATAGCAAAACATCCTCTTTTTAGTATTTACTTGCGCAATTTGTAGCACTTAACCTAGCATTTGAAATGCTATCACCAATACTAGCCAGCCACAGAAAGGCCTGGACCTGCGCATACAAGGCAGAGCTGCCAGGAGCTTGTGGGGCACAGCGGTCAAATGCGGATGACTCAAGTCATTGCCCAAGCATTGTAAAGGTAACAGGCGAAGCAACTTTGAACTGGCCTGTATCCTGAAAATTAACAACCGCAAAAAAGCTATGCAAACCCTTACCAAAAGGACTAGAACAGCCTAGAAAACAGACCTTTAGCACCTTCCAGAGGTCATTAGCCATACACTCTAATGGGAAAGGAAAAGGCAAGGATCCTGACACGCTTCTCTTCACAAGGGCTGGGGGCATGTGTTTATTTAAAATGTTTTAATCCCAGGCTCAAAGCAACTCTCATACACTCCAGAAAAAAAATATTTTGCATACTTTCTACACCAAGAGTAGGCAACCTAAGGACCGTGGGCAGAATGCGGCCCAGTCGCCTTCTCAATCCGGCTCACAGACGGTCTGGGAATCAGCGTGTTTTTACATGAGTAGAATGTGTGCTTTTATTAAAAATGCATCTCTGGGTTATTTGTGGGGCATAGGAATTTGTTCATTGCCCCCCCCCCAAAATATTCTGTCCCCCCACATGGTCTGAGGGACGGTGGACCGGCCCACGGCTGAAAAAAGGTTGCTGATGCCTGCTCTACACAGCAAGAGGAACTGGTCTCTCTCTTGCTTCTGCTTGTATTTCGGATGCTTTGATATCTCAGATCCAGGGTTGTGGAGGTGTGTGCAAAGGAGATGACAGACAGACTAGAAACTCATGCAGTGGGGGGCTAAGGGGCCTGTCTAGCTACCTGCGGATGCAATAGTCATTTTCAGGCAAGCAGAAAGACAAGGCTTTTATAAACTGAAAGGGTTCTCTCTCTTTTTCAGGTTGTCATTATCTTACAAGGGACTAACAGAAGGGCAGGTCTGCAGGCCGGATTTGAGGGTCCAAAACAGTCACAGCAGACATCCCAGAGCTCCGGTGCCATGTGGCTTTGGGGACAAACCTTTGTAGCAAGGACAATGGGTTCTGCCCAAGAACAAAACAGCAGGCTTCTGGCAATCTTGAAAGGCAGCCGTGTTTCAAACACGTAGCCCAACCTCTAGATCTGTGGTTCCCAAGGTGGGTGGTACGGCTCCTTCCGGAGTGTGGGGGTGACCTGGGGGGTGCTAAGAGGCAGGAGGGCAGCAGAGGGGCACCGGAGGTGTTAATGAGTGATAGGCTTTGGAAAGCTGGCATCACTGGATCGAGTTCACCAATTTTGTTTAATTAATTGAACTAAATAGTTTTTATTGTCTTTTGGATAAATGCACAATTAATGGTTACTGTTTTAAATTTTACTGTGCTATTATCTGCCTTACTGGGCTGTGCAAACCACTATTCTGTATGTTATTTATAGGGTGGGGGCACTGCAGGGGCTGGGACCTAAAAAATGTTTGGGAACCACTGATCTAGAATAACTCATTTGTGGCATATCTACAAAGACTAGTGAGGAACGGAGCCGAGAATGCTGGGGATGTCGCATGGGAATTGGAAGGGGCTGCACAGATGCTGCTATTACTGCTGCCCTCAATTCCTCAAGTTACAGTCTCTCTCCATCTCTGCCTGTCTCTCACATTGTCAGCACAGAGGCCTCCCATGATGATTCAGGCATGGATGTAGGAGAATTTTGCCATCTAGAAGCACGGCATGAAAATCCACCACAGGGGGCAGCGCAGCACAAGCAACAACCCTTGAGAGGAGACATGAGAGCTGCCATGTATTCAGCAGAGACCTTGGGAACAGAAGCTACCTGGGCCAGGAAGACTTCATCCTAAGGAACAAACAGGGACACCTTTTACCGTGCAAATTCACTCAACCTCAGTGAAGCACCAGAGATGGCTGAAAGCTTACCGTGTGATTGTTCAGCATGAACTGCACAGCGCTGAGTTTCACCAGTTTCCTAACGCTGCTGTAGGTAGAAGCCATGTTAAGGAAACAGCACCAGTCAAAAACTGGTTAGAAAGCCCTGGGAGGATGAAGGGACGATTCCCGGGACTGCCAACAAGGTAGCCTCATGCAAACCCGGGAAGATGGGTTCCTCAACCTGGTACTCTCCAGATTGTTCTGACTACAACTTCCATCACCCCAGCCAGCGTGACTGATTGAGTTAGGCCCTTAATGTCAAAGTTGCCTATTGCAATATCTGCAGTTGCATTCACACACTCCGTCCCTGACCCATAGGTCAGGCTGGCTAAGAACTTGATAAGTGCCTGCTGGATCAGGCAAATGTTCCATCCAGTCCAGCATTCTGCTCTCACAGTGGCCAACCAGGTGCCTATGGGAAACTGGCAAGCAGGATCTGAGCACAAGAGCCTCTCCCCTCCTGTGGTTTCCAGTAATGGATTTTCAGAAACACTGCTGCCTCCAACTGTGGGGGCAGAACATAGCCACCATGGGATTTTCACCTTCCTTCTGCTGTGTGCAAGTTACCTGCTCTGCAAGTACATTCATGTGGTAGATCTGCTCCCTAGTTATGGTCAGGACTGCAGAGATTAATCTGCATTGGGCTGGGAGTTGAAAAGGCAACTTCTGGGTCCTCTTCCAACCCATAATTATTGATTAATAGTTTGCTTTTTAAAATCCTAGTTGCACCTACCCAACTAGGCTAAGCTTCTTCCCCAATTTATCTGCACTTTACAAATACAAAGCGAGTTAAGAAAATGAATTTAACCTGTTCTAGTGCAAAAGAAGAGTTTGGATTTGAAATCCTGCTTTATCACTACCTGAAGGAGTCTCAAAGCGACTAACAATCTCCTTTCCCTTCCTCCCCCACAACAAACACTCTGTGAGGTGAGTGGGGCTGAGAGACTTCAGAGAAGTGTGACTGGCCCAAGGTCACCCAGCAGCTGCATGTGGAGGAGTGGAGACCCAAACCCGGTTCACCAGATTATGAGTCTACTGCTCTTAACCACTACACCACACTGGCTCGCTACAAAACCCTAGTACTTAGCTGGAATCAATTGCCTAGGGGGTAGGGGCCATTTTTTTCTGGGCAAAATGAGAAATGGGATGATGATTTTGAGGCAGACCAAAGTTATCAATTGCCAGGCTGGAAATGGGACGGTGAGCCCTGAAGGACATCAAAGCAAGGAAGCCTGGCTTTGCCTGACAGCTGCCTGCAACTGTGACGACGTGTCCGTTGGGTGCCCAAACCCAAGGAAGAGGTCTGCTGAAAAGGATATCCAATGGAGAGGTCGTTGAGAAGCTGTAGTGTCTTGGAGGTGATCGGCTCACACCGCCCCCAGTACTTCAGGTTGGTGATGCTAGAAGGGGAGAGAAAAAATACACTCAGATTCAAGACTGCCCCTCCTTTCTCTCACCCATCTCCATCCTCCCCTAAAGCCACAGACAACGACACAAGCCAGAAAAGACCAGCGTAAAGTCACAGTACTTACATTTGGTTGACTAGAAAATTATCCTTCAGATAATCTTCACTACTTGGATCCCAAAGCTACACTGGCCCAAACTCAGGGCCCGTGGAATGCTGTGGCACTGTTGGGCCGATTTCTGCAGCAAGGGCAAGAGAATCCTGCGGCAGTGACAACATGCCCCTCTGCCGTGAGGCAACCTGCCCCTTCCACCACCGGCTGCAGAATTCCAGAAGCCCTTGTGAAGAGTCTCACCCAGCAGCCACAGGCCTCAAGGTGGGCAGCCAAGGGCTGATTCGGCCTGGGGGCTAGGGAGGGAAGCGCTTGACCCCCTGGCCCCTCAGGAGCTCGACTGGCTCATCCCAGGCCACACTTCCAAGAAGGGAGCCTTCAACCATTTAAAACTAAGTAATGCTACCAGGGGGTGGGCAGGGGCAGAACAGTCCTGCTTTGGAAGGTGGCTGGCGTGCAAAACAGAGCATGCCTTTTCACTCCTGCCTAGGCAGGTGAAACCGCTGCTGGGAGGAGAAATCTCATGTGGGGGAAGGTGTAGAGGAGGAGGACAGGTGCATCTCTGGAGCAGCCCATCAGCCAAACTCTGGCCCAAAGTTCAGCCTGTAGCCTGGAGGTGTTCCTGCTCTAGTCTCTGAGCATCCCAGCAGAGACTCAAGGGCTTCAGAGATGTATGATGGACAAGCGCAACTGGCAAGGAGTCAGAACACTTACATTTTCCCTATAAAGACACTCAGGACCATGGTCTCATCGTTCAGCCCAAGGACCTCCGAGAGCCGCCGATATAGCTAGAAGCGGAAAACAAAGTCAAGCTTAGAGGCTTCCTTAGAAATTGTTATTTTTCCTTTAAGACCACAGGTGCCTGGAGGAAACAGAAGCCTAGCAGGTCAGGAAAAAGAAAACACAACACTCAATGGCTGTTTAGTATGGCACCTGCTTCCTAGAATCATTTAAGGATACAAGAAGAGCCTGCTGCAACAGGCCAATGGCCCATCTAGTCCAGCATCCTGTTTTCACTTTGGTTATGCAGGATTTGAGCACAAGAGCTACTCTCCCCTCCAGTGCTTTCCAGCAACTGGTATTCAGAAGCGTTTCGGCCTAACTGTGGAGGCAGAGCATAGTTATTGTGGCTAGTAGTCATCAATAGCTATATAGAGCTCAGGCTTTCTTTCCTGCTGCTTGTGGGGAGGCTCTTTCAGGCTTCACAGCCATGCTGCCCTCTGTCTAGCCCAGACCTCACCCAGGTATTCTCCATTTGGAGGCAGCTGCATTCACTTGGAACTCCTCCAAGCACCCTGCACCTCTTGATTTGGGTACGGAGAAAACATTTGACTTCTGCTTTGGCCACTAGCCTAAACCGTGGCCGACTTCCAACAGCCAGCAAGTCACAAAAAAGCAGTCGCAGGTGGAGCCTTTCATTATGCCATGAGAGCAGGTAGGCCCGAAAACATAAAAGCCACTAGGAGGCAGAGGAGGCATTTACCTTGGAAGACTTCTGCACCTGGTCTCCGATGTAGATCTTCCGGAACTGCTCAAAGAAGCTCAGCATGGCAAGCTCAAGCTTCTCATTGCCGGCCTGAGCCAGGCGTGAGTCGGTTAGGTTCATGAGCTGAAGAACCCTAGGGAGGCAACAAGTGAGGGGGTGGGAATTGAAGGTCATGCAACATCACAGAGGCTCAGTACTTAGCCAGCAAGTTTGAAGTTGCCCCTGCCATGAGGAAAGGGTGCCTCTTTGTTACCCCATGTTAGATGAACGCAGGCATTAAGAGCATGAGCTGCAGAACTCTGCACACACTCTCGACACAAGGAGAGGGGGCTAACTGTAGGGCAGACGCATGCGTCACTGGACACCAGACTGAAGATGCAGCCACAGGCAGGTAGGCAGCCTGCGGCCATGACAGTCACCACTGGAAGGTGCCTCTGAGACGCAGGACTTGCTCCAGTTCACTGGTGTCCACATGCAAGAACGAATTGTATCAATGGGCAGGGGGAATATTCAGTTAGGCTTCTGTGCTCTCTGCAGGCTGAAAATGACTCAATGCACTGCCCAAAATTTTATGTAGGATTGAGCCAAAGAGGGTGTAGTGGTTTTTCTTTGATTAACCATTCCAGTGGTGACGTTTAAAACAGCTTTTACTTGGTCAGAACAACAGCAACCATTGGGAACTCACAAAAGCAGCGTTCAAAGGCTTGTGAGTAAACACAGGCATATCTAGTGGCATTCCTGTGCATTAACTTTACACAAGCAGAAAAATTAAGTCACAATCTCAGAGGAAAAGCATGCATGCATGATCAGAGATGATGCCGCAACTGGCGTGGATTAATTGAAGAAAATCCACTACAAGGGCTTAAAAGACTCTCAGGGATCCTTGACTTGTGTGAAATTTTAAGTATTCAGTCAAGTTCAAAATGCTTCTCACCCAACATTTTCTGCTGTTTTAGAAGCGTTTTCTACACTTTCCTAATTATGTTTTACCCCGGAATGCACAACTTGTATTTGGCAAGAGGAACCTTTCTATGTGCAAGAAGTCTGCGGAATAAGATGGAGATTTGTATAATCTATTCTGCTTCCACTAATTCTGGGATGGAGATTCCTCGGAGTTCAAACTTCTGCAGTACACAGCCCTCGTGATAACCCTGAAGGTAAGAGCAGCCACAGAGCTGTGCCACTAATTCTCCCACCCAGCCAGCCACTAATCCCAGATAACAGCTCTTCATTATGGCCCTTTCCATATTCTAGTGTTTTCAGCATGAAGAAACCAGGGCTGCTAAGGAATCCAACGGCTCCTACCGACAAACCAGCTCGCCGTCCATTGCGTCCTGCTCATCTGTGCTGGCAAATGACACTCGCCCACCAATCACAGCCCCAATGATATAGACGAGCCACGTCAGGCGTCCTGAAACCAGAAGAGCAAGAGTCCTGATCCACAGAAGTGTTTCCCTGAAAAGCTAAGATCAAGGTCCAACAATTGGGGAAGATGGGATTCCCTTGCATCTACAGTCCACACTAAAAATATCTCAACCACTGTACTTCTGAAAAAAAGGGAGGGGGGAGTGAGTTTCTACTGTTTTCCTGACAATCTGTTGCACTGCTGATCTGTTCTTATAGTTAGACCTACACTGGCTCCCAGTACGTTTCTGAGCACAATTCAAAAGTGTTGGTGCTGACCTTTAAAGCCCTAAACGGCCTCGGCCCAGTATACCTGAAGAAGCGTCTCCACCCCCATCGTTCTGCCCGGACACTGAGGTCCAGCACCGAGGGCCTTCCGGTGGTTCCCTTACTGAGAGAAGTCAAGTTACAGGGAACCAAGGAGAGGGCCTTCTCGGTAGTGGCACCCGCCCTGTGGAACGCCCTCCCACCAGATGTCAAAGAGAAAAATAACTACCAAACTTTTAGAAGATATCTGAAGGCAGCTTTAGGGAAGCTTTAAATGTTTAATAGGTTATTGTATTTTAGTGTTTTGTTGGAAGCCGCCCAGAGTGGCTGCGGAAACCCAGCCAGATGGGTGGGGTATAAATAATAAATTATTATTATTATTATTATTAGAAGCAGTGGTTTTAAATAGCAGATTATGCCAGCGCTTTAATTTCTTCTTCCTCCTAACCACAGCCAACCTTTGAACAAATGCTATTCTTTTTTCTTTAACCTCAGCAGTTTCAACCAGCATCTAATAGGTTCTAATGCCCCTTTCCTCTGATATTCAGATGAAACTTGCCACCTACTCTCTTACTGCCCCAAAGTCCTTTGCCATTTCCACTGCTCCATTACTGCAACACATACTATAATTTGCAGCAAATGATGCAAGATGGGGCAGCAAAACAGAGTCCCTTCCTGCCGCATGCCGTATCTGCTTTGCTGACGAAATCTCTGGAGGCAAGCAATTTATGTCCCCTTTTCCAAGATCTGTTCAAAGTACAACCTGAAAAATTCACAGGTAATACCCATGACAAACTAATTAAAATATGCACAAAGGGTCACAATCTTAAAGGACACTGGGTTGGCTAAAGGGTGAAGAAGCAGCAGCACCCTATACAACCCCTTTCCCCGAACTCTTCTTTGCTGTGATGCACAGGAGTGATGCAGCTGATCTCTGGGCCCTCACCTTCCTGCACAGCCACATCCACAGGGATGGCCGTCGCACTCTGCAACAGCTCCTGGTAGGACTGAGCTGACTGGTCAAACAGCTGCACAAGGAGAGCACACGTCTTCTCATATTCACAGCGCCCGATAGTGGACAGCTGGTCTAGCTGCTGCTGCACCAGGCCCGTGTCGTCCAGCGGATCTTCCAAGCCGTCTCTGCATGGGGAGCAAGCAGCAAGGCGGGGAGAGAGAGTGAAACGCGGCTGCCAGAAGGTGGATCAAGCTTGTTTCCCAAAGAACGCAGCTCAGTTCTCACCTCTAGGCTGTAAGGCAAGGCCCACTATGCTGTTGTTTTGTGGCAGCTCTCTGGAAGAGGCCAGCAAATCCACCTGTAAATCACTACCTGGCAGCTCTGTTGAGCCCAAGGCCCACATTTTGTTAAACTGGAAATATTCATTCATTCATTCATTCATTCATTTATGCTGATGCAATTTGACCTGTTTACTTTATGATAGAATTGTTTAGTTGTTTATTGGTCCTGTTGATATGATTTTGTAATTTTTCTATATCATTTTTCTATGGTTTTTAATTTTTTTTTACTTTCCTTCCCACTCTGGGACTCAGAACATTCAAATAAGAGGGAGCTACAAGTAAGACTGATAAGTAAATAAATAACCACAGCATATTTTTGTGTGGGTAATAACTCCCACAACAACAGATCAATATTAAAATCCCCAAGTTGTAAAGCATTTAAAAAACAAACATGCAGATGCAGCAGATAAAACCAAGTTCTTAAAACACAGCAACCCTAAAATCACCCCAACACAGACCAGAATGAAAAAAGGCCTATGAGAGGGGGAGGGGGATCATGTGTATTTCCCTGGGAAGGATGTTGTAGGTTTAGGGGGCCACCACAGAAAAGGCGCTGCTGCTGCTGGTACTCATCAACCTAACAGCTTTTACCCGTGCACTGGACAGCAGCTGCAGGGCCAAGCTTATAGCTTGGGTAGGTACGTATGGGTACATGGGTCCTTCAGATAACTGGGTCCTGAACTGCTTAGGTACCAACAGGGGGTTGTGCAGGCTGTTCTCCCTCCACTCCTTGAGTACCACTTTATCCTTGGCCTCTTTACCTCAGTATGATGTGCACAGACTCCAGCCTGGAGGTGATGTAAGCTTTGGTGACTTCAGGCGTGTAAGTCTCCAGCATGTGTGGCTCTGTGGCTTTGACGTAAGGAACCGACGCTGCCAGGCGCTGCCACAGGCTCAGGAGATAGTGAACGCTGTTCGGAGCAAATTCCCAGTGCTGTAGGAACAAAGGGGAGGAAACGGAATGCCACTTGCGGGCTGGCCAGCGTCCCCCACCCCGATCCCCAGCCTTTGGGCTGAAGGACATGGGAGCCATTCAAGCAAACAGCCATCAACATTTGTAAGTAGAGTAAGCAGCACAGTGCAGTTCTGTTTGGACACCTGTATGCTTCTAAAGGGGAACCTAAAGTCTGTACTTGGGACCTTGAACATCCTTATTTTGGGTGTGTGTGTCATGCATCTCAGCACCTGAATACAACAAAGGAAGCTTCTCCATTTTTATAAAATTAAACAAGATTCTGCCACGCTGGCCAAGGTAGTGGATTTTCTTCTATTCACCACTCCAGTTGCAACGTTTACGATAGTTTTTATTTGGTCAGAACAAGAGTAGCTTATACAGAGGCACTCCCTCACCTTAGCTTTACACATGCGCAGAAATTAAGTCACATTCTCAGAGGAAAAGCATGCCTGCATTATCAGAGCTGGATGCCTGGTTAAGCAAGAAGAATTCAGTGTCTAATTTCTATCAAACAGGCCCATGGCTGAGATTTCCCCCCACACAAACATTACAGAAACATACAGTAAGCAGATTCTCCTAACAATATCCTTTCACACACTTTTTAAATTCCCTCACATGCAGGCTACCTAACGTCAGTACATTTCCCAAACATGGGGAGAGGAGATGTTTCAAAGACTGGTGGCCCTGACAGACGGTACGCTTTGCCTTGCTGTGGTCTGAACGGCTGGAAGTGTTTCCTGCTCTTAATGAGCTAAAATGCCGTGCAGCGAGGAACAAACCAAGGCAATTCTGCGTAATGACAGGGGGCACAATATTACCTTATGCACCTTATATACCCACAGCAGGTGACTCTGAGAGGGGAGCCCACCACTCCCCTCTCAGTTTGAACCTAACGAGGTCAAAGGTCGCAGTGTGATTTTGGGTGCTCTCCCCCTGCTGAAAACCCTCCCTCCGCAACACACACGCACACAGTGCCAAACCACGCAGCTTCTCACCTGCAAGCTGGTCACTGTGAAGTTGGCAATGAGGCGGATGACCTCAGGGTAGTTTTCCACTTTCACCAGCTCCCCGAGCTGGTAATTGCTTTTCAGGCGGGCCAGAAGTCGACAGAACTCATGGTAGTTGTTTGGGTCTGACAAGCTCTGGGAAAGGAACAAATTTCGAAATGGGTCATGGCACAGGAATCAGTAAACTGGATTGATTGATTATTTAATTTGTATCCCACCCTCCATCTGAAGATCACAGGGCAGCTCACAACATTAAAGTGTGGCACAGCACAAAAAACGTTTGCTCCCATGGCTGGGGACTAGTGAAGGCTCATCACTGTGGCATACAATGAATGGGTCTACCTGAGAGCCAGGCAACAGCAGCCCAACACTGCTGGTGATAGGGGCTGCCATTAAGTACAGTATCCGAAACACTAATTTGTTCAGGCACTAAATAACTGAGCACCTAAGACCTCTGACTCGCTCTGCAATGTTGGTGGGCATCCTACCACCGTGAACCAGCCTGGCCCACTGTGTGGAGTCAACAGCTGCCCTTGTCTTCGGATGGGGGACAGAAATGTCGCTCAAACCTGTTGTGCACCAAGAATGGCAGATAATGGCCGAGTGAAATTTATGAAGCCTGGAGTAGGCTGAGGTTCTTGTGACCTGCATCTCTTTGTAGCTTCTTATTATCTAGCAGAACAAACAAGTATACAAAGAGAGCCCTTGTTCCAAGTTCCTGCCTTTACCTACCACAAAAGGCACCGTCCACACACAAGAAGGAATCAGCAACTGGGGGGAAAGGTTTGCAGAAGTGGGGGGGGGGGCACAATGGGATGTGGTGGGAGGAAACAGATGAAGATACTGCTGGGTTGGGCCAAAGGCCCATCTAGTCAGTCATCCTCTTTTCACGATGGCCAACCAGATGTTCCAATTGGAAACCTGTGCAAGAGCACTTCCCTCTCCAGTGGTTTTCAACAACTGGAATAACAGTCCAATGAGAACAGAGCACGGTCAGTGGATATGGAAGGAGTGACTAAAAAACTGAAGAGTGAACACGGCAATAAACACACACACGTGTGTGCACTATAGGTTGCAGAGCTCAGCAAAGAGACTTGCCAAAAAAATCTTTTGGCACATAATGTTGCTGGGTTCAGTATGAAGCACTCACCTACTGACGGATCTCAATCCCGGGACATTTTCTCAGTCACAACCACTTATTTCTTTCCTCCAATTTTGCCTGCCCAAAGTTAACCACGAGTACGATGAAGCTTTGTGTTTATTCACCCTCTTAAGCTTTGCCTTGGTTGCCAGCTAGTTTACCACCTGTTGCTCAGTTCCATGGGCCTTTGGCTCTCCACTGTTTCCAAGCTTCAAGAGGCAGTTTGTGACCACACACACACACACACACACACGGTTAACTCTCATCCACAGTTCTGACAGACTCACCTGAGGGTTTTCCAGTATTCGCTTGACACCATCAACGAGATGAGAAAGGAACTTCGCTCTTTCTGCATTGTTAAATAGGGACCTACGTACAGAGGCGATTTGCACTAGACACGATAAGACCTAAAGGCAGGAGGGTGAATAAAAGGGAGAACCGTAAGTTGTCTGGGATAAAATATAAACCAAATACACACTTGCACTGGCATATAGGTTGTGGAAAGACAATGCAAACAAGCAGGTAACCATTTTGCAGAGGGAGGGAGGGAGAAAAACTTCCTCCTGATCTCCCAACAGGGTGATCAAACCCACCCTGTGAATCTGCTCAAGGGGATGTATGCCCCTGGAACATATGCCCCTGCCCACTAAGTCAGGAATGCCACACTCACCAGAGGTGAAAACGTAGGAGGGATGGAATGGTACAGGTCAAAAAACAGCTGTAAAGTTGAGGAATCTAGAAAGGCTGGAAGAAACAAACAACACATCACTGTCGATACCCGAACTCTGGCAAAGTGGTTCAACCAGCACTCGTGACTATCTCAGGCCTTCAACACCCTTGGCGCTGACGGGTTTTTCATCATCATTATGATCATTGTAAGATTCCTGCATTACAGGGTGTTGGACTAGATGGCCCTCATGATCCCTTCCAACTCTATGATTCTAAAACTGGAGGCCAATCTACAGCATCATGGCCCCAATCCCCACTCTCAACGGCTTTTAAAGATGCTGAAAGACCTCAGGAGATCCTTGAGTGGTTCTTCTCATGTCACATATAACTTCCCTGCATGTGGAATGCTTTCTCTAGGGAAGCTCGCCTGCCACCTTTGTTACATATCTTCAGGCAAAAACATTCCTCTACTCCCAGACCTTTGCCTAATTAAACAAACCATGGCCTTTTAAACTGTGCGTGTTTTTTGTTTGTTACTGTGGTGTGTATTTCTGTGTTTTTCTATTGTAAACCGCCCTGTGATCCTCGGATGAAGATGGTATAGAAATTTTAAACATCACCGCCCACCCAGAGCTGAGACTGGAAACACAGAGCTTTCAGACTTCAATACAGTCATACCTCATGTTATGTTTGCTTCATGTTACGTTTTTCAGGTTGCGTCCCGCAGCGACCCAGAAGTACCGGAAAGGGTTACTTCCAGGTTTCACTGCTCGTGCATGCGCAGTAGCACTAAATTGCACTTTGTGCATGCACAGTAGCACTAAATCACGCCGCACACCTGCGCAGACACGGCGCTTGAAGTTACGGGCTTTTCATGTTGCAAACGGGCCTCCAGAACGGCTTCCGTTCACAACCAGAGGTACCACTGTACAAACATTAAGAAAATTCTCTAATATTCAGCCGCTGCTGTTGAATGAATCTAGCATGCAGAAGCAAACTGTTTTCTTTCTAAGACAACAACAAAAAGAAAACCAATGTTATTTGCAGAATGTTTCTGCTGAAAGATTCCCCCCACCCCATGCTGGTTCCCCATTGAGGGAGGCAGTCATTCTGGAGATAATTTTTTTAATTGGCATGAACCGAGCAGCAACTATCAAGTACAGCCTTGTGTAAAAGTGCCGTCTTATGCTTCTTGTTTTCAAAGCTTCTACTAAACCAGCCTTCTTCAACCTGGTGCATTCAATAAGTTTTGGACTACAACTCCCATCAACCCCAGCATGTGGGGCTGTGCTCCCAACACTGCCCCCACTACACCGCTGGCTAGTTGCGGCCAATGCGAGTTTCAGTCCAAAACTGAGGCACCAGGATGGTAAAGTCTAAACTAAACATCCATTCCTTCACCACATGCAAGGGAAAGGGGACAGGGAGGGAAGATGAAAGTAAGTACAGTGGTACCTCTGGATACGAACGGGATCTGTTCCAGAGCCCCGTTCGCATCCTGAAGTAAACGCAACCCGTGTCTGCGCGTCGCTGCTTCCGCGCATGTGCGTGACGTCATTTTGACTGTCTGCACATGCGCGAGTGATGAAACCCGGAAGTAACGCGTTCTGTTACTTCTGGGTCGCCGTGGAGCGCAATCCAAAAGCACTCAACCTGAAGCAACTTCAAACCGAGGTATGGCTGTATTTAAAAAAAATCAAAACTCAGGCACCAATTTCTAGACATTTTACAACTCATCTTTATCCATACAAGCTACAGCGTGGAGCATTCAAAGCACTCCACTTGTGCCAACCTGGTGCCCTTTGGATGTTTTGGACTACAGTGGTACCTCGGGTTACATACGCATCAGGTTACAGACTACACTAACCCAGAAATATTACCTCAGATTAAGAACTTTGCTTCAGGATGAGAACAGAAATCGTGCTCCCGCGGCGCGGCAGCAGGAGGCCCCATTAGCTAAAGTGGTGCTTCAGGTTAAGAACAGTTTCAGGTTAAGAACAGGCCTCCAGAACGAATTAAGTTCCTAACCCGAGGTACCACTGTACAACTCTCAACAGCCCTAGCACAGGAATACTTGAATTGGGGATCTGTCAGCACTCTGGTCACTCAGAGAGGATGGGAAGACTGCGCACAGCTTGCAAAGTCACACCTGCTACTGATCAAGTTCCCCTCCCACAGCTCACTTCCCAAGGATTCTCACGGCTGGGCCAGAGCAGGGAAGAAAGGCGCTTTACCTGATCTCCAGCTGGTGGGGATCTGCACGGTGCAAAGGTCATCTGAGGACTCATCTGTGGATGTACCAATGAAGTCGAAGTTTAGGCAGTTGTGTGTGAGCTTGAGAAGCTGCATGAGGAGGCCGTGCTGGCTTTCATCGTTCAGGTTCAGGTTTTTCCCTGAAGCCTACCAGAAGAAGAAAAATAGAATGCAAAACCACATCTGTTAATGGGCAGAGTTCAAGACACCTGCCAAGCCTAAAGGAAAAGGGAATCCTGGAATGGGAAAGCAAAAAGGTTTCATCTCAGGGCTCCCCTACCAGAAACGCTGGAATGCCCCAATCTTACAGTAAAAGAAAAAGTGGAGCTTTATTTCCTGTGGAACTCGGTTTTAATAAATAATAATGATGTTTTTATTTATTTACACCCTGCCCATCTGGTTGGGTTTTATATCCAACACATATAAAAACATAATAAAACACTGAACACTAATAATAACAATCTGATCCAATATAAAAAGTCACAATAACTTTAAAATAAACAACTTAAATAAAGCAATAGTCAATAATCTATTAGAATTTAATAGTAAACAGTAAAATTAAACATCAGCAAATAATAGACAGATTACACTTATCAATTACAATAAAGAATTACTAATCTATAATAAAGGTAACGGCAAGTCTCAGTGCATAAAATACTACAAAACATACAAAACCATGTAAAAGGACATGACTTTTATTCAGTGCCTACCCTCAATTTTCTGCTGCTTTACTTTTGTTATTTACAATGGTACCTTGGGTTACAGACGCTTCAGGTTACAGACTCCGCTAACCCAGAAATAGTACCTCGGGTTAAGAACTTTGCTTCAGGATGAGAACAGAAATCGCACGGCAGCAGTGCAAGGCCCCATTAGCAAAGTGGTACCTCAGGTTAATAATAGTTTCAGGTTAAGAACAGACCTCCAGAACAAATTAAGTGCTTAACCTGAGGTACCACTGTACTGCATTCACACATCACATTTTTCTCCAAGGTGGTGTACACAATTCTCCCCTTCCTCATTTAACCCCCACAACAAGCCAGTGAGGTAGGCGAGGCTCAGAGTGTATGATTGGCCCAAAGTCACCCAGTGAGCTTCATGGCCGAGTGGGGATTTGAACTCAACACTGCTTCTTCTCCTCTCATATTGTATCACAGTGTGGTATGCTGGCTTGACAACCACGGACAGAAAGTCTTTACAGGGGGTGGTGAACACAGCATATGATATCATGGGCTGTTCCCTGAGCCCGCTAGATGACATCACAAGGGATCGTTGCCTTAGGAGAGCGAGAAAAATTCTCAGGACAATTCATACCCTGGCCAGCACCTCTTTAATCTTCTACCCTCAGGCAGGAGATATAGAAGTATAATCAGTCGTACCAACAGGCTAAAAAACAGTTTCTATCCGTGGGCTGTTAGGCTGCTGAACGGAAAATAATATAGTGCAACTGACTTTCAGGGTTGGTGTGTTGTGCGACAAGCACACAGAGTGCAATGAGATTGAGTGTTTGGGGGGGGGGAGGGAGGCTCAGTTAATTTCATTGTACACAGGTTGTACGTTAGAAATAAAGGTATTATTATTATTATTATTATTCTGTAGTTCCCTTTTCAGGACAGCTAAATTTCTCGTCAATACAGCTCAGCTAATTTAAAACCACACAGGCGTTTGCTTGATACAGCATTCTTCACAGAAGCAATTTCAGGGTCCTAAACCCACAGCTAGAAGAAAACACTGTCCAAAGTTCCACCCCCCCCCCCAAATGTTGTTCTCACATCACCTGTTTTAGTAAATTGCACGAGAGAGTGAAAATATCAAACAAAGATGAATCTCGGAATGAAGAGGCTATTTTCCTGTGCTTGGTCAATGGGTGTGTAGTGTCTGCCTGGGTGGGGTGGGGAGCAGGGAAGGAGAGACAGAGAGAGAGAAAGAGATCATTAGAACTCAAGTGTCTGTTAAAGAGTGCAGAGTCAAACTAACCATCTCAATAAAGGAAAAACACGAAACAGCAGAACACCCCATATACTGCCCTCTGCCAGTAAATAAAGCATGCTAACCGCCTAGAGCACTAATTTCATAGAACTCAAGGGTTTGAAGGGAACCCAAAGGCCATCTAGTCTAACAGCCTGCAACGCAGGAATCCCAGCTAAGAACTTAGAAGTCCGTTCAATGATTTACAGTTCTGCAGAACAAAACTGTGACAGCCTGGCAGCATTCAGGGAATGCCCAAGCTTCCAGACTGAGGTTGACTGTCTCCTTTGCATGGGGTGTAGGCCGAGCCATCTAAATGCCTGGAAAGGAGAAGCTGGAGGAAGAGGGTGATTATTTGCAATTTTGCAGAGAGTGGCTTTGCCATTCTTACTGAAGAAATGGGGGCTTTTGGCTGAGAAAAAACTCTGGGTCACCATCAGTTAATGCTTTTCATAGAAAGCAGTGCCCTTCTGAGTCTCTGGATAGGGAAGAGGTGTAAACGAAGCCTGAGACAGCAGAGACTAATCTCTGGAGGGAGTGCTCAATTTCTTACCACCAAAGGACATGAAATCGGTGCATAACATACAACAGCAATCCAAAGGGGAAGCGTTGACAATGAGTTTACTGGCGAAGGCTGAGGCACTTACTTGATTAATTTCATTTGTTAGCTGAGACAGGATTGTCACTCCTATGATGCAGTGTTCTACACTGTCCTGGAGAAGGAACAGGCAGAGTCAGACTGAATGACAAGGGAGGTCAAAGCAGCAAGATGACAAATGTTACTGCGCGCACACACGCGCGCGCGCACACACACACACACACACACACACAGAGACAATTAAGATCCCTTGGGCAGAAGTGATTCTGTACTGTGCATTGATGGTTTTTGGTTTTAATATTTTGGGTACTCTCTATTACTGTGTTTCATTATTTTAATTTATTGTCGCAAACCACCTTGAAGGGTTTTCCATCAGCCCCAGTGCCAAATGGCCTTGCTGGCTGGGAATTACAGTCCAAAACAGCTAGAGAGCATTAGGTTGGTGGCGACTGTCTGATGGCATCCTGGGAAGCCTCTTGGTTAAACCACTACATACGCCAAGTGGGACGGGTGGGGTGGAGGAAACGGCCAACCTGTAAAAACCTTGTGACGTCAGTGATGACGTTTCTGAAAACATATTCATCTTTCTGACAGTCAAACCAGCCCAGCTTTGTGATCCTGGCGTAGAGCTGAATTAGTGCCTGCGTAACGAAAGTTGCCAGCTTGGGTCTGGTGGCAAGGTAGTTGAGCACGTAGTTCCCTGAAAGACACGGAAACATCCAGATGAAGAAGAATGGCAAAGACCGGAGCCAAAAACTGATAAATAAAGCATCTCCTGAAGCTGACCTTTTGAAACAAGCCCCCCCCCCCCCCCGCTGCAGCAACACAGAAAAGTCACCACAGGGGCTTGGACTAGATGGCCCTTGATGTCCATTCTCTTTCTGCAATTCTATGCTTCTATAGCTGTGCCTGTTGGGTGTCCCTGGCGACTACATAATATCAAACCAAGGAGTAAGTGGGACATTTATTGTAATTTCTACACAAGCACGCGGGACGCGGGTGGTGCTGTGGGTTAAACCACAAGAGCCTAGGACTTGCCGATCAGAAGGTCGGCGGTTTGAATCCCCACAACAGAGTGAGCTCCCGTTGCTCGGTCCCTGCTCCTGCCAACCTACCAGTTTGAAAGCACGGCAAAGTGCAAATAGATAAATAGGTACTGCTCCAGCAGGAAGGTAAACCGCGTTTCCGTGCACTGCTCTGGTTCGCCAGAAGCGGCTTAGTCATGACCCAGAAGCTGTACTCCAGCTCCCTCGGCCAATAAAGCGAGATGAGTGCCGCAACCCCAGAGTTGGCCACGACTGGACCTAATGGTCAGGGGTCCCTTGCGTGTGCAGACGCGTGGGTCGCGGGTTGCGAATGCTGAGGGTTGCAAACGTGCCTCCTGCACAGATCACGTTTGCAACCCGAGCATTTGTACAGTTGTACCTTGGAAGTTGAACAGAAGCCATTCCGAAAGTCCATTTGACCTCCAAAACGTTCAGAAACCAAAGCGTGGCTTCTGATTGGCTGCAGGAAGCTCAGAAGTCCCGTCGGACGTTCAGCTTCCAAAAATAGTTCGCAAACAGGAACACTCACATCTGGGTTTGCGGCGTTCAGGAGCCAAAACGTTAGAGAACTAAGCTGTTTGAAAACCAAGATAGGACTGTACTTGTGCATATTTAACTTGTGTGATTTCAACGAAGTTGAAGGCTGCCTGGTTGAAACTTAGCAAGTTAAATGCAAGCAAGGGCAGAGAGCTTTAAAGCGCTTTAGTGCTGGGTCCACTTGGGGTTTCCAAGCAGAGATTTTAAGCTGTCCCCCTTGCTTGTGGGGTAAGCCCCTCTTGGCACACTGGTTCTGGGATGATGCTCTTGCGAGATCTCATGGGGACATCAGAGTTCCTACGAGATTTTGTGCAAGCATCTTTAGCCTGCTGGAGTTAGTGCACTAAGTAGCCCTTGCCCTCCAAGCAAGGAAGAGAGTTTAAAAGCTATTTTTCTGCCAGGTCTACTTGGGTCACTATGTGCTTGTGGGGCTAAGGGTTTCAAGGGCTTGGGTATATACAATTTTTGAGTATATGTGGAACCCTAGGAATTGAGCCTCCACGTAAGATGCAATTGTACTGTACGTAATTGTTGTGGTTAAATTATTTTTGAATGGCTGCTTGTGTTTCTAGGCTGTTTTAACACTTTATGGGTGGCTTATTGGACTTAATAATAGTTAACCATTTAAAAAAGTTTGACAAGCAATTGTTTCAGTTTACATTAGCAGGTTGCATTGGACTTCTTAAGGAAAGGAAAGGTAAACATGTTTTAAATAATTATGTCATATGACAAAGCCAACCCATAACTCCCCTGGAAAAACATGCCACATGCAACTGTAGTTTTGACAAAATGCATCCTGAAGAATGGAAGATTTAAAAGAATTGGCCTTATATATGATCTTGGAAGCACAAATGGTAATTGAAACTCAATGGAAAACAGCCCATTTTTTTTTCAGTGAACACTTGGTACCACTCACTCTGGAATATAGCTATAATAGGAGAAAATTATGCATAATTTGAGTTTTTGATAAGGACTAGAACCTCCAGACACTTATTATATAATTTGGCATTTTTTTATGACATATACAGGGGAATTGTCATTTTCAAGACAACGCTTGTCACAAGCCTAACATATCTGGAACTATACTTGATAATACTGAGAAGGCTGATAGTCTTTACTTACTTTGTTATTTTAACTCATGTGCTACTGTACACATTCTATGTGCCTATTGTATAGCTTTGTTTTTCATCTTTTAATTTTTATCTGTTGTTATAATTGTTCTGTTTAATATACATTAAAAAATGAATTAAAAAAAATACAACTTTGCCAAAAAAAGGTCACATACTAGCAGCATGGTGCTTAAGCATTAAGCTACTAAATGACTGAAGAGTTGTTACAATTACTGAAGGACAGTATTCAAGAAGGGTACAGAGCACTTTCGAAAGTTTAAAAAGCGAAAGGCAGCTCCATTGGTCTATAAGAAAAACTCCAAAATCCAGTTTGGCAATACTGTTATTAGGACCAGCCAGTTGTCACAGGACTGTACCAAGCATAATCGACTGAACTCCATGAACGACTCTCCAGAACTCTTCATCAGATAAGATGCTACACAGATCACGGGATAAAATGCAAAAATCAGGCTTTTGTTGAGACACCAATGTCAGGTTGCTTTCTCAGCCCCAAGACAGAAATGAAGGCTGAATAAGTCCCTCCCAAGTGCTACACTTAGAAGGTTACACACTTCAGATTTGGGGATGATGTAACATTGGCTGACCCCTCTCTCAGATAAATAGAAGTTTAGATGTTCTGTTTGAGAACATGCGTGCTTCGTTTAAGATTTGGGAGGGGGAGCCTTCCAGATGCTGTTATACTACAACAAACCCCATCATCCCTGACCATTGGGATCAATGGAGCCGATGGGAACTGCAGTACAAGAACATATGGAGGGCCAAAGGTTTATCACCACTGGTTTGGATTACACGCCCAACATCAGTTTCTTAGTGATGAGGGGCAGCCATTGTTTCTTTATCCCAGAATCCTAGGTGTGCAACCTAGTATCTGCAACACCCGGGAGAGACTTATTCAGCTAGTCACCACTATCTTGGACCTGGGCCTACAAGCTGATCTTAATGCTACAACATCAGCCTTGTGCTTGTACCCCTTTTCTCCTCACTTTTCCCCCCTGTGTAACATCTTGTTTGATGAAAAGCTCAGGAGAACTCAAAAGCTTGCTGCACGTTTTTGATATTTTGGTTTGCCCAACTGCAGATTTTGGTGTCCTCTTTTAATACCATGGGCATCTTATAAACTCCTCATGTAATTGATTTTGGTCTTGGGCATGCTGGCTCTCTTCTTCTACTTACGTATATCTATTCGCTGTTCCAAGGGCAAAGGGTTGTTTGTGCGTGACACCAGTTTCGTAAGGCATGTAGCTGCCAATAACTGGGAGTAAGACGACTGTAAAACACAAACAGAAAGCAAATGGTTAAATTGTAGGCAAAAACAGGACAGGACAAAGCTTCCCAAGTGATTGTCAAAGGTCAAGGATGCAAGTATGTTCACACTGGTGATGCAGTGTTAAGGCATGAACTGGGAGCCGGTCAGCAGTAATTTACAATATGTCAGTGAAGTAAACTCTGTATTCAAAGAAATGAAAGCAGCTCTGGCCTAGTGAACACAGCAAATCTTCCCAGTAGGCCTTGTCCCAATGAGGCAGTAGTGAGGACTGCAGGTCCCCACCTTCCCACAGCTCTCTAAATCTCCCCCCCCCCGGTCCTTCCCAAGCAACTTGAGACTTATTCGCCTTGTCTGTCCTTGCTCCACCCTCTTCATACCTCTATGGGTTCTAGGAGACCAGGGCGGAAGACTCCCTGCCTCATCTGTGTGTCTTAGTCCCCCTCCTCTCCAGCCTCTGCTTCTGCTTGATTCTGGACTGCTCTCTGCCACAGCTTCTTCCTGTTCACTAAACCGTTACCACTTCAGCTTCTGACACCTCTTCCTCCTAGTCCGCTCCCTCTTCTCCCTCTGACCATTCAATGTCATCCCACCACCAATCCCGTGTCTCTGAGCCCTCTCCTTCCTTGGGTGTACCCCAGCTGGTGCCTTCCACCATTCCTCTGCATTCAGCCAGTCCATGACAGACAGGAGGGTCTGATCCTCAGATGCATTCACAGGAAAGACTGTTGTGTATACTGGAGGAAAGAGTGTGTAAGAAGAGCACAAGGATTTATCACAGGAGGTGTTCAAGGCTAGGAACTGTGGAAGTCTGCTGGAGGTGTCTCAATTCTCATGCTGGTCTGCAAAGAATCTTATGAACTATCATTCAAGAGTGGACCACATTAATTCTGACATAGTTCCACTCAACTTCCTTTATAGTGCTTTAGAAGTATTTTAAATAGAAAGCCCTGAGAAAGGGCCAAGATGTTCTGTGTAAATTACTCCAAAAGAAAGCAGAAGGAGACCCAATAGTGATCACTTCTCAAGTTCATGGCTGTAAGCAGAGCAGAGGAGAGAATACACCAGCAGGACCCCTGCAGTGCTGTTCTGTACCAAGCCATGAGCTCAGGCAAATACCCAGAGAACGCTTTAGGTGGTTTGAAAGCAGGGTGGTGGGTTTCTCTGCCTACGTACACTCCCTCTTTCAAGGAGAAGCTGGCACTTGTTCAAGCAGTCCGGACTGTTGGTAAACTCAACCAAGGCTTTCTCTGCCTGGAGCCGTGTTGTGGTGTCGGTTGTCTCATACAGTTGCTTGCACAGGTTCTCTAGCTGGGCTAGACTCTGTAACAAACCAAAGAGGAGAGCTTGATTATTTTATTTTATATTTCTGGTGGGACTTCCTTTAAGGGCAACGGCTAGGAAAAATGCAGCCATGGGGAAGCGAAGCACAAATCTTGAAACCCTGACATTTTGCTTGGGGGTGAAAACCACACTCTAAAAGAACTGTGTTGCCACCTTATAGGAAGCAAACACCAGATTTTCATTCTCCTATTCCAGCCCTTTGAAAGTACAGTGGTACCTCTACTTACGTTCACCTCCTGTTATGTATCCTTCGGGATACGTACGTGGCAAACCCGGAAACATTTTTCCGGGTTTTGCTGCGTGCGCATGCGCAGAAGTGCTCCCTCCGTTTGCAGAAACGTGAGGATGCGACCGGAGCTCTGGAACGGATTCCGTCTGCAACCAGAGGTACCACTGTACAGTGGTACCTCGGGTTAAGAACTTAATTCGTTCTGGAGGTCCGTTCTTAATCTGAAACTGTTCTTAACCTGAAGCACCACTTTACCTAATGGGGCCTCCCGCTGCTGCCGCGCCGCTGCTGCACAATTTCTGTTCTCATCCTGAAGCAAAGTTCTTAACCCAAGGTACTATTTCTGGGTTAGTGGAGTCTGTAACCTGAGGTACCACTGTAATAGCAATTCAAAAGGAAACCTGGAAGGAAACCTGTTTCCAAACTCACGTAGCCCAGAGACTCTTCTAAATACCACCACCACATTAAATAAAGTAACAATCCAGTAGAAAATATGAAATTAAATAAAGGGGAGGAAAGTGCCAACCTCCCCACACATCCAGGGTTCACAGCCATTACCTCATAAAACAAGGTACATTCTCAAGTACACACTGATTTAGATGTTACACCAAAAGCCAACCTGATACAGAGAGAGTACAAGACAAATGTTATGAATACCAAGCAAAGTAACATTTCATCAGGACTTGCCACCACGATGATTGGCATGTCATATTAAGTAACAAATGGCCACCTAATGGAGGCAAAATCCATAGGCTTAGCTGAACCCCAAGGTACCCTCAATTTATAACTTCATTTCTCAGAAACGAGAATAAACATTACTTTGTTGAATCAAATGATTAAAGAAAAACCAAGATTCCTTCCAGCCCTGCAATATGGTCAAACAAGCAGTTACGAACAAAACAAAAAAAAGTGTTTTATATATTAAGTCCATATTTGATTTATCAGAAATTGATAGAAGACACAGTTTGGGGTCTAAAGGCACCAGTACACCTATTATTTCAGAAATGTCCTTCATGACCTCTAACCCAAAAGTTGTGCACACACTTGTAAGACTGCCACATGTGTGAACAGGGTCTACTTTTGTTACATCTCCTCCAACACACAGGAGAACTGACTCTAGTTATATGTAAAGAACCACTGATGGGCTATTTTAAAAAAAGATTTTTCTTGGATATTTGCGGAGGCAGATTTAAATGGGGGAGCGAGACATGGTTTCCCCCACTGCACATTATCCACTACAGTGGTACCTCAGGTTACATACACTTCAGGATGAGAACAGAAATCGTGCTCCGGCGGCGCGACGGCAGGAGGCCCCATTAGCTAAAGTGGTGCTTCAGGTTAAGAACAGTTTCAGGTTAAGAACGGACCTCTGGAACGAATTAAGTACTTAACCCGAGGTACCACTGTATTTATAAACTTTATGCTCATGAGGAAATAAAACATCTAAGACAGGCATGGCCAAAGTCCATTTCGGGGGACTAATCAGCATGCCGGTCGGTTTAATCTGGCCCCTGCGGCAGTTTATTTCCTGGGGTAAAATCCTAAAAAAAGTCAACAACTTCAATCCTAAACAAAGGTTAACGACTTCGGTTGGCCCTTTGGTCAGCCCTCGCGGCCCTTCACTTCATCAAATCTGGCCCTCTTTGAAAAAAGTTTGGACACCGCTGATCTAAGATATCTGAAGAGCAATGGCCTGGAATGCAAAAGTACTTCAAACATGCCAAGATTTACTATGACTGAGGAATTCTAACATCAGTTGATATCAACAGATGAGAATTTTCAACACACGTTGGTTCTGTACATTAAACATCAAGAGTGCCAAGAATGATTGGTACATTATACAGGGCTGTCTGCTACAGAGAAAAAGGGCGTATGTTGTTTCTATATATGCACCAGCATTTGGGTCTATTTCACTCTCTAACACCCATCCTCATTATGCGCTTACATTTCATTTGTAACAGCGATCCTCAAAGTTAACTCCCAGGAGCCTGACACTCTAAAAGTCTAGACATTTTTTCAAAAAGTGCTCAATTCTCAAAGCTGCACAGCATACATTTATTTCTGAAATGCTGGTTCTGAAAGCTAGGGGATGAAAAACCAAATGCCTTGTATTGTCTGGGGTTTTATGCAGATGTCAACCAGTTTTTGTTCCAAGGCATCAACAAGCAGGGCTAGAAGACTCCCCTGTGCCCTGCCCACTATTTATTTTGCATTGACATCCCAAAACATGGCAGACTCAGCAGGTCTGTCACATCTTGAGACAAGTAGCTGTGCTCAGGAGGATTTTGAGGAACTAACAGCACAGGAAAAGGTCAATGCCTCATACTGGGAAGGATGGCTGGAGAAGCCTTCAAGACTGCATGTGCGTTGGAATGTGGAATCTCCGCACAGGCAGCAAAATGAACTCTGGGATTCCACCAGTTGAGAGTTGAGATAGGCAGCTAGAAGCCAGGTCTAGAAGCAAAGCAAGACACGGAAAACAGCGGGAGAGGGAATATGCAGATGCTGCCACGAGCCAATTAATAACTTAGGCTTCAGATGGCATGCCACTGTTCAACAGCTGGAGGCAGCAATGCTTCCAAATACCAGTTGCCGGCAGCCACAGGGAAGGAGAGTGCTCTTGTGGGAGAATCCTGCTTGTGGCTTCCCACGGGGATCTCACCAGCCACTGTGAGAACAGGATCCTGGACAAGATGAGCCACTGGGCTGATCTAGCAGGCTCTCTTCTTTTCTAAAGGTCAGAAGAAGAGAATGGAGTGCAAGAGAAGGATCAAACTGGGGTGTAGGAACAAGGAATAGGCAGAGACTCATACTGGAGAAGAGAGCTCTCCATAGCTACTGGTCTATAATGGCTATATTTTGCCTTCACAGATGTGTTGAACCAAAGGTGAAATGTTCCAGAAAGCCTGCAAGTGCCATCTTGGTAGTCAAGATAACCCCAAAATAATTGGTAGTTGTTGCAAGAATGAGCTCATATATTCGCTTGCTTTGATATATGCTAATTGGCTTACTTTGATGCTGTACTTATCTATAGGACTTGGGATGCTGGGCACTAGGACCAGACAGGGGAGAAGCTTTGGATAGCTGCCACCTATGGCCTCATGGACCAGGTGTGATGGGAGGTTCTGGGTAAACTGATGTAAGCTGCTTTGTGAATAAAAGATGTATACATGTTTGCTTGGGTGCAAAGAACTCTCACTGTGAGGCTTTGAACACTGTGTTGTAAGTTGACTAATTTCTTTAATAAAGAACTATAACTGGCCAACCTGGTGTTTTCGACATCCTTCTTTGGTGTCCCTGCATCAAACCACTCCTTGGGGCCTGTGATGCAGAACAACAGCTGGAGGCAACTATACTTCTGCACACCAGCTGCTGAAAACCACAACAGCAAGAAGGTGCTCTTGTGGTCAGGTCCTGCTTACAAATTTCCCATTGGGGCATCTGGTTGGCCACTGTGAGAACAGGACGCTGGACTAGATGAGCCTTATTTGGTTGAGCTCTTCGTATGCTCTTATAAGGGGATGGAATAACTGGTGTCTGAGTTTGGTGGCCACAGCCAGCGTGGACTGAGCTGGAGGCAAAAAGGACAGAGTGATGAAACCTCATCCTGGTCTAGGACAACAGAGTGAGTAGCAACAAATAACAGCTTTGCTATTTCACCTTCCTCTTTGGAAGGTGCAACCTCAAGCTTGGAAGGCTAGACAGCAGTGTAGGTAAAGTGCAGGTTGTGCTAACGCAGCCCAGCTTCTTGGAGTCTTCCTGTATTTCCCAAGTTGAATAAATCTCTCGGTTGCAAAAACCCTCTCCATCTTTCTGCATTCATTATTTGAAGAATGAGAGGAGTGGATATGAAACTCTATTTATTATTATTATTGAGGAATTCTTAGACTGCCTTTTAGGTATAACCATCACAATGTGGCTTATGTAAAGGTAGAGGGACCCCTGACCATTAGGTCCAGTCCTGGCCGACTCTGGGGTTGCAGCGCTCATCTCGCTTTATTGGCCGAGGGAGCCGGCGTACAGCTTCCGAGTCATGTGGCTAGCATGACTAAGCCACTTCTGGCGAACCAGAGCAGCGCATGGAAACGCCGTTTACCTTCCCGCCGGAGCGGTACCTATTTATCTACTTGCACTTGACGTGCTTTCAAACTGCTAGATAGGCAGGAGCAGGGACCGAGCAACGGGAGCTCACCCCATCGCAGGGATTCGAACCGCCGAACTTCTGATCGGCAAGTCCTAGGCTCTGTGGTTTAATCCACAGTGCCACCCGCGTCCCGTGGCTTATGTACATCTACACAAAAAGTTCTAAAATAAACTACTTAACGCTAGATGGCCAGATCACACTATTAAAAACCCCAATGAAACCATACAGAACAAACTGCAATGTTGAGAGCCACAGAGAAACTCAGTATGTGGCCACTTAAAAAGACTGATTCATTCAAACACACACACTCTAAGATGGCTTTTGGAGATTCTTAGGGATGGCTGTTTTCCTTTCCAAATGACAAGAGTTCAGAACATTTCAACCCCCTTGGTGCCCCATTCTGTGTCTACCCCTCCAGCTACAGAAGACTGTACACCATCTTGTTCAGACTTGCCAAATGCTCATTTCCCAGCTGCCAGCCAATGAAGGCATGTGTTTGGCCAACCCAAGGGTGGGGATTATTCCTTACTGTGGCTGGACAATATCAGGCCTTTGAACCTAGATAAAGTAGTATTGAGCATAGCAGCGATGCAGTGAAGGAGCCCTGTGCACACTAGATAAGGATACAAGCATGAGACAGCGAGCAGGAGAGCACTGAAGAAGCACTAGCTGGAGTTTTCCCCAAGGTAAATCTCAAAACAAGATGTAGAAAGCACTCCACCTCCTCTTTCATAATAAAACTACAGGAGTCTGCTGGATCAGGCTAAAGGGAGCCCATCTAGTCCAGCATCTTGACCTGTTCACACAGAATTTGAGCACCAGAGCAATCTCCACTCCTATGGTAGCCAGCAACTGGTATTCAGGAGCCTTGCTTTCTCCAACTGTGGAGGCAGAGCCAAGCCATTTTATGAACTTCTATCATGTCACCTCTTATTCGCCTTTGGTTTCAGGAGGCCCTATATATATTGTAATTTCAGAAAAGTTGACCCATTTGATGCATGCTTCTCAAGGCACCAAGCCAATGGACCAAACCACCCCATGGTGCATGTTTTTGATGTTTAATAAGAAACAATCTCATGTCTGGTAGGTTCCCATAAATTTTTAATTTGGTACTGACAGCATACCGATATCCGCTATTACTGGCTCTCTCTGTTCCTGTGAAAACAATGATCTTATTTTCTAGCCGGACTTTGGTTTGAACCTCTTCATGTCCCAATGTAATATCCAACCATGTACTATGGATTTATAACAGCAACTCACCACCTAACTCTTTGCTTTGTTGTAGAGTATTTTGATTACTTCATAAAGTTAAATAATAATTTTTTTTAAAAAAACCTATCCTTATTGTCTAGTATGAGCAAGAAGTCTCCATCTTTCTGGCAATGGTGAAATACTTTGAACGGAACCCATTAAGCCAGTAGATCCCACTGCACCCTTTCAGAGCAGGGCTTTGATCACCTCTTTTAAAAGGTGGCGACGGAGGGTTTAACTGATGGTGCCATGGGAAGTGAGACAAACTCTACTGCATACCTAGTACAGCAACCATTGTTCGAAACTGGGATAGAAAAACTAGGAGCCAAATGGCTCCTGGAATCTGGCCAAAACAGAATGTCTAGTCACCATTTGGGGGAAGGGGTCGGCAACACTTTTTGTTTATTATTTTGATAAGCATGAACTAATACACAATTCACTTAAGTGAAACACTGTTAATATCACATTTTTAACAGAAATTGTTAATACATGTTTAATTTGGTGTTTACAATAAAAATAGTGGTACCATACTTCAATTTTCAAAACACTCTACTCTTTATTGTTAAACTCCTCAGCATATTGTCTATCCTTAACACATACCGTATTTTGAGGCTTCAAGATATATACTTTTAGGCAATCGTCGAGTATCAGCCAGGCACAGAAAATGGCATGCTGACTTTTTGAGGTGCTCACAAATGCAGAATCTTTAAGTCTGAAATGCGCCTGGTGCCAGGCTTAATTTTGAAGCCTGGTGGCAACCAACAACCCACTGGGCTCATGCACCGAGTGTGAATGGAACGGTGGAGTTTGGCACCCAAATGTAAAATGCTAGTGGAACAGGGGCATATGTGAAGTCAAAGCTGATGCTTAAATGCCTCAGGTGTCTTGCGGCAACTGGATGTCAGAAAGTGGACTGGAAAGAGAACTGCACTTCTTGGGAGATGTGAAACATCAGGAAAAGCCCATCTGCTAGTGATGGGAGTGCTGACAGTAAAACTTTCGATGGCCAATTCCCGAGGACCAAAGGGTTCCCAAAAGTCCCTTAGTAACTTTAACTGAGGCCAGGGTGGAGTCTAAAGCCATTCCAGAAGTTGAAGTCAGAACCAAATGGGAAACACTATATTGGTCAGGTGACTGATTTAAAAAGATGGCAGGTACTGGTAGCATGCTGAACAGTTAAGTGGGCATTGGTACTGATAAAATGTCAGGCAGTGTAGTGAAGAGTATAACAGATGTCAGTACTGCTATAGTACAAGCAGTTATCAACAAGCAGTGTTAGAAACTCAGATGTATAATCTAATCACCGAATGGCACCTTAAAGCTCGGTTACGGTTGCCACAACTGATAATCTAGGCACTTGAGTTTATTATTATTATTGTTATTATTATTATTATTATTGCCACTTTATATTCTGGGGGTAGGGGTAGGGGGAATGCTACAGAAAGGACTGAAAAAGTGCTACTTTATGTTATGTAGATTCTCTTCCCAAAGCTCAAACGACTGAATGAAAGAAATATACACCAAGTCAGTTGTTTTATGGTAGCCATCATGATGTGTGGTGTTGGGGCTGACATCACAAGCAGTCCCATAACAGCAACACAGGCAGATACACTTTCAACAGGCAGCGATACTGAAGAGAAGAAAACTCAAAAGTAGACAAGTGGGGCAGCAGTAGGGTTAGGAAAAGCCCACCTTTGCGGTACTTTTTTGACTATCGCAGAACCTGCTGTTTGGAGAAACATTCAAATGGGACTGGGACATTCAAATGATGGCTTCAACGTACTTTCCAATAACGGCAGCATCAAGCCACTCTGAGCATCTTCTGCAATGGATATGCAGAATAACAGCCCTTCCAAGTCCAAAGCAAAAGTCATGAGCACCGAGCAAAAATACAGTGGTACCTTGGGTTAAGAACTTAATTCGCTCCGGAGGTCCGTTCTTAACCTGAAGCACCACTTTAGCTAATGGGGCCTCCTGCTGCCGCTGCTGCACGATTTCTATTCTCATCCTGAAGCAAAGTTCTTAACCAGAGGTAATATTTCTGGGTTAGCGGAGTCTGTAACCTGAAGCGTATGTAACCTGAGGTACCACTGTACACCAACTTTCTCCCTCAGTTAACAGTGGCAGCCTTGTTTTTCAAGCCGTTACAGGGCTAGAGAATAAGCACTGATCTGCTCCTGTATCCAAACCAGCCATCCCCAACCCAGTGTCCTCCAGATGTTTTACAGTCAACTTCCCTCAGCCTTATATGGCCAAGCTGGTTGGGGCTGAAAGGAGTTGCAGTCATGGAGAGATGAAACTAGGCTGGGGAAGGCTTGCATAAAACTACACAAATTATTCCTGCACTGCAGGGGGTTGGACTAGATGACCCTCAGGATCCCTTCCAACCTACAATTCCATGATTCTAACTTGTGGACCTCCGTGGCCTAAATAGACTACCTTTTGCCAATTCCCAGGGATCGCAAAACAGAGGACTGATCAAGACCCCAGCAGGCCATCATCTGTATTGGACTGTGCTTGCCTCGATGACTTACAAGTTGCCCAGGAGTGCATTAGGGTACGGAGAGAACATTTACATAAGATCAGAACTGAATGAGCCATGCTATCTTGTCCAATCTCATGCCATTCACCACCTCTACTCTGATCAGGCTATCTACCGAATCCAGATGACAGCAGTGTACCACAAACTGAGAGCAAGTACAGGGCTGTCAGACAAGTGCAGAAGAACAGCTCTAGACAACATGTCATGTGCTACAGAGTGAGGCAAAAACCCTCCAACGTAACTATCCAATCTTACCTAGGAAGGATTATTTCAAAAGCCCAAATGTGATACCCAACAAGGCCTGCTTCCAGAAAAGTTCTATTCAAATGCAATCCACACCAGCCAACAACATCCTGCTGCGACAGTAAAGAACTCTCTCATAGAACAATTTCTAAAACCACCCAAGAGCTTCACCATTAAATCCCAGAAAGGAAGACAAACAGCAGGACAGCTGAAGCAGTCAGGGAGAAGGTGGTTCAAGCAGCTACTGCTCCTGATATGCAGCTGAGTTCAGAGGCATCTACCATAGCCAGCAACTGGACTGAAAGCAACAAGGGCCTGTAGACTAAAAAACAAGAGGAAGTGACTAACCTATCTGCAGGAAGAAAACTGCAACTCTCTGCACCTGTGGCAGTATTGTGAAGGGTTGCCCAAACAAAACAAGGAGAGGGAGGGGATGTTATTTATTTTTTCGATTTACAGATACCTTCTTGGGTTTTAGAATGTGATGAAAGGTTACACATTGGTGGAGGAGAGGGCTATCAATGGCTATTAGTCAGGAGGGCAGAAATGCTTCCGAATTACCAGTTGCTGGAAACTGCAGGAGTGGAAAATGGTCGTGTTCAGGTTGTGCTTGCTGGTTTCCCAAAGGCATCTGGTTGGCCACTGTGAGAACAAGATGCTGGACTGGATGTGCCATTGGAGTGATCCATCAGGCTCTTACCTGCTGGGTAACTTCCCTTCTCACGTACACATACATTATTTGTTAATCACTTCTTTTTCAATATTAAACTGACAGGTAACACCTGGTAAACACAGGTCTCTCTCTATTGAACTGGAACTTCCTATTATCTGACTGAAGGTTGATCTGAGGAGAGGTGTGGACAGGCTTCTTGCTTGCTGGATTTACTTACAATTTTTACTAGAACCCCAAGATCTATCAATCACAGCTGGTGCAAAAAACATACACTTAAAACTGAACCCAGGAATGTGCTTTGCATTCCAGAGCTCACAGTTTTTTCCACAAAAGGGGCTCCTAGTTACCCCAAGCTTTCTCCCTTTTAGAAGGACAAATTAGGTTAGTTGTGTGTGTGTGTGTGTGTGTGTGTGTGTTTATATGTGTTGGGAGGAGGGTAATTTTGTTGCTGCTACTCTTAAACTAGGAGACAGAACTCCTTGCCAGTTTGCTGCAAAAATCCAGATTACCTCTCTGCATTTGGACCCCCATACATCCTGCAATGAAATATATCCACCCAAGCGTTGGTGTGGGGAATCATACACTAGACCTGTAAATAACTGCTTGCCAGGTCAATATCTTTATGCAAGGAGGGCTAGTATTTTTTTGTTTTAAAAGCTGAGAACTCATGTTCATTTATTCACAAGATCACCACATATAGTCAGTATGATCCAAGCAATAAAGTTCTGAATTGATTGAGATGTGTTAAATCCAAGCTGCTTGGAAGCCAACCAGAATCTGCAGTTTATCAGTGAAGCAGTGGGCTTTTTCACATTTGGTATACACCAGACTTCACTAGAGAAGGACATTCAAGATACTCCTTAATTTTAGGGTTGTGGGTTCAAGCCCCACATTAGGCAAAAGAACCCTGCATTGCAGAGGGTTGGAGCAGATTACTCTTGTGTTCCCTTCCCACTCTGAAATTCTACGATTCTACTCGTGCCAGTGTGGTGTAGAGGTTAGAGGGCTGGACTAGAACCTAGAAGACCAGGATTCAAATCTCCACTCGGACACAAAGCTCAGTAGGTGACCTTGAATCAGTCGCTGCCACTCAGCCTAACCTACCTCACAGGGTTGTTGTGGGGATTAAATGAGGAAGGGGAGAAACATGTACGTCACCTTGAGCTCCTTTGAGAAAAGGTGAGATATATATGCAATAAATAAATACATTCATTGGAATGAATTTAAATTATCATCCCCGTTGATGGTAACTCGAAACTTTTGATAGTAGAGCGAAGTTCAATCTCTAGTTAGGGAATCAGGTGGTGGAAAAGGCATTCACTGAAGACTGCAGAGCTGCAGCAAGCTAGAGTAGACAATCCTGGGCTCAATGGACAAGAAAGCTCACTTGGTATAAAGGCAGCCTGAACAAACTTAACAGAAAACCGGATGTTTTGCCATTATGAAACTTGAGAAACTTATTTTACATTTGCGCATATGGTGTATTAAAACAAATGACTAGTGAATATATCCAAAGATTATCATAAGAACATATAAAGAGCCTGCTGGATCAGGCCAATTGTCCATTGTGTCTTATTCTCACAGTGGACAATCAGATGCCCAAAGGAAAGCCTGCAAGCAGGACCCAAGCACAGGGAGCACTCTTGCCTCCTGTAGTGTATTCTGAAGCATTGCTGCACCAACTGTGAAGGCACAGTATAGACCTCATAGCCAGTGGTCATCAATAGCTGTTTCGTCTTATCTCCTTTTGAAGCCATCCAGTTTGGTGGCCATCATCGCCTCCTGTGGGAGTGAGTTCTATAGCTTAACTATTCTGCTAGAAAGAATGATCTACATACAGCCGAAGTTCACATTTAATCAGACCATTACTAATTCTTATTAGTAATGGCAAATTTAAGGGAAATGAAAAAAAGAAAAAGAAAATAAATCTATCTGGGAAATACTTGGGGCACTTCATGCATTCCAACAGATAGGTCCTCGCATTCCCACTTGGTGTCAACCATAGCCACTTGTAAATCTGAGGGGAGATGGCACACACATAGCTCCCCAGAGGAGGCTTAGTCTGCTGCTGTTCCTGGGGGCATAATTATAAGGAGTTACACAAATGCCTTTCAGAAAAGACATGTCCACCTATGATGGGTGGTGGAGGAGCGGGGAGCCATTTTTCTCTGCAATGTGCAAAGTGACTCCAAAGCATTTCATCTTCCAAGAACTTGCACAGCCAAGTTACGAGCAAATGAACAGCTCACCCTTGTGGCACTTGGAGGTACCAAATCCAGAAGGAGCAGGCTGGGGGATGTTATGCCCAGAGCCACTGCCCTGGAGGAGCCCAAGGTCCACATCCCCCTCCGAGCAACTCCTGCAAGTTCTCCATTCTTCCTAAACCACAGCACAGTCCTGGCAAAAAGACCACCAAGGAGGCTGGACTGACCAAAGCAGACTTTGCAAAAGAGGAATAAAAATTCCGGCACAACGCTGCGCTACTTGCGACTAGAGAGAGGGCAGAAGGTTGTTTTTGCTATCCCTTCCGTGGAAGCCAGTGCAGCCGAGGCAAGTGACTAAGAAGTGGGCCGAGGCTAGTTGTTGGGTTTTGGGCTTCCTAGCTCTGCTGTGCTCTATCTTTTGGCCCCCTTCCCAAACCCAGAAAGCTGGATCAGAGGGAGCCGGAGCCCTTTCCGACTCCTCAGCATCAAACCCCAATGAAGTACCCCCGGGCCGGATCCGACCCCGCTTCTCCCGCCCGCGCCTCTTCCTCCGCCTGGCCACAGCGCTCCTCGGCGGGGCACCTGCCTCAGCCCCCGCCGGCATCTCCAGGTGGGGAGCCCTCCCGGAGAGCCGCTGCCTGCCAGCCCGTGGTCCTGAGCTACACGGGCCCAGGGCTCCGGCCGTGACCGGGGAGCCACGCGCCTCGAACCGCAGCCGGCCCGGCGGCCACCCTCTCACCGGCCCGGCCGCGAACTTCTCCCGGGCGCCCGTCCTCCTCCTCCTCCTCCATTCCGGCGCAGGCCCAGGAGGCGCCCGCCGAGCTCGGCCCGCGCGCGCTCTCTCTCACGGCCCCCGGCAGGCTAGGCCCGGCCCCCGGGTGGCCCCCGCCAGGCTAGGCCCCGAGAGCCCCCTCAGGTCTCTGGCCCGGCGGCGCGGCCTCTCCGCCGAGCCCCGCTCTCCCTCGCGCATCCCCTCACCTGCACATGATCCGCCATTTTGCTCCATTCATGTTCCGCTCCCGCCGCCGCCGCCGCTCTCGCTGCCGCCGCCGCCGCCGCCGCTTCTCGCCCCCTCCCACCGCAGGCGACCCAGCCAGGGCTGCCGCGCCTGCGCACTGGCGCCGGCCCTCCTCACGCACTCGGCGTCAAGCGGGGGCCTCGAGGGCTGAGAACGAACCAGGGACGCCGCCGCCGCTGCGGCCGCCGCGCGGGCTTTCGGAATGGCTCGGCTGCTCTGCGGCGGCGTAGAGGAGGGAGCCGCCGGTCGCGCCGCAGTGACGTCACCGCGCAGGAGCGGGGGGGGGGGAGAGAGAGACTGTTGCGCGCGCGCCGGGACGGGACGGGGCAGGGGAATGCGCAGGGTGGAATCGGACTTTGTTTACATGGCTTCTTAAAGGGGCCGCGCGTCGTGGCGCGGGGCAGGGCTCCTCCACGGAGGGCGGGGGGTAAGGAGCTAGTCTGAAACAGCCAGCCTCTGAGGGGCAGGCGGTGTGGGGACAGGGAGGAGGCGTCTGAGGGAGCCTTCTCCAACCGGGCGCCCTGCAGGTATTTTTGGACTACATCTCCCATCAGCCTTAGCGTCGTACGGCCGCGCTGGCGGGGGCTGATGGGAGTTGTAGTCCATAAGCGGGTCAGACCAGGCAGCCTCTTTTGACAGGGGTCGACCAGATTCAATATACGAACATAAAAAGAGCCCAGCCTCCTCTTTTCACAAGGGGCCAATTCAGATAGGTGCCTCTTGTTGGAAACCCACAAGCAGGATCTGATCCCAAGAGAACTCTCCGCTCCTGTGGTTGCCAGCAACCGGTACAGTGGTACCTCTAGATCAGGGGTCAGCAACCCGCGGCTCCGGAGCCTCATGTGGCTCTTTTACACCTTTGCCGCGGCTCCGGGGCGGATACTAGCGAGGGGAGGAGGCGCATCGTGCGCCCCGACACTCCCCACTGTGGCGGGCGCTGTACTGGCTGTGACGTCGCATGGGGGCGATGCGTGTGTTAGTCACGCACCGTCCCGACGTCACCTTCCCGCCCACTGTCAGATCGTGGCTCCGGAGATATATTTGTTTTAAATGTCGCAATGGTTTTGCGGCTCCCAGTTTTTTTCTTCTTCGGAAACGGGTCCAAGTGGCTCTTTTTGTCTTAAAGGTTGCAGACCCCTGCTCTAGATTGACGTTTGCTTCAGCTTTAAAGAGTGGGTTCTTATGGGGAAAGCTCTGGAACAAGACAAAAAAGCTTGCACATGGAGCATAAAATCATGGACTGGAAACAGCAGGGCAAAAGCTAAGTGTGGGTAAGTCCATGGGGACAGGAGAGATGTACCTTACAGTGGTACCTTTATAGTTACGAACTTAATTTGTTCCGGAGGTCCTTTCTTAACCTGAAACTGTCCTTAACTAGAGGTGAGCTTTTGCTAATGGGGCCTCTTGCTGCCGCTGCCACTGCACTGCGGGCACACAATTTCCGTTCCCATCCTGGGACAAAGTTCTCAACTGAGATAACTCTTCCAGGTTAAAACAAAATAAAATTCCTTCCAGTAGCACCTTAGAGACCAACTAAGTTTGTTATTGGTATGAGCTTTCGTGTGCATGCACACTTCTTCAGATACACTGAAACAGAAGTATCTGTTCCTGCTTGGCAGGGGGTTGGACTCAATGGCCCTTGTGGTCTCTTCCAACTCTATGATTCTATGATTCTAAGAACATGAGAAGAGTCTGCTGGATCGGGTCAACAGCCCATTTATTCCAGCATCTTGTTCTCATAGGGACGCAGGTGGCGCTGTGGGTTAAACCACAGAGCCTAGGACTTGCCGATCAGAAGGTCGGCGGTTCGAATCCCCGTGATGGGGTGAGCTCCCGTTGCTCGGTCCCTGCTCCTGCCAACCTAGCAGTTCGAAAGCACGTCAAAGTGCAAGTAGATAAACAGGTACCGCTCCGGCGGGAAGGTAAACGGCGTTTCCGTGCGCTGCTCTGGTTCGCCAGAAGCGGCTTAGTCATGCTGGCCATATGACCTGGAAGCTGTACGCCGGCTCCCTTGGCCAGTAAAGCGAGATGAGCGCCACAACCCCAGAGTCGGCCACGACTGGACGTAATGATCAGGGGTCCCTCTACCTTTACCTTGTTCTCATAGTAGCTAACCAGCTGCCCCAATGGGAAACCTGCAAGCAGTATTCAAGCACAAAAACACTCTCCCCTCTAGTTGTTTCCAGCAACTGGTATTTGGAAGCTTTGCTGGCTTCAACTGTGGAGGCAGAGCATTGCCACCATGCTGAGTAGCCATTGAGAGCCCTCCCTATGAATTTGTCTAATCCCCTTTTAAAGCTGTCTAGGTTGGTGCCCATCACTGCCTCCTGCAGAGCGAGTTAAGTTTCACTATGTGCTGGCTGACATCCATCTGTCTCAAAAGACAATGGAGTGCGCCTCCAGAAGTGAAATCCAACTGCTGCATTAGCAGCATCAAAGCGACCTCCCTGGGGCGCAAGCCTGGGCAGCGTGTATGAAGGTCTTGGGCTGCCCAGACAAGAAGATTTTACTCTTGAACTTAATTTTATCTGTCCTGAATCCTCCAGCTTCATTAAACACAAGTTCTATTGCTGTGAGAGAGGGGGGTGGGGGTGGGAACTTTTCTTCATCACTTTCTCCATGCCACACACAATTTCAGAAATTTGCCCCAGTGTAAAATAAGTGTCAGAGGCCATCCCCCTCTAATTTTGGTCTCAACTATCATGTTACACATCTGCATTAAATAGGGGGGATCCCTACCCTCCAAACCAGGGGTCGGCAACCTAAGGCCCGTGGGCCACAAGCAGCCCACGGGGGTCGTTTAACCGGCCCATGAGCCGCCCCCAACCGAGCCACCTGTTTGGCGATTCCCCGCCCGCTGCGCTAAACCGGTACAGCGCAGGAAATCACGTCTGCATCTGTGCAAACACCAAAAATCGCATCTGTGCCGATGCAGACATCGAAAATCACTGGCGCACGCACTCGTGTGTGTGTGATCTGGCCCACGGAGTGATCTCTGGTGGAGTGAACCGGCCCAGGCAAGGTAAACCTTGCGGACCCCTGCTCCAAACTATAGCTATAAAGCACTTACAGTGGTACCTCGGGTTACATACGCTTCAGGTTACATACGCTTCAGGTTACAGGCTCCGCTAACCCAGAAATAGTACATCAGGTTAAGAACTTTGCTTCAGGATGAAAACAGAAATCTTGCTCCGGCGGCGCAGCAGCAGCAGGAGGCCCCATTAGCTAAAGTGGTGCTTCAGGTTAAGAACAGTTTCAGGCTAAGAACAGACCTCCAGAACGAATTAAGTTCTTAACCCGAGGTACCACTGTAATGAAACTGACGCAGAAGGTTGAAGAAACTGGCCCAGTCTATGATCAATATAATTGCAATCAGCTTTATTTTACTAGCCCTTGAAAGCCTTCGCAATTTTCGATGAAAGTTTCAATGTAACATTTCCAGTATAAAAATTCTAGTTATACAAGTTGCAGTGAAATAATTAAGTTATGAATTAAGCACTTAATGAATTAAACACTTAACCTGAGGTACCACTGTATTGGCTATGGGACAGAGGAGGGATGCTCTAGAAAAAGTAAAAGACCCCTGGATGGTTAAGTCCAGTCAAAGGCAACTATGGGGTGCAGCATTCAGGCCGAGGGAGCTGGCGTTTGTCCACAGACAGCTTTCCGGGTCATGTGGCCAGCATGACTGAACAGCTTCTGGTGCGATGGGACACCATGATGAGTGCCAGAGCACATGGAAACACCATTTACCTTTCCGCCACAGCAGTACCTATTTATCCACTCACACTGGTATGCTTTCAAACTGCTAGGTTGGCAGAAGCTGGGACAGAGCAGTGGGGGCTCACCCCATTGCGCGGATTCGAACTGCTGACCTTCTGATTGGCAAACCCAAGAGGCTCAGTGGTTTAGACCACAGCGCCACCCACTCCCTTTAGGGATGCCCCACCCTTCTTTTGAGGCCTGAGCATGACAGAAGTGGGTTGGCCCTCTGGGCCCTCCTGGCAGGGCACCTCTCTTGGTTGTGAAGGTGGAAGAGCGGGAAGGGGAGGGCAAGAGTAAAGGAGGGCGGAGGAGAAAGGCTTGCCTTTCCAGTGAAGTGTGGGCTGCATTTGCTTTATGAGCGAGCAGGGAATGAAAACAACCAGCTATTAAATATTCTTCCTGGGAGACCTGTAACACTTTCTGTCCTATCCACTTGGCGGGTATAAATAAGAGGCTGTTTCTGGGCAGAGAAATGCCAGCATCTTGTGTGTGTTCTAAGAGATCCTTAAAGCCTTTGCCAGCCTGGTGCTCTCCAGGTGCCCTTGGACTACAAGTCCCATCCACACCAGGCAGTCTGGGAGTTGTAGTGCAACAACATTGGGCAGCTGCAATATGCTGGCCACCTCTAGATAGAGGTGGGGGGCGGGATCCGGGGAGCAGTCCTGGGGTGTGTGTGTTCTGGTATGGCAATGCCCCCTCTAAGCTTTGTAGTTCCTGGATTCCGGCATTGCAGGAGCTGGACTAGACAATTTTTTTGGTCTCTTCCAACTCTACAGTTCTACGATTCTATGACCCTTTAGTGGGACCCCCTCTCTCAGAGAGCCCCCCACTCCTCCTTCCAGATGTCCCCACTAGCTGCTTCCGTTGATCCCTTTCTGACCTCCTGGCTTCCCACCAGGCCATTTCAGAGGCCCAGGGCTCAAACAGCCAATCCACCCTTTGACATGTTTTCGATTCAGCTGGTGAAGAAAACCAAGTACAGTGGACGCTTGGGTTGCGAACGTGATCCGTGCGGGATGCACGTTCGCAACTCGCAGCGTCCGCAACCTGCAGCGGCGTGTCTGCGCACGCGCGGCTTGCGATTTAGCACTTCTGCGCATGCGCAAAGCTCAATTTAGCGCTTCTGCGCATGCGCAACTGCCGAAACCTGGAAGTAACCCGTTCCGGTACTTCCAGGTTTTGGCGGTCCGTAACCCGAAAAAATGCAACCTGAAGCGTCTGTAACCTGAGGTATGACTGTATACATATCATTCTCCAAGCCTCCCGCCTCCCCCAGTTGACATCAGAAGCTATATGCTAAGATTATACATTTAAAAATATATATATTTAGAAATTCCCTTTGTGAAGCTCAGGAAATTATGCAGAGCCCTCTTGTCATCTGTACACAGGGAGCAATGCCTGCTGCAATTTGCCTTACAGCTTGTGCTTTATTATTATTATTATTATTATTATTATTATTATTATGTCACTCTTTTTTTGCCACGGGAACTCAAAGTGACAGCAAAGGATCCAGAAGTTCTCACAAGCTGCACACCCATTCCTTCAAAGGCAGTGTAACCATATCAAGGCAACCTCCCATCTATCGGGTCTAAGGAACCGCCCGCTAACAGTGCCTCCGTCTTATCTGGACTGAGCTTCAGTTTGTTGGCTCTCATCCAATCCATTACCAAGGCAAGGCAGCAGTCCATGGATATATAGAAGCCTGCAGAAAAATATTTGGGGAATTTGACAGCACTGAGTGTAGTAGTCAGAGAGCCATCATGAATTCAAATAAAACTATTTAGAGTGAGGGTCAGCAATGACTCTGCAGCAGAGGGAAAGCAGCAGGGCACTGCGTATAGGCAAGCAGATCACATTTGTCACCTCCCTCCTCTGTTTACGTTCTAAAAGCTTCAAGGACAGGGGAAGAACTCCATATCTTTCTTAACTGGGGGGCTGATTTCGCTAGCTTTCCATCCCACTCCCTTTCCTATTTGTGTTGTGTCTTTTAGATGCTGAGTTGGGGGCACGGATTGGTGTTTTGTGTTTTTTTAAAGTGTACAGGCCCCCTGTTCACTAAGTTGTGTTTTTATATTAGGTTGGAACTTGAAAGCTGCTCAGAGTGGCTGGCTGGGGTATATTATTATTATTATTATAATACAGTGGTACCTTGGGTTAAGAACTTAATTCGTTCTGAAGGTCCGTTCTCAACGTGAAACTGTTCTTAACCTGAAGCACCACTTTAGCTAATGGGGCCTCCTGCCGCCGCCGCGCGATTTCTGTTCTCATCCTGAAGCAAAGTTCTTAGCCTGAGGTACTATTTCTGGGTTAGCGGAGTCTGTAACCTGAAGCGTCTGTAACCTGAAGCGTCTGTAACCCGAGGTACCACTGTATGTGGTGATGGCTTTAAAAGGGAATTAGACAATTTCAGGGAGGGTAATAAGGCATCAATTCAAAAGCATCAATTCTTCGGCGATCAGCCTTCTTTATGGTCCAGCTTTCACTTCCATATTGATGCTTTTGAATTATGGTGCTGGAGGAGACTCTTGAGAGTCCCATGGACTGCAAGAAGATCAAACCTCTCCATTCTTAAGGAAATCAGCCCTGAGTGCTCACTGGAAGGACAGATCCTGAAGCTAAGGTTCCAATACTTTGGCCACCTCATGAGAAGAGAAGACTCCTTGGAAAAGACCCTGATGTTGGGAAAGATGGAGGGCGCAAGGAGAAGGGGATGACAGAGGTGAGATGGTTGGACAGTGTTCTCGAAGCTACCAGCATGAGTTTGACTAAACTGTGGGAGGCAGTGGAAGACAGAAGTGCCTGGCGTGCTCTGGTCCAGGGGGCCACGAAGAGTCGGACACGACTAAACGACTAAACAACAACAACCAATAAGGCTGTTGGTGGCTACCAACCATGATGTCTACGTTATGTCTTAATTGCTTGAGACAATCTGCCCCTGGATACCAGTTGCTTTGGAGCAACTGTCAGAGAGGGATCTTGTGCTTAGGACCCGCTGGTGGGCTTCCCATTGTGGCTCCTGGTTCACTGTTGTGGAAATCTTGGATCTGATGCAGCTGCAGGGCTCTTCTGTGTCAACTGAAATACTCCTGTGTGAATTTCTTGGGGTACAGAGATCCGCGTTGGCTGTGGAGTCGGCCAGAATCCCTTGGCGCTGTGGACGGAGGAGGATCCGTGAGTACAGTTGGAAGGGATCCCATGGACACTCCAGCCCAGCCCCCTGTCTTTTTGAGGGCTAACATAAGGACATCAGAATAGCCAGCTGGATGATGATAATAATAATAATAATAATAATAATAATAATAATTTATTTATACCCCGCCCATCTGGCTGGGTTTCCCCAGCCACTCTGAGTGGCTTCCAACAGAATATTAAAATACAATAACCTATTAAACATTAAAAGCTTCCCTAAACAGGGCTGCTTTCAGATGTCTTCTAAAAGTCTGGTAGTTATTTTTCTCTTTGACATCTGGTGGGATGGCGTTCCACAGGGCAGGCGCCACTACCGAGAAGTTAATGGCCCATATTGTCCAGCATCCTGTTCTCACAGTGAACAACTAGGTGCCTGTGGGAAACCAGCAAGCAGGATTCGAGCACAAGAACAATCTCCCTTCCTGTGGTTTCCAGCAACTGGCCTTCAGAAGCATTGTTGCTTCCAGCTGTAGACAGTTGTCATGGCTAGTTCATAGGTCTCTCCTCCATGAATTTGCCTCATCCTCTTTTATAGCTATTCAAGTTGGAAGCCACCACTGCCTCATGTGGGTGTGAGTTCCATCGTTGTTTATTATTATTATTATTATTATTATTATTATTATTTTATACCCCGCCCTTCCCGGTTCAAAAACCAGGCTCAGGGCAGCTAACAACAAATTTTAAACACTTTAAAACACTTAATTATAAAAGCAGCATAAAATACAGTATAAAAACATGAATAACAATAAAAATAAAAAAATCAATCAGATAATCCCCAGGGCTATCTGGCTGAATTGGTCCTACTCGGGCCAGCAAGGAGGCTAGGGGAGAATTTGCTGTGGGGTCTCAGAGTGGGTGATCTTCATAAAAAGGGAAGGGGAAGGGAAGAGAAGGGAAATAAAAGATCAAGCTGGAATAGCTCTGTCATACAGACTCGACGGAAGGAGGTTAAATCCTGAAGGGCCCTAGTCTCATGGGACAGAGCATTCCTCCAGGTTGGAGCCATCACTGAAAAAGCCCTGGCCCTGGTGGAGGATAGTCTGACTTTCTTAGGGCCCGGGACCTCTAAACTATGGTTATTCATGGACCTTAAGGTCCTCTGCGGGGCAGACCAGGAGCGGTGGTCCTGTAAATACGAAGGCCCTAAACCACATGCATGCACTGCATGAAGACGTACTACCTTCCACCTGCCTTGAATTTTACAACCTTCAGCTTCATTGGGTGTCCAGGAGTTCTGCTGCTGAGCAAGAGGGAGAAATACTTTTCTCTGTGTACATATGGCACAGTGATCTGTGTCTTCAGCTTCTGTCCTTCTTGATGAGACCACAACCACAGGAAGCTGACGTGAAAGCGCTTTTTAGAAAAAGAGAAAGAGAAAGGGTGGTGGAGGAAGGAAAACGGAGCCTTATTGAGCAGTGCTGAGGGCGCGGCGCACCCACAGAGAGGCCAGGAGTGGGGCCAAGGAGACGTTGTGTGTCCCCACCTGCTGCTGCCGCTGCTCCTCCTTGACCATGGAAGAGACAGTGGTGAAGAAAGGCTTGCTCTACCTGCTCCAGCACCAGACATTTGGGAAGGTAAGACTGGCTTCTCCTCGCTGAATGTTGGAACAAGGTGTTCGCTAAGATCTCTTTGATACCCAAACAAATTATTGTTTTGATGCATTTACATTCTTAATCTGAGCATATTAGCATGTCTTTTTAAGAGCAATATTTTGTCATATAATCATCAAAGCATTGCCATTCATTTTTTAGTTTTGGATTTGATTGCTGTCGTATGGATGCTGTTAATTTAGCCAATTTTAAATATTCATTTAATTTGAGAAGCCATTCCTCCTTGATAGGTAGTTCTTTAGCTTTCCATTTAGATGCTATTACTATCCTGGCTGTGGTGGTCGCATATAAGAAAAATCTTTTTTTCGATTTTGGTATTTCTTTTCCTAAAAGGCCCAGTAGGTAAGCCTCTGGTTTTTTCGTTAATGGGATTTTAAGCATTTTTTTCAACTCCTCATGTATTTCTCCCCAGACGTACCGTATTTTTCGCCCTATAGGACGCACTTTTTCCCCTCCAAAAATGAAGGGGAAATGTGTGTGCGTCCAATGGGGTGAATGCAGGCTTTCGCTGAAGCCTGGAGAGCGAGAGGGGTCGGTGCACACTGACCCCTCTCGCTCTCCAGGCTTCAGGAAGCTATCCGCAAGAGTTCCCACGACTTGCGGAGAGCTGCCTCTATCCCGAAGCCTGGGTGCGCCGAGCAGTCGCGCCCGGGCTTCGGGTAGCTCTCCGCAAGCCGTGGGAGGGTTCCCACGGCTTGCGGAGAGCAGCCTGTTCTGGGGGCTGGGGTCGGGGGAAGCTCGGGCTTCCCCCACCCCAGCCCTGTGCCGGGGGGGAAAATAAAATTATTTCCCCCCTTTATTTCCCCCCCAAAAAAAACTAGGTGCGCCCTATGGGCCGGTGCACCCTAGGGGGCGAAAAATACGGTACTTAATCGGGGTGCAGCTCCACCACATATGCATTGTTATACCAGCTTCCTTGTTGAATTTCCAACAGAGGTTGGATTTCAGTTTATAGATTTTTGCTAATTTGACTGGTGTTAAATACCACCTGTAGAACATTTTGATGAAATTTTCTTTTATTGTACTACAGGCAGTAAACCTTATATCTTCCTGGCAAAGTTTCTCCCTTTGCTCTAAATACATTGTGTGGCCGAAGTCTCGTGCCCATTTAATCATTGTCTCTTTCACTTTCACGTCAATCATGTCCAAATCTAGCAAAAGGTTATACATTTTAGATCGTAATTTTTTGTTGTTTTTAAATAATGTTTCATGCATTAATGAATTCTCTTTAGCAAAGCCTTTTTTTGAGTCCGAGATACCCAAACAAATTATTGTTCCATCTTTGCACCTGGCTCTGTTGAACCTGTCTATGGAAACTGAACAGGATTTGAAAAGCAAAGAACTGATTTCTCATCTCTCTTAACAGCAGCTCAGCGCTGAATTGACAAACTCTATAAGGCCTTTCATCTTAAGAATTTGGATTGCTGGTGTTCAAGGGTTTGGCAAATTGCCCTTCTTGAATAGATACATCATAAACTAAAAGTATCTAAAGGGCAGAGTGTGAAAATATATATAGAGAGAGAGACAGAGAGCATTATTTCATTTCTTATGCCAATTCTGAGAGTTGTGGTCACTCATTGCCACCAGTCAGGGCCGGATTTAGATTAGATGAGGCTCTAAGCTATTGAAGGTAATGGGGCCCTTTATATATCCAGCTGTCCTTTGTCAACAACAAATTGTCACTGTTTTTTGTGTTGAATATATGCTTATATGGTAATTTATGGACCTAATAGGTATCTAAAGCCATTTGCACATAACAAAATATGTATTTTCTCAAAGTAATTGATATAGAAATGAGCAAACCAGTGATATTTTAGGGAGCAGGAGGGGCCCATTACTTACATCATAGGAGCCTACACAACACAAAACACTGTTGCTGTATGTAGGTTTTATTTTATTTGTTTTAAATCTTATATTTTGGAAATGTACATCCAGTTGTTGTTTTTCCTTTAATTTTTTGGGGGGCCCCGAGAGAATGGGGCCCTAAGCTATGGCTTGTTTAGCTTATACATAACTTCAGCACTGCCACCAGTGTATGTAAATGTCTGGCTCAGACATTTAAGGCTAGAACCTTTCTTCTCAATAATGATGGAACTCACAAGTGGGAAATGCTTTTATATTTATACATATTTATGATTTGTAAATGGAACCTTCGTATGAGTTAATACTTTATTATTCCTTTGGAGCTCTGCTGGATCTGTGTATTTTTGTCCTTACAGGCTGTGATGCTTTATGGTTTACATTTTGTATTCCTTTTTGTTTTTGTTACGCTTGCACTTCTTCTTCTTCTTCTTCTTCTTCTTTTTCTTGTTGTTAATAAATTAATACAATTTAGCGCAAAAAAAAAGACCGGCTACTCCTTCTCCAGCCTCGAACCTCCTTTTTTGCTTTAGGCTAGAAGCTCAGGGATCACTTCCAGCAGGCTCCAGGTATCTTGCCTCTCCCGTCCTTTGAAAACCCTTTAAAAATTGCTCTGCTCCCTCTGAAATTTGGCCCCACTTTGCCTCCGAATGTATAAATTATTGTAACTCACCCAGGGAATTGCTTGATAAAGGGCAAATGAAAAATACTCTTAACGAAGAGAAAGAAAACAGGCGAATTTCTTCAACGCGCAGGCTGCGCCCTGAATTCTTTTAAGGATCAGGCTGGATAGAGCCCAGCCTGTCCATAGGCAGGAGCTGAACACGGGGCTTAAACACACACACACACACACACACACACACACACACACAAATACACAGAGAGAAAGAGAGAGAGAGAGAGAGAGAGAGAGAGACCCCAGTTTCCTTCTCCCCATGAACTTTCACATTTGCTCTTTTTCACCCTTGCTATTGTTATAAGAATTTTAAGGTCTTATATATATAAACTAAATGTATAAACCATGTGGAAATACAGGGGAAATACAGGGTCCCAAACCACCTCAGTTTTGTCAGTTGTGGGCGTGTCAAGGCCCTGCCTGGAAATCTTGGAGAAATATTGCCTTAGCACTTCTTTCAAACTTTGTTGTTGTTGTTGTTGTTTAGTCGTTTAGTCGTGTCTGACTCTTTGTGACCCCATGGACCAGAGCACGCCAGGCACTTCTGTCTTCCACTGCTTCCCGCAGTTTGCTTCGAGAACACTGTCCCACCATCTCCTCCTCTGTTGTCCCCTTCTCCTTGCGCCCTCCATCTTTCCCAACATCAGGGTCTTTTCCAGGGAGTCTTCTCTTCTCGTGAGGTGGCCAAAGTATTGGAGCCTCAGCTTCAGGATCTGTCCTTCCAGTGAGCACTCAGGGCTGATTTCCTTCAGAATGGAGAGGTTTGATCTTCTTGCAGTCCATGGGACTCTCAAGAGTCTCCTCCAGCACCAGAATTCAAAAGCATCAATTCTTCAGCGATCAGCCTTCTTTATGGTCCAGCTCTCACTTCCATACATCACTACTGGGAAAACCATAACTTTAACTATACAGACCTTTGTCGGCAAGGTGATGTCTCTGCTTTTGCAGTATAGAAAGGTTTTTTTATGACTAGAGAAACAAACCTTCATGTATGTTTTTTCTCCCCCTCAGAAATGGCGGAAGTTCTGGGCTGTCCTGTACAGGGAAAGCGCCTGCGCCCCGGCCCGCCTTGAGCTCCTTGAGTCGGTGGAGAAAGCCAAGAAAGGGGATAGCAGCAGACGCATCATCAAGTTGGAGGACTGTGTGCAGGTGGCTGAGGCAGGTGGAGAAACCGGCAGCCCCAAGGAGACAGCCCCTTTCTTCCTGGAGACCACCGAGAAATGCTACCTGCTGGCTGCTGAGAGGGCCGAGGCGGAGGCCTGGATCCTGGAGCTGTGCAAGCTTGCTTTCACTGTGAGGAAAATGGCACTCAGTAGTATAGGTCATGTCTCACACAGAGGGAGGTGTGGAAAGCTGCACCTCATCATCCTGTGTGTGTAGCAGTTTAGAAACTGCCTTTCACTGGCCCATGGTCTGTCAGAGGACTGACGAAATGAAATCCTTCTTCACATATAGTTAAACTTTGGAATGCCTTGTCGCAGGAGGCAGTGATGATGACCCCCAACCAGAGATGGCTTTTTTTTCTTCATTAGAGCAGTTTTTATTAATTTTAAAAAACTACCAGCTTTTAGGGACGCGGGTGGCACTGTGGGTTAAACCACAGAGCCTAGGACTGGCCGATCAGAAGGTCGGCGGTTCGAATCCCCGCGACGGGGTGAGCTCCCGTTGCTCGGTCCCTGCTCCTGCGAACCTAGCAGTTCCAAAGCACCTCAAAGTGCAAGTAGATAAATAGGTACCACTCCAGCGGGAAGGTAAACGGCGTTACTGTGCGCTGCTCTCGTTCGCCAGAAGCGGCTTAATCATGCTGGCCACATGACCTGGAAGCTGTATGCTGGCTCCCTTGGCCAATAAAGCGAGATGAGCGCCACAACCCCAGATGAGTCTGCGACTGGACCTAATGGTCAGGCCCAGGGCTTGTCGATCAGAAGGTCGGCGGTTCAAATCCCCGCAACGGGGTGAGCTCCCGTTGTTTGGTCCCTGCTCCTGCCAACCTAGCAGTTCGAAAGCACGTCAAAGTGCAAGTAGATAAATAGGTAGCACTCCAGCGGGAAGGTAAACGGCGTTTCCGTGCGCTGCTCTGGTTCTCCAGAAGCGGCTTAGTCATGCTGGCCACATGAGCCGGAAGCTGTACGCCGGCTCCCTCGGCCAGTAAAGCGAGATGAGCGCCGCAACCCCAGAGTCGTCTGCGACTGGACCTAATGGTCAGGGGTCCCTTTACCTTTATCTTACCAGCTTTTAGTACAGTTCCATGCAGTAGCTTCAATACAGGTGTACAGCAGCAGACAATGTCATAAAGAACAAAGTTAGTCAGTTAAAGGGAAAGATTGCAGGGGAGGGTTGTGTTTTTTGCAAGAGTAAGAAGAAAGCAACATGAATTAGGGAATGTATAGAGTTTTGTTTAAATTAAAGCAAAAGCTCTGGAGAACTGATTTAAACAAAACTTATGCAACCATACATTGTGACATTATGTTGGGGAAAATAGGAGAAACACTTGTTGAGGATTCTGACTGGAAACCAGAGATGGCTTTAACAGAGGATTAGACAAATTCACGGAAGAGGCTATTGTTAAAAGAAAAAACCTGCTCCTTTCCCCTTACGGGGTATCCAAGAACCCGTATAGAGCCCTATCGGTAGGAGAAAATAACAGAGGCCAAGCAGAGTATATTGAGAAGCAAAGCGGCTAGTAAGCTTGAACTTTATTAAACTGTTGTAACAGGGTCCCCGCTCACCCCACACAAGAGGGAGAACCCTGAACAATGGTGCCCAAGCCCTTATATAGACTTTTGAAATTGCCCAAGACCACCCCACAAAACATCATACATATATCACAGAAGGAGGTGGTCTACAGCAGAAATCCTGTCTGGCAGGATACCTGATAATGGTCGCTGATTGCTTTACCTGGGCAGCCTGGCCATTCTTTTGTGAATACTTTAGTTTCTGAGTCCAGGTCACAGGCTTATCCTATTCAGACACAAATACGCCCTAAAGACAGGATTTGCAAGCAAAAAGAGAATGGGAAGGCTTTCCCCATTTGCCTCCCTTACTGCAGAGGAATATTTGAGGTCATTGGGAGAATCAAAATGGCTTCAGGATTGCTCTCCCTTACTATTTGAGACACTTAGTTCATATATTTACTGTAGATATGTGTGCATTTAAGAATATTTATTTTATATTTGAGACCTTAGAATTCTTATAATAATATGGATGGCTCCTAGCTATGGGGGCTGTGCTTTGCCCTCCACAGTCGGAGGCAGCAATGCGTCTGGACACCAGCTGCTGGAAACTGAAGGAGGGGAGAGGGCTGTTGTTGTGTTCATATCCTGCTTCTGGGATTCCCTTTGAAGCGCATCAGTTCTCAACCTGTGGGTCCCCAGATGTTGTTGGACTACAACTCCCATCATCCCTAGCTAGCAAGGCCAGAGCTCAGGGATGATGGGAGTTGTAGTCCAACAACATCTGGGGACCCACAGGTTGAGAACCGCTGCGAGACATGCGCTTGGTCACCATGAGGACAGGATGCCAGACTCCATCCAGCAGAGGGCTGGATGCCCTTTGGCTCCATCCAGCAGAGGGCTCTTCTTATATTTGTGAGAAACAACCAAAGCATGCACAAACCCCTCTAATTCTAAGGTGTCGAAACAATAAAATAAATGTTCATAAATACACAGGGTGGGTGCACACACATAGGTACATAAGCCATAGTTTGAAATGGTGCAGGAGAACAATCCTGGAGACATTTGGACTCTCACCTCAAATATTTCTCTTTGGTAGCAGGAAAACGCCTTTCCAGATAGTTGTTTTTTACTTGTAAATCCTGTAAATAAACAAACTGCTTGGAATGAAGGGGTTTACCTACCTCTCTGCAAAACCGGCCTGGCAAGTATCTGTTAAGCAGAGCAGACCAGTCAACAGAGCATCTCCTTTGTATCAATAGGTGTGAATTTGTGAAAGGATTCGGGATATTTACCATTTCAAAAGGATGGCCCAGACTGATCAAGATAGGGCCATCAGCAAAAAACATCATCAGATATCTTGACAGACAGGAGACAAGCCACTCTCTCAAATTTCTGTTGTAGACTGCCTCTTTCTGTGACCCGTGTAGGATGCTTTTGGGTGGTCCTTGGCTAAGGGGCTGGGAAATTTCTTTAAAAGTTCTTTCACACCTTTGTTCAGGGTCCTCGCCTCCTACCTAAGGTGTGGAGGAGACTTTTGTTGTAACAGGAAAATAAAGATCTGCCTTGCTTTCACAGGATCCTGCCTCAGCTGATGCTTCTCTGAGGTTCCTCTGATATGGAACTTGGGGGACCCTTGAGTCCCTTAATGGGGAGCTGGGCTGTAGAAACCACACACCCCGCTGTTTTCTGGTAACAATATGTTCTCTTTGGGTTTTAGAGAAGCACTGAAGACTGGAAAGTGATGCTGGAGAAGGAACTCCTGAAGGGCAAGGCCACGTCTCCCACTGCTCTCTCCATGGAAGAGAATTCCCTGTACAGCACCACCTGCAAAGGTAGGAGAGGAGAGCAAGAGACCCCGAGTTGGGCAGGGAGCAAAGAGGAAGGGGCTGCCACCATCGAGAGATGGTGCTTGTGTTATGAGTCGAGGACCCGCCACCTGCATAGGAGTATAATAAGACACAAAGACACATTATTTTAGGTTAATGGGCAAAATTAGGCCACAACTTTTATTGGTTACAGCATGTGAGTAGTATTGGCTTAGGCACTGGATGAAACAGCAATACAAGACTCCACCCCGCAGAGCCAGGAGTCATATCAGGGTTAATAATAATAATATATTTATACCCCGCCCATCGGGCTGAGTTTTCCTATCCACTCTGGGCGGCTTCCAATCGAGCATTAAAAACAATACAGCATTAAATATCAAAAACTTCCCTAAACAGGGCTGCCTTCAGATGTCTTTTAAAGATAAGATAGCTGCTTATTTACTTCACATCTGGTGGGAGGGTGTTCCATAGGGCAGGTGCCACTACCAAGAAGGCCCTCTGTCTGGTTCCCTGTAACCTCACTTCTTGCAATGAGGGAACCGCCACAAGGCCCTCGGAGCTGGACCTCAGTGTCTGGGCTGAACGATGGGGCTGGAGATGCTCCTTCAGGTATACAGGACCAATGGGAGGAGCTTGTTGATGCAAATACAACTGGAAGCTCCCCCGTGACGTCACCGGGGGTCGTGCCATGGCCCTAGCCACCAGCAGGGCATCGGACAGGATCTACGACCTCCGGATTCCTTTAACGGAATACCCAAAAGATGAGGGGTAGATGATGGCCCATACGCAATCCTCCAACACAGCACACATATTCCAATGCCTAACCGCCTATACCAGAAAGTTGTGACGAATTGCTACGAGGCAGGCGGAAAAACCAAGAGACTGGTGCCAATTTGCCAAATGGATAAAAAAGTCCTACCAGGCCCCTTGGGCAACCAAGGCAACCAAATGAAATCCATAGCAAGGTCAATACGCAAAAGAAGAAGCTGACCTAAGAGGGAGGGAGGGCGGGAGATCCGAAGAAAGCTGGAAAAGGCTGGGAGCTGAGCGCTGCCGCGGCTGTTTAAATGCGGCTAGCCCCACCCACCAACTGGCCCTATTGGTCGGCTGGAAGGCTTGGCTGCGGCAGCAGAAGCAATCAGGAGCAGGGAGCTGAGCACGCCTCCCTGCCCCAGCGGGAAGCTGCTCCCGCTCACAACCCCTCCCCTCTGGGAGGAGGAGAGGCCTTGTAAACAAATTGTTTACAACACTTGCAAGCAGATTTATGTTTAGTTGAGATTCCTGCATTGCAGGAGGTTGGACTACATGGCCCTTTGGGGGGCGGGTGGTCCTTTCCACTTCTACAATTTCATGATTCTGTGTCGGGGGGAAGACCGAAAGGATCAGCTCTGCATCTCCAGCTGCCCAACACTACTCTTAGAGCTCCAGCATTTGAACCAAGACGATGTTCTGTTCTCCTTGGGGCTCTGTGCTCAAAGGTGGGGGCTAGGCATGCATGCTAGTGATGTATGGAAGTGAGAGCTGGACCATAAATAAGGCTGATCACCGAAGAATTGATGCTTTTGAATTCTGGTGCTGGAGGAGACTCTTGAGAGTCCCATGGACTGCAAGAAGATCAAACCTCTCCATTCTTAAGGAAATCAGCCCTGAGTGCTCACTGGAAGGACAGATCCTGAAGCTGAGGCTCCAATACTTTGGCCACCTCATGAGAAGAGAAAACTCCCTGGAAAAGACCCTGATGTTGGGAAAGATGGAGAGCACAAGGAGAAGGGGACAACAGAGGACGAGATGGTTGGACAGTGTTCTCGAAGCTACCAGCATGAGTCTGACCAAACTGTGGGAGGCAGTGGAAGACAGGAGTGCCTGGCGTGCTCTGGTCCAGGGGGTCACGAAGAGTTGGACACAACTAAATGACTAAACAACAACAACAACAACAGGCATGCTTGCAGCGTGCACCACAGTGGAGCCTGTCTTCCAAGAACTGGCATGTAAAGTGCTCACTCTGGCCGAGGCGGCGTCATGGAAAATCTGCCTCCGCCTTAGCACTCGCTCGCCCTCTTCCTGACTGTGGTTTTGCGGGCCGTGCAGGGCTCTCACTGATACGGCTGCCTGATGCTCCCCAGGCACTTATCGTCCCTTCCCCATTTCCTGCCCTCCTCCCTCCCCCCACTTGTCCTTGTTATAAGAATTTAAGGCCTCAAATATATAAATTAAATGTACAAGGCAAACACGTACATAAATACATAAACCACATGTCTGAAACAGTACAGGAAGACAGTCCTGAAACCATTTTGACTCTCCCAAACTGACCAAATGTTTCTCTGCAAGCAGGGAAGAACTGAAAAAAAACATCCCCATTGTCTCTGTGCTCACAGATCCTGCTTTAAGGGCACATTTAAGGTGTGAATAGGGTGAGCCTGAGACCTGTGACCTGGATTCAGAAATTAAGTAGTTATAAGGTTCGAATCCCAGCGACGGTGTGAGCTCCCGTTGCTCGGTCCCTGCTCCTGCCCACCTAGCAGTTCAAAAGCACGTCAAAGTGCAAGTAGATAAATAGGTACCACTCCGGCGGGAAGGTAAACGGTGTTTCCGTGCGCTGCTCTGGTTCGCCAGAAGCGGCTTAGTCATGCTGGCCACATGACCCGGAAGCTGTACGCCGGCTCCCTCGGCCAATAAAGCGAGATGAGTGCCGCAACGCCAGAGTTGGTCATGACTGGACCTAACTGTCAGGGGTCCCTTTACCTTTACCTTTAATAACAAAAGAGTGGCCAAAACCCAGATAATGCAAGCAGGTAACCTGCCAGGCAGGAGATAAACAACACACTCAGGATTCTGTTTTAGATCGCCTCCTTCTGTGATGTATGTATGATGTTTCTGGGGATGGTCTGGAGTTTGAGGGTGGGCAATTCCAAAAGTCTATATAAGGGCGGGCACACCTTTGTCCTGGGTCCCTCCAGCCCCTCCTGTGTGTGGAGGAGCACCCTGTTGCAACAGCTTTAATAACAATCAGGCTTACTAGCTGCTTTGCTTCTTAATATTCTCTGGTTGGCTTCTGTTATTTTCTCCTACCGATGGAGAACCTACAAAGGACTCTATAAGGGCTCTTGTGGACCCCATAAGGGAATAAGGCCAATTGTTGTTGACAACACCTTCAGTGTCCTTGGGCGGAACCTGCACCTGAGAAAGCGGGCTGGGGGCAGGACTTTGGAAAGAAGCCTGCGATGACACGAAATGCCATTTTATTTCATTAAATTTATGCACCGCTTGATTGTAAAAAGACAGAGAAAACTTTTCAAAGCAGGTTTGCAATGAGAATAAAGCAATAATTTTTTTAAAAAAACCCTCTTTAAAACATTCAGAAGATAAACTCAGCATTTAACTAAAACATACAGCAGAATACTACATGTCTGGGCTGGCTTCTCTAAACAAAAATGTGTTTTAGCAGGCGCTGAAAAGGAGCACAGAGAAGGCACCCGCCCCATGTCAATAGGCAGGGAGTTCCAAAGTGTGGGTGCTGCCACAGGAAAAGAATGGGGGCCACTTGCCACGATGGCTATGAAATCGTGCTTCTGAAAACCAGTTGCATGTGTCCCATTAGGGCAGTCATAGGCAAACTTAGCCCTCCAGATGTTTTGGGACTACAACTCCCACCACCCCTAGCTAACAGGACCAGTGGTCAGAAATGATGGGAATTGTAGTCTCCAAACATCTGGAGGGCCGAGTTTGCCTTTGCCTGCATTAGGGCATCTGGTTGGCCACCGTAAGAACAGGATGCTGGACTAGATGGGCATTGGCCTGATACGGCAGCCAGGATCTTTTTAAGTTCTTATGTTTCCTTCCAGCTGCTGAGAGGCAGTTTCCCGTGGCCGTGAGGGCAACCGAGGCCTCTGAGCGCTGTCAGATCTGGGGCATCTTCTTTCTCTGTGCCAAAGCGGATGCCTTGGAGCTGCGTGACAAGCAAGCGGGGGAAGTGATCTACACCTGGCCGTACAAGTTCCTGCGGAGATTCGGTCATGACAAGGTAATGGCTGTGGGGTGTTTGTCTCCGGCGCAGCACATTTCAGGTGTGCGATGCCAGACAGTTGCTGTTCCTAAGCAGACTTCGTGGTGTGGATAGGAAGTTGCCAGTGACCTGGTACTGCCTCCTTTCCGCTGACCATGCCTCTCAGATGTGCCTCCTTTCCAGATGTGTTTCCATTGCCTGCCTCCTTGCTGCCCCTTCCTGATTGTTTAGGGGGGGAGAGGGATGTCCTGCTCACCTGCTTTTCCATTGACAGTGTGCTCCCGCCTCGGGTGGCAGTAGGAGATGCTACGCCCCTGGAGAAGCGCAGGAGGCAGCTGAGATGGGAGCCAAGTCTGGGAAATGGGTGGTAGTGGGGGAATCATGATGTGCTGGTCCCGTGGGTTACCCGAGAGGCGAGGTCCAATTCCGGTCCATGGTCAAAGGTGCAACGTGGAGGCAGTCCGTAGTAGCGGAAGCTGGGTGCAGGGCAGGGAGTCGGGTGAACAGGCTTGCAAGCAGGGAGCCAGGGCGGGTCAGGAGCTCAGGCAGGAAAGCAGGACAGGGTTCAGGCAGGAACTAGCAACCAACAATGTTGCTCCTGCAACCTGGGAATGGGCTGGCTGGCTTTTATCTGCCCCGAGGCATAGGGCGCCCCAATCCTCTGGTGACTTGCCTCTCCTGGCCTGGAGGCGAGCACTCCTCCTGCGGGAACTTAGTTCCCTCCGCCTCTCTGCCTTCAGCCTCTGCAGTTCAGGAGAGGCTGGAGGGTTACCGGACTCAGAGGCAACCTCAGCTTCCTCTGACGGGGCTGAGAGTGGAGCACCTGCAGGCAATGGGTCCTCCATCACCTTAGGAGCCAGAGCAGACTCAGCTGATGCCTGCACCTGAGGACCCAGCACAGGTGAGGACCCTTCGGGCTCATGCCCCAGCCCCGGCTCAGCTGGTTCTGGAGGCGGGGAATACTGTGCAGGCTGGGATCCCTCAGGTTCAGCATCCGAGTCCGAATCCCAGGCCATCACACATGATTTTGCAGAAACATTTCCTGTCTTTGGAGGAAGTTTTGTGTCAGCTGGGTGGGGCTTTCCTGCCCCCCTCCACTCTGCCTCCTGCAGGATGCCCTGAGTTTTTCGCTTCCCAAATCCCAGGGAAGGAACCATGCAGAGGAAGTAAGTCTTGTATTGCAGGGGTTTGGATTAGATGACCTGTTGGGCCTCTTCCAGCTCTACAATTCTGTGTTTGAGTTCTTTAGGGTGATGTCTTGGGGCTGAACCAGATGTGAAGATGGAGGGCTGTGATGGGAACTCCCATCTCACAGTTTCCTGGTCCTACCTAATATCTGCCACCCAACCTTGGCGGTCCTAAGTCTCACCTGGCTTTGCCTAGCAGAGAGGAGCATTTTAAGTCCCACGGGAAGCAGCGAGGGCCACCAACTTGCATAGCTTTTAAAGAGCATTGGATAAATTCATTGGAGGAGAGGGCTATCGAAGGCTACCAGCCATGGTGGCTCTGTTCTGCCTCCACAATTGGAGGCAGCAATGCTGATGAATACTAGTTGCCAGAAACCACAGGACGGGGAAAGTGTTCTTGGGCTCAAATCCTGCTTACTGGTTTCCCAATAGAGGCATCTGGTTGACCACTGTGAAAGGGGAAGCTGGACTAGATCCAGCAGGCCTGATCCAGCAGGCTCTTCCTATGTTCTTAGAAGATGGAGAATTGTTATGGGAGCTCCCAGCTCCCAGCCTCCTGGTCCCATTGGCTCTCTTCTCACCTTGATGGGCCTCACCTGACTTTGCCCAGTAGAGAGGAGCATTTCAAGCTGCTGGTCCACTTGTCCCTCCCTACAGACTGACCCCAGGAGACCTTGTGTTTCTTCTCCTAGGCCATCTTCTCCTTTGAAGCTGGGCGGAGATGTGCCTCTGGAGAAGGCAGCTTTGAATTTGCCACCAAGCAGGGCAGCGAGATCATCCAGGTCATTGAAGGCGCCATCAGTGCTCAGAGGAACTCCACCTGTGCATCTTCAGGTGCCACCCTTCTTGCCGGCGCAGCCAGTCCAGCCAAGCCTGTCGAAGGTGCCCAGGGAGGGAAAGCCACTGTGCTGGTAGAAGGGCAGTCATTCCGTACTGCAGGCACCAAATCCCTCTCCTTCGAGTCCACCTGGCAAGGAAGATCAGCAAAGGGCAGGTTAGTCAAGCCCACGGCCAGCTGCCCTCTCTCCAGCACCAACTGCCCCTACATGGAGGGGTCTGATGCCCACCCCAGGCGAGAACCCCAGCAGGAATCAGTGTCTGAGTACTTGGAGCCATTTGATGCCATCTCCAAGTCGTTGGGAAGCTCAGGTGGCAGCTGTTTCCCCCTGTCTAGCGCCGAGGAGCCACCGGGGGCAGCGGGCCTGCATGCCAGGACCAGAGGGTTGGGCCTGTCCCCTGCCTCTCTGGGGCTGCACCACATCTATGATGACCCAGAGTGTCTGGCTCACCTGGTGTACGATGAGCCCCAGGAGTTCACAGGGGACGCCTGGAAGGTGCAGGCCACTCCTGAGGACCCTATCGGCCACGAATACCCCTACAACCCAAGCTTGGATGACTACTCTGTGCCTAAGATGGCGGCAGCGTATGCCCCCGTGCAAGATCAAAATGGGCTTGGAGAAAGTGCATATGATCAGGTGATATTGAGCCTCAAGAACAAGAAAAATGCACAGTGAAAGGAGAGGATGGATGGAATGAATGAATGAATGAAGGAGTGGATGGGAAATGAGAGGATCGCTTTGTTTCATTTGTTGTGGGAGATGAGCCAGGGTGCAGCCTCCCTGCCTGCCCTCCTCTCAGAGCTCAAGTACCGTATTTTTCGCTCTATAAGACACACTTTTCCCTTCCTAAAAAGTAAGGGGAAATGGGTGTGCGTCTTATGGAGTGAATGCAGACGGGAGGCTCTGCTCAGCTCGCCCTTTAAAGAGCCGTGCGGAGCGCGTGTGCAGCTCTTTGGGGAGAACGGCTGCCCTTCTCCCTCCTCGGGGAAAAGCCCCCAGGAGCCGCACACACACTCTGCACGCTCTTTAAAGGGAGTGCGGCTCTTGGGGGAGACTTAGCCGCACGCAGCCTCTCCTGGGCAAGGGGAGCCTTCATCCCGCTGCCCGGGAGAGGCTGCGCACGGCTATCCCATAAGCCAGGACAGCAAGCGGGATCGCTGCGCAGCTGTCCTGGCTTCTGGGATTCAGAATATTTTTTTCTTGTTTTCCTCTTCCAAAAACTAGGTGCGTCTTATGGTCTGGTGTGTCTTACAGAGCAAAAAATACGGCATGTTTATAGGGGAAGTATGCTGACCCTTTGTTGCGACCTCTAGGATAATCCAGGAACAGGAGTTGAAGTTGGTACAAAAATGGTATTATGCACCTGTAAGGTTATATCATATTACAAAATCTGGAAGTAAGAATTGTTGGAGGAAATGTGGAGTGATGGGAATGTACAGTCATATGTGGTGGGATTGTCCGTTAGTTAATGAATTTTGGAAACAGATTGGTATAGAAATATCGGGAATTCTGGGTAGGAAGGTGGGAATATATAAATTAATGGTTCTTATTAGTCTGAGTTGCACCAAGTTAAAAACAAAAGAGGAATGTAAATGGGTAAAATGGATGGTAACTGCAGCCAGACAGGTTATAGTGAGTAATTGGAAAAATGCAGAAGAGTTAGGGGTGAACCAAAGGAGGAAAAAACTGAATCATATTATAATTTTACAATATCTAACCGTGAAGATACACAGAATGAAAGGGTTTAAGGTCAGTGAGAAAGAGGAGGATTGGTTTGAGAAGATATTGAATTATTTGGGTACGTCTGAACAATTTGGGGCAATTAAAATGTTAAAAGTCCAATAAACCTTGTGGATGGAGGAGTATTAACGTATATAAAATTGTACATATGGTTGATTTGGATATATTATTGTCAGGGAACTGCCATCAGTGCCGGAGGGAGAGAGCAAAATCCAGAGGGATTCCGGAGAGCGTCCCGGGATTGGGAGAGGCAGCCCATCTTCTGGGGAAGAGAATCAGCGTAGCACCAGTGGAGAAGGGGGCAGATGGGGAAGCGGCGAGGCGGTCCCATGACTCCTTGCCGGGGACCAGCGGGGAGAGTAGAGGTCCTCCGCTGCCTACGCCCTCCTTGCGCAGAAGGCTTTCGCAGCAGAGAGTAGGAGGAGACTAGGCGTCAAAGAGCTTCTTTGCTGGAAGAAGTTTAAGAAACGCCCACTGACGGATTCTGCCAGCGATTGAGACAGCCACGGGTGAGTGGCTGTCCGGACAGAAAAGGTTCACTCAGGCAACCCAGCCAGGTGTTTGCACCGGCTTACGCACGAGCAACCCCTAGAACCACTACAGCAATCCGTCAGTCCCTGACGTTGCTTGTGCGCAGCACCGGAGAGGCAGCACGATGAGCCAAACAGGGCCGGCCGGAGAGACAGAGCAAGAAGCCATGGTGCGAGGTCTGGTCGAGAGGAACCGAGACCTGGAGGCGCATGTCGCTACCCTGTCTGCGCGGCTGGAGGAGAGACGGGCTCAGGATGCACAGGTCAGAGCCACCCCGATAGGGAGGAAGGTCCCGGGGGCTGGTACACAAGTTTGGTGGAAAGCCCCAAGACTACAATGCCTTCCGAACGGAAATTCAATACGCTTTGGAATTGCAGAAAAATGACTTTGCGGATGACGGGGAGAGGGTGGCTTACATTGTTGGACATCTGCAGGATGGGGCGCGCGAATAGATCAGGCCCCTAATGGCGACGCAGGAATGATGCATTGAAAGATCTTAAGAAATTCTACCAGGCAATGGACGCGATGTTCTCCAGCGAGGTTGGAGCAAAGCGTGACACGGAGGGAGCTGATGGGGTGCAAGCAGGGAGCCTGTCCATCAGAAACTACTGGTCGCGTTTTGCGATGTTAGTCCACAAGCTCGGGTGGGATCTGGACTCTGAACCAGTACAAATGTTGTTTGAAGCGGGTTTGGCCCCCGAAGTGAAAGACGAGTTGTCCCGAGCGCCCCGCCCGCGGTCGATGGATGAACTCACAAAGACTGTGCTTGCGATCGGTGTACGCCAGGAAGCGCGGGCTCAGGAGAAGCGGGAGATAAGGGCGGAACGTTTCCATGACAACCGCATTCCGGAGATGCCGAGGGAGCCTTCCCAGGCGGCGGAGCCGATGGAAATTGATGGAGCGCGCGCGCGCGAAGTTTCAAACGCTGGTGAAGGTCGGAAAAAGGAGTGGAAAACTACCAAGAAGTGTTTCCTCTGTCAGCGACCGGGACATTTTGCAAAGGTCTGCCCTCAACGAAAAGCCTGGCAAGGCATGATGGGGGCTGCAGGCCACGACGAGAAGGGGGAGGAAGAGCCGGTGCAGGGAAACGACAACGCCTGGCTGCCAACCAGCAGGGGCAGCAGCCAGGCCAGCAACCAATAGAAGTGCCCCAGCCTGACCCTCCCAAGGCAGCTATAGCCATAGAGGTGGTGCTAGAACTCCCAAATGGGCACCCCGTCAAAGTGGAGGGGCTGCTAGATTCTGGCAGCTCGTGTAATTTCTTCAGCAGAGACTTCGCTCTGGAGCACCAGCTCCACCTGTTGCCACTAGATTTTCCCTTGCAGGTGACCACCATCGATGGCAGGGAACTCCTGGGAGGGGAAGTGACACACCAGACACCGCCAATGCGAATGAGTGTCTCCAGGCACACGGAAACCATTGCCTTTCACGTGGCCACGCTGGCAGGACCCCCAATAATACTGGGAATGAGCTGGCTGGCAATACATGACCCAGTGGTGTCATGGCATCAGCGGTCGGTCACCTTTGGGTCAGCTTACTGCTTAGAACACTGTCTGGGAGGGAAGGAACCAAGAATGACTGTGGCCAGGGTGGCTGGGGTGGCCCTGGAGCAAAAAGGGAGGTGCCAACACAATATGCTGATTTGAAGGAGGTCTTCAGCGAGAGGGAGGCAGACTGCCCCCCCACAGGCCATTTGACTGCCAAATCAACCTGCTTCCAGGGGCTCAGTTACCGGTGGGTAAGCTGTATGCCATGTCCGACCGGGAGATGCAGGAGTTGCGGCAGTTTATTGACAAGAACCTGAAGAGAGGTTTCATAAGGGAATCAAAGGCGGTGGGGGGTCCAGTGTTCTTTGTGGACAAAAAAGAGACTAATCAGCCCAGATTAGTCGTGGATTACAGGGCCCTAAACCTGGTGTCAGAACCCGTGACTTTCCCAATGCCCAGGATTGACGATATTTTGACACGTGTGAGGCAGGGGAAGATTTTTACCAAGCTGGACCTCAGGGGAGCATACAATCTGATTAGGATAAGGGAGGGGGCGAATGGAAAACGACCATGTTCACCCCCCTGGGGGCTTTTGAGTACTTAGTCATGCCATTTGGATTACAATCGGGGTCCGCCTGCTTTCAAGCCTTCATGCACCATGTGTTGGGGCCCCTGCTGTACAAGAATTGCGTAGCCTTTTGGATGACGTCTTAATCTATTCGGACAATGAAAAGCAACACGTCAGAGACGTCAGGGAGGTGCTACAGAGATTGAAGAAGCATCAGTTGTGGGTCAAGCTGGAAAAATGCCAATTCCACGCCAGGGAGGTCGAGTTCCTGGGGTACAGGTTGTCAGACAAAGGACTAGCCATGGATCCGGGCAAAGTGAAGGCAGTGCTGGAATGGAAAGCCCCCCAAAACAGAAAGGATGTGCAGAGGTTCCTAGGCTTCAGCAACTTCTACAGGAAGTTCATAAAGAACTTCGCTCACTTGACAGCGCCCATAACGGATTGTCTTAGTAGCAAAAAGAAGTTCACGTGGACAGAGGATGCGCAGCAATCCTTTGAAAAACTGAAGAAGGCGTTCGCCTCGGAAGAGCAGCTCCTGCACGTGGATCCGGAGAAGCCCATGAGACTGGAGACGGACGCGTCCGACCGTGCGATTGGAGCGGTCCTTTTGCAGCCCGGGGCCAAGCAGAACTGGAGGCCGTGTGCCCTTTTCTCTAGGAAGCTGAGCAAGTCGGAGCAAAACTACACGGTGTATGACCGAGAACTGCTTGCGATCTATGCGGCATTTCGGCAATGGAGACATCTATTGATAGGGGCGCGGCACAAGATCCAGGTCCGAACTGACCACAAGAACTTGGAATACTGGCGGACCGCGCGAGTGCTCAACCAGAGACAGATCAGATGGTCCCAGGAGTTCGCCAAGTTTTTCTTCGAGATCCGATACGTGCCGGGAGAGGAAAACGTAAGGGCAGATGCTCTCTCCCGAAAACCGGAGTACATGGAAGGAGAGGGGCCACCAGAGACCAGGCACATGTTCCCCGAGGACCGGTGGGTGTGTGGGGGAGCGTTGGTTGGGAAACGAGAACTGGCAGGGCTCACCAGAGACGATGAGTTTGCTCAGACAAAAATCAGGGAACTCAGGGACGGAAAGGAAGTCAATGGAGGGTTTGAGGAAAAGGAAGGGCTACTGTACTATAAGGGGGCGCTGTATGTACCAGGGGAGACTTTGAGGGGGAAGGTACTTAGACAACTCCATGACAACCCAACAGCTGGGCACTTTGGACAGCACAAGACCATGCTACTTGTCACCAGGCAGTTCTGGTGGCCAAAGGTGAGGGAAGACGTACGAGAACATGTACGAGGGTGCAACCGATGCCAGAGGGCAAAGGGGTTAAGGGCTGCCCCCGCGGGGCTACTGGAACCCTTACCTACACCGGAAAGGCCCTGGGAGGTGGTGTCCATTGATTTTATGACAGATCTGCCCAAGTCAAGGGGAAAGACAGCGGTCATGGTAGTGGTCGATCTACTGACTAAAATGTGCCATTTTGTAGCTTGCTCACATGCAGCAACGGCAGAGGAGACAGCCAGGCTGTTTGTGGATCACATTTTTAGACTGCATGGGACTCCATTAAGGGTAATCTCGGATCGTGGGAAACAATTTACTTCCCGGTTCTGGCAGAGACTCATGAGTTTGCTACAGATCGAGGTGAGCTTCTCGACAGTACCTACGCTGCTATGTCAGCGAGAGACAGAACGATTGGGTATAGAAATTAGGTTTGGCTGAATTTGCGTACAATAACGCGGAACACATGTCCACGGGAATGAGCCCTTTCATGGCCAATTACGGGTGTCACCCCAGGGCCTTCCTGGGGCGGGGGGAGGAAGGATGGAGTGTACCTGTGGCTGAGCAATTGGTAATACAGCAGGTAATACAGCAGGTTAACCCAGTGGCATTTAAACTCAAGTTGCCTGACAGCATGAAGATACATCCGGTGTTCCATAGGTCCCTACTTTCACCTTACAGGGAGGGGCGGGAATTCCCGGGACGAGAGGGAGGGGTTACCACCCACCCGCGGGTAGAGGAGAGGGAACACTGTAACGAAGCCACGGAAATACTCGATTCAAGGTGGCGAGGTCGCCAGGTAGAGTACTTGGTAGCCTGGGAGGGGGAACCTAGCTCTGAAAACACTTGGGTCCCTGCTGAATCAATCACTGACGGGTACCTGGTGGAAGAATTCCATGGTTTGTTCCCGGATAAGCCCAAACCATTAGCTAGATTCTGGGAGGAAGAATTTGGACCCACAGACGACGAAGGGGACTTTGTGGGTTTTTCTGCCTCCGAAGAGGAGGGAGGTGAGGTGTCCGAGGGAGAAGGATCAGACTGGGAGGTTCAACCAGCGGGAAGAAATCCGAGCGGATGGGAGGCTGGTTTTGAATCTTCAGAAGATGATGACAGTTCCTTCAGGGGATTCCCTGCATCGTTGACCGAGGAGAGAGAGGAGGTTGTACCAGAAAATCGCGCCAGGGGTGGGGGTGGGGGTCCTGAGGAGGAGGCGGATGTCAGGGAACTGCCATCAGTGCCAGAGGGAGAGAGCAAAATCCAGAGGGATTCCAGAGAGCATCCCGGGATTGGGAGAGGCAGCCCATCTTCTGGGGAAGAGAATCAGCGTAGCACCAGTGGAGAAGGGGGGCAGATGGGGGAAGCGGCGAGGCGGTCCCATGACTCCTTGCCGGGGACCAGCGGGGAGAGTAGAGGTCCTCCGCTGCCTACGCCCTCCTTGCGCAGAAGGCTTTCGCGCAGCGAGAGTAGGAGGAGACTAGGCGTCAAAGAGCTTCTTTGCTGGAAGAAGTTTAAGAAACACCCACTGACAGATTCTGCCAGCGATTGAGACAGCCACGGGTGAGTGGCTTTCTGGACAGAAAAGGTTCACTCAGGCAACCCAGCCAGGTGTTTGCTTACGCACGAGCAACCCCTAGAACCATTACAATTATTGATTATGTATACCCAATGTATCAGCCACCTTGGGGGGGGGGGTTCACTGTTTCTGGTTTGGTTGTTGGTAAAAAAATAAAAAAATTAAACATTTTTTAAAAAGGAAGTATTCTGGCCATCATTATTGCAAGAAGATCCAACTGAGTGGGAGAGAGCAGGCTTGCTGCAATTTTGAAGGCTGTGTGCCATGTGATGCATTATGCGCCAGTATGGCTTTCCTATATGAAATATATTAAAGGGTGAAGACTATGATATATAGCTGCTCTGCAAACACGCATAAGGTTTTTCATTCTGCAGGGCGCTTGCCTTCCACTTGTGGCTCAGCTGACCTGAGGTGAAGCCAAGTTCTGCCTTGAGCCACCAAGAGGCCTTGGTCTCTCTTCCACTCTTCTGAGCTGCTCCCACTCTGATGGCTTAGCATGTCGCTCTTTATCTTTCTCCCCCTCTGGAGTGGTGTTTCTGGGGATCTCTGTGGAGTTCCTAACTCTCGAAAGAGACTACTAAAAAGAGCAGAGAAAGCTAAAAAGCATTAAACACCTATAAAAAGTCTTTAAGTAAACAGGTATGTCTTCACTTGGGACGCAGGTGGCGCTGTGGGTTAAACCACAGAGCCTAGGACTTGCCGATCAGAAGGCTGGCTGTTCGAATCCATGCGACGGGGTGAGCTCCCGTTGCTCGGTCCCTGCTCCTGCCAACCTAGCAGTTCCAAAGCACGTCAAAGTGCAAGTAGATAAATAGGTACCACTCCGGCGGGAAGGTAAACGGCGTTTCCGTGTGCTGCTCTGGTTCGCCAGAAGCGGCTTAGTCATGCTGGCCACATGACCCGGAAGCTGTACGCCAGCTCCCTCGGCCAGTAAAGCGAGATGAGTGCCGCAACCCCAGAGTCGGTCACGACTGGACCTAATGGTCAGAGTCCCTTTACCTTTACGTCTTCACTTGTTGCTGAAAGGACAGTCATGTTGGCATTACACAAATGGGCCACCACAGAAAGTCTCCGTCCCATGTCAACAATCGTCCTGTAAGAGTCAAATTCAAAGAAAAGGCCCTTGTGTTGGTTCAGAAATTTTGGCCCCAAGCCACCTGGAGCTTTAAAGAGGATCTTGTGGAGAGCAACTAATAAAGAAGTAAGTGAGGGGTGGGAAATGTATGATCCATGGGCCAAGGAACTCAAATTAGGCACATGAGAGCCAGTGTGGTGTAGTGGTTAAAAGCAGTAGTCTCGTGATCTGGGGAACCGGGTTCACGTCTCCGCTCCTCCACATGCAGCTGCTGGGTGACCTTGGGCCAGTCACACTTCTTTGAAGTCTCTCAGCCCCACACACCTCACAGAGTGTTTGTTGTGGGGAAGGAAGGGAAAGGAGAATGTTAGCCGCTTTGAGACTCCTTAAAGGGAGTGAAAGGCGGGATATCAAATCCAAACTCTTCTTCTTCTTCTTCTTTCTGAAAGCCACCATCCAGCTGTCAGTCAGCTGATGTCACTTTGAGGGATATCAGCTGATAAGCGAGGCTCAGTTATTTGTTGGTTGCACTCAGCGATTGCCCATCCAGGGGTTAAATCCTACTCAGTTTGGCAGGATTCAATGCAAACTCCTTCCTGAGCAAAACAGGTTTAAACAGTTGCTAAAACAAAGGTTTCCTCCCTCTGTTTTAGCAGGGCCTGCGAGGTGCTTTGAAGTTCCGACTTTGGATCTTCAAAGCACCCAATCCCCCCCCCCCGATGTCATTGTTTATTTACTTACGCATTCATAATTCACATTTTCATTAAAAAACAAAATCAAGGCAGTTTTCATATATATACAAATCAGCAAAAAGCACCCATAAAACATAGTTTAAATCATCAATAAATACTAAATGATTAACGAGAAAATTAATATTGCAAACTCACTACATCTACAGTAGAATGGTTCTTTAAAGCCTCATTTCAAGGGGGGGGGGGAGGCCCCAAGGGCACCAGGGAGGGGCTCTGCATGCACATCCCACCCACTGAGTATTAAATAGCTGTCAACTTTTCCCTTTTCTTGCAAAGAATCCTATTCGGAATAGGGAATTTCCCTTAAAAAAAAGGGAAATGTTGACAGCTATGGAGTATTATGCTGGTGACTCCTGACCTAGGTAACAACCACTTTGGAAACTTGGACTCACATCTGACTGTCTTTGCCACTTCTACTTCCTCTTCCATAAACCTAACAATTCAAGAAATACTTTTCAAGATTATTTTTATTTTATTTTATGTTCAGTCCTTTCAACAGAAGACTTTACATCCAAAATAAACCACAATACAAGCAAAAACATGACTCACATATTTTCATTTGTACCAAATTCTTCTCAAATTCCCTTGTTTTTCTACTCTTTAATGTTAGTCTTCTTCTTTTAACTCCTTGTTCTTAGCCTCTTAAATCACCTATGTATCCTTAACAATTTTCCAAGTATTGCCCTATGTCTCCCTCACCCCGACCCATTGCTTCCCTTCACCCATGTGCAATCTTCTCTACATAATATTGTTTCTCGTTGTGTTAATTAAAGTTGTATTTATTGTTTCACATATATTATGATATCATCTTGTATCCTTGCGCACTTTGGCTTTTGCATATAAAATCTGAGCTCCAATCCCAGTTCTTTCCATGGAAAGTACTTTCCAAGATTATGGCCAGGTGGCTGTCAGGAGCTAGTGGGACTCGAACCCATAGCCTTGGGATATGTGTGTCCCTGGTGGTGAGCTGCAGGTCTGCAGGATGCTGCATTTACCTGTCAGGAGTTCAGCCTACACTCGAGTAGGACCCTGGCAGAGACACATGCCAGACTGGCATGTTCCCTCCCTCCTGGTCGTTCGTTCGGGAGCTTCAAAAGCTTTCTTCAGCAACATTACAGCGACCGATGCCAACCGACACCGGCACACTTAGGGATCCGCAGAGTCTGCGCAGTTGCATAACAGACCTCAGCAACTCAGCATTTTGTCTAATCTACTTTATTTACATATAAACACACACGGAGCAGTGCAACATGGCTCCCTCTCTCTCTAGCATCAGACAGCAAAGAGAAAAAGAACAAAGGACAATAGTCCCACTTCACGGAACACAGTAACACAAACATCCTGTCTCCGTTAGTTCCCACTCTGTGGAGTCAAAACACATACAGTGGTACCTTGGGTTACAGATGCTTCAGGTTACAGAGGCTTCAGGTTACAGACGTTTCAGGTTACAGACTCCGCTAACCCAGAAATAGTACCTCGGGTTAAGAACTTTGCTTCAGGATGAGAACAGAAATCGTGCTCCGGCGGCACAGTGGCTCATGTTTTTTGGCAATTTGTGGAAATGGGACTTAAACATTCAACACCATTGGACCCAGCAGTGCCAGATTTACATATAAGCTAAACAAGCTATAGCTTAGGGCCCCACTCTCTTGCCCCCCCCATTTCACTATTAATATGCTTCTTAATTGTATTTCAGTTCAACAATTACTTTGATAAAATACATATTTTGTTATGTGCAAATGGCTTTAGATACCTATTAGGTCCATAAATTACCATATACCATATATATTCAACACAAAAAAACAGTGACAATTTGTTGTTGGCAAAGGACAGCTGGACATATAAAGCGCCCCATTACCTTCAGTGGCTTAAAGGTAAAGGGACCCCTGACCATTAGGTCCAGTCGTGGATGACTCTCGGGTTGTGGCGCTCATCTCGCTTTATTGGCCGAGGAAGCCGGGTCATGTGGCCAGCACGACTAAGCTGCTTCTGGCAAACCAGAGCAGCGCACGGAAACACCGTTTACCTTCCCGCCGGAGCGGTACCTATTTATCTACTTGCACTTTGACGTGCTTTCGAACTGCTAGGTTGGCAGGAGCAGGGAATGAGCAATGGGAGCTCACCCTGTTGCGGGGATTCAAACCACCGACCTTCTGATTGGCAAGTCCTAGGCTCTGTGGTTTAACCCACAGTGCCACCTGCGTTCAGTAGCTTAGGGCCTCATCAAACCTAAATCCGGCCCTGGGACCCAGTTGGGAGCTTGTTCATCAAAGAGGTCCTACAAACCTGGAGAGAACTAGTCTCACACCCACTGATGGTGGCAGAGAATTTTCAGTCGCAGCCAAGTCAAAACCAAAAAACTAGGTTGGATAAAATCTGGGAGTCTCAGTACTTGGCAATTTCAGTGCAAATTAAAGGAAGCATATATAAGCATCCGTCCCCAATACAGTGACATATTTCTTGGGGAAATTATCATGGTTCGTTAACTACGCAGACTCGAGGAAAAATCTTTGTGGCAGACCAGAGCAGCTAAAATTACGTTCTTGCGTTGTTGGGTATCTTCTGTGCTGCCATTCAAACTGTGAGCTTCCAGAGTACGAGAGATCTCACAAGTGCACAAACTCTGGGATTTGCTCCCACTGGCAATAGTGATGGCCCCCAATTTGGATGGCTTTAAAAGGGGATTGGACCATTTCATGGAGAAGCAGAAAGCTTCCGGGGATCATCTAGGGCTTATCCAAACTGACCCTTTGCCCCACTCTTTCCAGGCAGTCCCACACTTTCCAGGTCTCCCTTTTTCCTGTGTGTCCTGCTACTTTCCGTAGGAATATCTACCGCCCACCACTGAATCAGAAACAATAGCAATCCACAGAAAACCCAATTGCCGTATGTTCAGATTTGACAGTAAACTGAGTTTTCCCAGGGAAAGTGGAAGGACCAAAAAAAACCCCTGGTCGGACACGGTTGGTGGTAGCCAAATATGCTTAGTGAAGGGGTCTCAAATGACTTAGGGGGCAATGTGGAACATCCAGAACCAAAATACCTGGAGCCTGAGAGGGTTAAATTTTGGAGTCATAGACTCAAGTTATGGATGGAGTGAGTCCCCTCATTTGGGACTTTTTAGTTTAGAGATAAGGCAAGGATAATAATAATAATAATAATAATAATAATAATAATAATAATACAGTGGTACCTCGGGTTAAGTACTTAATTTGTTCCGGAGGTCCGTTCTTAACCTGAAACTGTTCTTAACCTGAAGCACCACTTTAGCTAATGGGGCCTCCTGCTGCTGCTGCGCCGCCGGAGCACGATTTCTGTTCTCATCCTGAAGCAAAGTTCTTAACCCGAGGTACTATTTCTGGGTTAGCGGAGTTTGTAACCTGAAGCATATGTAACCTGAAGCGTATGTAACCCAAGGTACCACCAAATATATTATTATCATTTATACCCCACCCATCTGGCTGGGTTTCCCCAGCCACTCTGGGTGGCTCCCAATTGAATATTAAAAACACAATACAGTATTAAACATTAAAAACTTCCCTAAACAGGGCTGCCTTCAGATGTCTTTTAAAAGTAAGATAGTTGCTTATTTCCTTGACATCTGATGGGAGGGCGTTCCACAGGGTGGGCGCCACTACCAAGAAGGCCCTCTGCCTGGTTCCCTGTAACCTCACTTCTCGCAATGAGGGAACCAGAAGGCCCTCGGTGCTGGACCTCAGTGTCCAGGCGGAACGATGGGGGGTGGAGACGCTCCTTCAGGTATACTGGGCCAAGGCCGTTTAGGGCTTTAAAGGTCAGCACGCTCGGAAACGTACTGGGAGCCAATGTAGGTCTTTCAAGACTGGTGTTATGTGGTTTCGGTGGCCGCTCCCAGTCACCAGTCTAGCTGCCGCATTATGGATTAATTGTAGTTTCTGGGTCACCTTCAAAGGTAGCCCCACGTAGAGCACAAGTGGGAGATAACCAGAGCATGCACCACTCTGGCAGAAAGAAGTGACACAATAGATTTTTTTCTTTAAAAAATCATGTATGACA